CCATGCCGCCCATGTTGACGTTGGACTCGATGGGCAGGCCGGTGTCCAGCAGCGGCGTCCATCATGCCCGAGTCGCCCCATCATGCTTCATCTCGTCAATACCAGTCGACGAGAAAGCCGAAGCCCGAGTTGTAGGCAGCGTTGAGGCCGGCAATGGATCCAGAGGGTAGGCCGGTCTGCTGCTTGAAGCGCTCATACTCGTGACTTGGGCTTCGCAGGCGTCTGCAGATCGTCGTCCAGGTTGGTGCTGGCTGGGCTGGCGAGGGTCGAGGCGGCGCTGGCTTCACGCTTCAGGGTTGCGGGTGTCGGTGATGGCAGCTGGCTGAAGTCGAAGAACTCCTGCTCGGGGTCGATGCATTGGCCGGCGTGCTGGTTGTAGGTCGGCGCCATGATCATCGCAGGCTGTACTGCGGTGGCCATTGTGGAGGGTGGAGGGTGGAGTGTGGGGGGTGCGAGGCTCTGGGCGTGATTATGTCGACCTTAGGCAGACAGGTTGATGCGTCGCAGGTTTGGTGTTGCGCGACTGTGGAAGGCGACCAGAGCGGCTAGCCTGCTAGGGAGTCGTCGTAAGCTCGTTTCTGGCTGCTGCCGGTTTTGCCGGGAGTGTGGCTGAGTCCAGTCTGCTCTGCCGCGTCTTGTCGTCGGCGTGGAGAGGAGAATGAGGTTGGTGGTGTTGGTCAAATGGTGCTGGGGAGGGAGAGAGCAATGTGTTGGGGTGGTGCAGTGTCGAGAGCGAAAAGAGGAGCGTGGATCAGGAGACGGTGCTGCTCTTCATCAGTGTCGGAAGTAGGCGTTTCGAGTTTGAGGCAGTGCTCCACGGCTGTCCTCTCGCTGGGGCCTGCACGGAAATAGAAGACAGGCTATCCCCAGTCAGACGCATTGAGCGACGATCGCCTCTCCACCCGGACATTGATCGACCGTTGCGCCCGTTTCCCATGGTCGGCGCCATTAGCCGCTGGGTGCCGGTGCAGCGCCGTCGTCTTCACCGTGGTGAGGATCCACGCACCACGGCCCTCTGGCCTTCACAGACACGATCGAGGGCTTCAACTCAGCTGCGAAGAGACGCCAGCCGCCTTGCCCGCTCAGCAGCACCCTCGAGCACTCGAGCAACGCCCAGGGCTTCGCATCGCTGGGCCAGGTCCTTCTTCGGCGCCTTTTTTGGCGACCTGGCATTACGCACTTCGACGAGCCCGGCCCAATCACAGAACCTCACCATCCACATCCTGAGGCTGTGCTCGCGGAAGCGGTTAGAGTCGCGAGCAGCCTGTCATCATTCGCCCACTCGTTTGCTTGCGCGCCTCTGCGCGAAGACTTGCCCGCATTCGAGCGCCCTTCAGCCACGACGGGGAGATGGGGCTGCGCTCCTTCCAGTTCCTTCCAGTTCCCAGTTCGGGGAGCAGGTGCATATGGTATGAGCCCCGACCGCGAGGCCTCACCCTCAGGCTCGCTCACCCGCATGCATTTTCATTTGCCAATACACTCCATTGCCGTCCTTCGCACCAGGTCCCGGTGCATCGCTGTCTGGTTCATCTGTCCCAAGGTTTCCCAAGAATAACCGATACCCGCCCATCGGAACCTCCGAAGTTCCGGGTCCTGGGGCGCCATTTTGTCAAGAAACCTCGGAACCCAGAACTGACAATCATTCGGCAAAGTTCCAACAAGGCAAGTCATCAATTTCCGACTTGGCTAAGGCTGCTGGGAAGAAACAAATCTCCTTGGCACCCTCCGCTAATCTGCTTGCACTATAGCCTGCCACCCGATGCACTTGTAACATGCGTTTCCAGGGCTCAAGCTGACACTACGCCTGTTGGATCCAGTCCCAAACACTGCATTCCGAAGCGCATGTCACTTCTGTCACTCCGCGGAAATTGCCGACCTCCAATAGTGTCGCGTCGGAAGGACTTCCCAGATACAAGCCCAGAAAGAAAACCTTCTCACCAAACCCCACACTTGCGACCGTATTTGTGTTGTGCTCTCTGCCCTGTCGGACGCATCGCTGCGAGTAGGTCGCTTGGACACCATGCTGCGCCACGACTGTCAACAACTCTCTCACTACCGAATGCCCGACCGTCTTGCCGACCGTGAGACAATATAGAGCCGGCTGGCCTTTCGAGCTTACCAACTGCCAACTGCCAACTGCCACCATCCTTTGCCATTGCGTTGCAACCCAAGCCTCGACCTGATGATCGTATTCCTGGTCCTGAGTAAGACCGTAGAGTGTATATCGTGTCGCTTATGCTTATGCTCACTCGGCCTTGTTCTCAGCCCAGCGCTTCGCCTTGATTGCACCGTCAGTGTGCACTCCATGCAGTCTTGGCAGCCCGCTCACGGACTACAGCTGCTAAGACTCCCCGAACAACGGTGTATACCTCCATGATTCGGACAAAGTTCACCTTTGTCTTTGGCGCCAAGTCTTTCCCACACCATGAACAGCATCCACCTTGCACCTCTCTTTCAGCCTTGCAGAGCGCCTAGTCTGGCTAGCGATCAGACTTTGTAACAACTAAAGGTGCGGCCTTGGTATTCGGTTGCACATCGTAAGTTACTGGTACAGTAGTACCCTGAAGGTTTAAACGTCTCTCAGTTGGTTCCATCATGTGCTTCACCTTGTTCGAGCTACCACGCTTCACAGTGCACAAATCTAGGCGGTGAAGCCCCTAATCAGCCTTACGCAACGGCTATTCTTGTTGCACAGACCTAGCACCCTAGAGTCGAACCGGTACTCGCCCAAGTCTTTGTCGGTGTGTGAACACATCCCCTAGCGGACTAGAAGATTCATGTCTTGTTCCACAAGTCTTGCACGCTGCCATGCCATGCAAACTGTGAATGTTCGCACCGAATACATTCCCGAGCAGGCAGTTGTACCAGGAGGAGAGATAGCTTCGCGAAGCTATCTCGTGTCATGTGGTTTGAATTACGTGTGTACTTTGTGCAGCAAGGCTAATGAGCTCTCTATGCGCACTCAGGTAGCCTTGCCCAACGCTGGCTCTATACCTTTCTGGCCGTGTCGCAACCATTGCGAGCGATCAGGGGAAATGCTTCGATGCACACCTCCTCTACACAATTAGCCATCCACTCCTCCCCTGCACCAAAAATACACACACACCTCTCAAGTCAGATACTAAATCCTTGCCTGGCATGCATCGTTCGTTTCCTTCCCAGTGTGTCTTCTCCGAGATGATTCGCTTGCAGCTCCCTCCTTGGCGTGCAAGACCGTCTAGATAGATGGCCTATCATCATTGGACGATGAGTGAATAAAAATAGTAAAACAAAATAAAACTTGTTTTCTGCATGGCCACACAGTCAGTCCAAAGACCTTTTCCGTGTTGACGCGCAAAATGTACAATCGTGGGAGCTTGGCGCCGCGCGTACGTTGTGCACATCGTGTGGATTTACCGGCATTTCCTGATTTAGCAACATGGGACGCGACAAATGTGGGAGCGTGGTGGATAGAGGGGGGTTTATGTTTAGTTTTTTTTGGACTGTCCATCAATGAATGGAGGGTTTTGTTTTGTTGAAAATGGGATGACGATGTGCGAAATTTGTGAGGCTTCATGCTGCCCGAACGAGGTGACCATGTACATACAATATGATACATGCGATTCAGAGAGGCTATACTACTAACGACTCGCCGCGGATTTCGATTATCGCTGTTATACATGATGTGTTCTTCGTGTGTAGCTAACAAGAAGACTTTTGCTATTGCCTGTTGGCCTTCGGGTGTGTGTCTTCGTAGTCATCTGTCAAGAAGCCATGGACGTCTTCTTCGTCAGCGGATGGCGCAGGTGCACGCTCCTGGTGTAGTGGTGCATCTGGACGCGATCGAGGAATCCCCTGCTCTTGCTGCCGTTTCTGATGCGTCTCTAGAGGCTGCTCGTTCTGACTCCCTCTGGACAAAGCATCACTCACAACAAAGTCGTCCATCCTACCCATCCCTCGATCCATGTCACCGTCCTCTCTCCCATCATGCTCGCCATACAACCCCAACCGTTGCGCAGTATGAAAGAAGCGGTTCTCGCCGGCCCTGCCGCCCACCACACCGGCTTTGCCAACCCCCTCCCCGCCCTCAACTTCTCTGACAATCTGTCTCGCCCGCACCGTCTCCCCGTCTTTGTATAGCGCTTCGATGATTGTCGTCAACGCTTGCCAGCCCGGTAACGCTCCTAGTCTGCGCATTCTGGACAAGACGGACATCATCTTGCTCGTCTCGCCATGACTTGCATAGCCTTCGATCGTTCGATCGAAGAGATATTGATCCGTGGAGACGCGGTGAGATGTGAAGAACGTGTCGACCATACTATCAATAGCCGGCATGGGTGGAGGCGATTGCTGGAACATGTAGGTGATCAAGGAGACGTAAGCATGCGCACTGAGAGCCCGATTTCGGGCTTGCATGTATTGCATGATGCTATTCACAGCTTTGTGGTTGCCATAAGTCTTCAACATTCTATCGATAGCAATGCTGTAGGCGTGATCGTTGAGTTTGATACCGCCGGCTTCGAGACTATCGAGGACACTAATGATCTTTTGGGTTTGTTGCGCTGCGGTGAGGCCTGCGAAAGAACCATTGTCGAAAGATGCCGTGATGAGCAATGTATGGGTCGCGATGTCTGCTGCAATGCCCTCCTTCTCCATCTGGCGTAGGATCTTGAAGGCCGTAGAATAATCGCCAGCGCGTAGGTAAAGTTGGATCAAGGAGTTATAAGTGATGGCATCGGGTTTGATGGAGAAGTTGCCGGCCCAGCCTAAGATTTTCTGCACGTATCCGACTCGCTTTTCTTGGCGTATGGCTGTTAGAGGTAGTTGGGCCAGAGCGCTGACGGCGCCATTGATCACTTCAATGCTAGGCTTGGTACACTTGTTCGCAGCTTTAGCTGATGTCGGAAGCCTCTTCGCGCCCTTGCGCTTTGAATCTGATAGGTTGATAGCATTCTCAGCGAAGAGCCAGCGCCTGCCCATATCATCGAGAGCTGCCAAGCCTTCGTCAATCTTGCGGAGCCCAAACAAGCCATGCACTCGTGTCGTCCACGCATAATTATCCGGTTCAATGCCGGTATTGAGCATTCGTTTCCACATTGCGTCGAAGCCCTCATAATCTTTAGCGGTCTCGCAACCTTGGAGAAGCGCAATCCATGACTGCAGATCTGGCTGCACACCATGTGCGATCATGTGGTTCCACACCTCGACGGACCGTTGCGATGCAAACAAACTTAGGTAACCCGACAAGAAGGCGTTGTAAATGCGCCGAGGTATCGCAGGAGAGCCATCGTTGGTGTACATGCGTTGGATGTCATTCCAGAGCACATCCAAGACGGAAGAACTCTGCTTGGACAATACAGCACGTGCAATACGCCGCAGCTGGAAAAGCTCCAGGTTGGTTTCCGGAGAGCTTGTCGGGTTCTTCATGGTGGCACCCTGTGCTGCGATCTGTTCCAAAGCTCTGTAGGGTGCAGTATCGATCTCCTTGAGGATTTCGGCCTGAACTTGCTTTGGCAACTTCTTGAAACCGGCAGAATTTTGTGGATATTTGTAGACTGAGACAACAGACGAGTCTGCCAGTATACGTTGGAGGAATTGTATAAATGGCTCTGCTTCCTTATACAGGGTTTCGATCGTGCTCAACGCGTCGGACAATGTGTAGAAGTAGACGGCGAGGAATCCCAAACTAGTGTTGCCAATCTGAGCTGGATGGTAGTCTTGCATTCGTAAGTTGAAATCTTTGCTGCTATACGAGATAGGCATTTCTTCGGGTTTCGGTAAATTCCACTCTTTACTGATGGAGTCAAGTTGGGGATTCCTTCCTCTACATTGAAAGAACAGACGCCACAAAGATAGCAGCTCAGATAGAATCGAAGGCAGATTCTTCGAATTGGTCGATGGTGCGTTGATTATGAACATGGCTGTCTGTGTTAGATACGGCAAGGTTGTCCTTGACCAGAGTTCGGGAGTGGCGAGCCCCAGCTGCTCGTACTTGAAAAGGACTTTGGTGGGTGTTGTTGTATATTTGCCTGGGGCGTTGCACAACGCTCCGTTGACCTTTTGGAGTAGTTCGGTAAATATTTGGCCATTCTTCAACAGCGCAAGATCGCCGTCGTGAGGGTTTGTCAAGGCCTCGCAATCTCTCGATGTATAGTTTTCCTCGAACAGGGCCCATGCCTCGTCTACACTGCCCTTTTTATCTCTGGCATCGAGAGCTTGTTTTATGGCGACAGCAGGTCCGCCTTGATGCTGAGGAGTCTCAATGCCGCTGCTCTGGGGCACTACGTCCAGTAAATGCTCTGGCGGTGCCCTCTTCTCTGCTCTGTCCACAAGTCCCGAATATCTTCCGCGTGGTCCAGTACCACCATTGGGGTCGCGTCTCCCCGGTCGGCTATGGCGTTCGTCTTCCAGCTGGTCCTCTTGAGGTTGCGCCTCCGATTGTGCAGCTTCCGTCTGGCCTGTGGGAATTTTGCGAAAGGACACGATCGTGGCTCGTGATTGCCAATGCGGCGTTCGTACTGGGAGAATGCGTCGTCTCAGATGTGCTCTGCATTGTCTACAGACGTACGAGCCTAGCATGATGCTCAATTGGGATGCGAGGGTGGGGGGTAAAGAGCTACACTCTACATTAGCAATCGCAGCTCAAACTTTGAGGTCGCAATGCGCACCCAGTCCGCGGCAAACTCCTAACTTACGTAGCAGTTTGCGATTTAGAGCCCCAGAGTCAGCAGGCTATCATGCTGTATCGTGTAGACGCTGAATTCCAGAATCGCACATCTTCGCGTCGTGTCCCGCGAGTCGAGATGCAATGTTTTAGCTCGCGCACGTCCAATGATCGCGACCAGCCAATGACGTAGCACGTGACAACAATTCTGCATTTCACTGGGAAGAAGCCTTTATCGACCACCTGACTAGGCATTGTAGCTTCGTATAAAACACTGGAAATCTCCACAACTTTCGGAATATCTCATCGACGAGTACACCTCTCACAAACAACCTCCAACGACACCATGACAACCTTCATACCCCGGGAATCTTATTCGCAGGAAGAGATAGACAAGCTTTACCCGAAAGAGCTTGAACTGCAGCTTGTACAAGTCGTAGGCTATCACCAGAATACTGATGCGTAACTTGAGCAGATTTGCTGAGTGATCCTAGCTTCTACGACACGGTGAACGATCGCCAGTGAATGCCCGCTTTCAAAATGTGAGCTTGACAGTCCCATGAATTACACGGCCGACTAACAGCTCCACTAGACAGGACTAAGACCGTGTGAGAATACTACATCTTAGTCATCACATCAGCACTGACAAAAACAAGATTGGCCCTACTGCAATCATGCTCAGCGACTAGCTGGCGTCATCAAGAGCACAACAGATTGGGATTCCCTAAAGTTCCGTAGAAGAATGGAAACCTTCGGAAGTGACGATGGACCAGGTCAGTTTGAATCAGACTAAAGTAGCCTTCCACCTTCTGACACTCTCGCAGTCATTGCCTCAGGACCAAACGGAGAGAAGGACGGTATATGTCAGCCCGGTGAACTCACCGACAAAGGACGCGAGACTACTCTCGCATTGGGCCAACGTCTTCGCCATCTCTATGTGGACCAGCTCAATTTCATGCCAGCTCTCATTGCAGACAGCGATATGATTTACCTGCGGGCAACCCCCATTCCGCGTGCTTTGGAATCGCTCCAACAGGCATTCTGGGGCCTTTATCCGCCTTCTGCTAGGACAGCGGACTTTCCGCCTCCAACAATCATCACAAGAAATCCAGCGGACGAGACTTTGTACCCCAACGATGCAGCGTGTCGACGATTTGCACTTCTCAGTCGTGCATTCGCTCAACGCGCAGCCGATCGATGGAACGATAGTGAAGACATGCAGTACTTATCTAAGGTGCTGTCAAAGTTCATGCCAAATCAAGCAAAAGTGGCTGTCGATGCCCACCCACGTCTGTCCGGTATCATGGACACGATCAACGCCACAGATGCACACAGCCCAGACACAAAGCTTCCCAAGGACTTCTATGACCCGAAGGCGCGTGCCATCATCGATAAAATTGCGGTAGAAGAATGGTTCCAAGGCTATAGCGAATCCACTGAGTACCGCATGCTCGGTATTGGCGGGCTTCTGGGCGACATCACTTCGCGCATGACCGGCAGCGTCGAGCGCAATGGCAACGACGGTCTTGTGGAAATTGGTGGAGTTGATGGGAAACTTGGAAAAGGCCGAGGCGGCGAGACGGGCATCAAGTTCGCCATGAGCGGATGCCACGACACTACACTTGCGGCTGCTCTTGTCTCTTTGGGTGCGTTTGAGAATGAGAAGTGGCCACCATTCACCAGCCATATTGCTTTTGAGATGTTCAAGAAACGAGGCGTCACAGCTACAGCAAAAACCACGCTATCTACTCAACAGCCCGCCCAAAAGAGTCAGGGCTGGTGGTCAAGCTTGTTCGGCAGTGCAAAGACCTTCAAGGAGGAGGGCCCATTTGCAGGCATCGCACGCAAGCCCATAACCGAGCTTACTCCATCGCAGCGAGATGGGCTCAAAGACTACTATGTACGCATAAGGTACAACGACAAAATCATGCAAGTGCCGGGCTGCAAGGCGGAGGGCAAGCATTTGGACGGCGACACAACATTTTGCACACTTGAGGCGTTTCAAAAGGCATTGTGGACAAATACACGCCGAAGAATTGGGAAGGGCAAGCATGTAAATCTCGAAGCTAGATGAGCCCGGGTCTTTCCCTGTGAAAAGTTTGACATTGGCTTGGCCGAGTAGACCAACTCACCAATCATGTGGCATTGTTCGTGCACATTGTAGACTTGCAGATACACCGAATTCACTATACACAATGTGGCCCATAATCTCCACAATGTGGCTACTTCTAGAATATAAACTATGTCCCCACCGCGATAGCAATCTCTTCCAGCTCAACTCAGTATCCGTTACTACATGCAAGGAGATCCTACACAGGACTCTTCATACATCAATCCCTCAGGACTTCCCAGCATGACCAACACCCTCGTGTCTTACCGCACCCACCCGGCTAGTCCCAAGACTACCATCAATCGTTGGCTCGAGACTGTCGGGCTCTTCGGTGCCGACGGTACCCCTTCTGACCCCAACGGAGCTAGCTTCGATGGGTACAAGTTTTGCAAGAGTTGCAAAACAATGCAGGGTGCAGAGGAGTATGTTAATGTGTTCGGACGCACGCGAATGAACTGCGAGTCTTGTGCGGCTAAGCAGGCAAAGTGTAAGCGGAAGAGCCGCGCGAAGCTTGCTGCGGAGAAGAACCAGCTTCACTGAGACTCCTTACGGCATATCTAGGTGTGCTTCGAGGTGATGTGAATTGCTTGAGGAGAGGCACTATAGTATACTGGGATGAGCTCTAGTGCTTTATGAGGCTGCGTTAGCTGCTTCTGAATCCTGTGGGCCCATCTAGCTTGATCAATTAGTGATCGGGAATTGTTGGTAGGAATGCCAACGCTGTAGATGATGGTCTGTACATATCAATGTATTTGTTTGCTTGTAACACCGTGTCTCATTAAGAGAGCAGAAGTGTCTTTCACCTCGTGTCCAAAGAGCCAAAAAACTCTCCTTCGCTGCGGTGAAGGTGAAGCCGGATTCGCACAGACCTAAACTTGTCTTCATGACCTCAAATTTTGTGATATCTGCAACAAAGACTCTTCAGCTAACAACAGAGTCGTTAGCAGCGTCAGAAGTCACCTCGCCACACATACACATACTAACACATCATTGTGTAGACACAAAGCCGAAATGGCTTCAAGACGCACCCAAAACCTCGAGCAGAAGTCGCAGGACCGCAGACTGCGCATCATCAACGACAAGATTGGCAAGTACCGCACCCTGGGCGCCACCGTCACCACCCAAGATACCTTTGAGGGGCGATGGCGCACCGACGACGACCTCGTCTCCGACATGAAAGACCAGCTGGAGGCTGGCACCGCGCTAGCGTTCTGGGCCGATGGAAGCGTGCGCAAAGACGAGAAGTGGGACGCGTTTCTCGGTGCAGGAGTAGCGTGGCAAGAGCGTAGGGAGGATGGAAATTGGGAGTGGCAGCAAGCAGAGTTCGAGCTGGGTCAAGATACCGGAGAGTCGAGCGATACCGAGCTATTTGCTGTCGCAGCAGCACTTGGCCTCACGGTCGAAAAATTTCGGGGCGAAGGCAGTGCCGTCAGGGCCGTCAGGATCTTCTCGGACTGCAGGAGCTTGCTGCTGAGTCTGGAGCGCGGCACCACGATGACGTTGGGGCCCGTAGGACCAGAAGACGTGAGGCGTTGCAAGACATCTTCGACCATACGGACTTCTTGGTGGGACGTGGGGTGACGGTTCAGCTTGTGTGGCAGAAAGGGCATGCTCAGTCGGCAGGCAACTGTCTGGCTGATAAAGCTGCTCGGAAAGCTGCATTTGGTGCAACTGCAGCTGCCGACCACTAAGAAGTCTAAGTGGAAGAAGATGCGACACGTTCCGGCTTGGGTCACCGATTTGGGACGGGATTTCGGTCAATGAGTGGTGGTGGGTGGTGAACAAGGCTCTCTTGCTGAGTGGAAGGGTTGAGGGTGACGATGAGGAGGTTGATGAAGACGAAGAGGAGAATGCTCCTTCCGAAGGCTCCGAGGACATGGACTTCTCGGAGTAGCGTTGTGCTACTTCACTGCGCCGCGCTCTGGTGAAAGCATCAGTCACACCTCCTTCATCGACACCCGACGACCCCAACGTCCTCACAATTCACTCGAACGCGAGTGATGTAGTTGCCTGCTCATCCTACCGACCCTCTCTTCTCTCTACATCAAGACCTCCACACCCATCAAGACTCCTCCCTCCCCCTCCCATTCACAGAACTCCAAACTCTTGGAACTCGCTATGGAGCCCTATCAACCTCCCCTCGCGCTCCAAAAGTGTCGTACATGCCACCACGAGTACCCATCCCAAAACTTCTTTCGGGCCGGCGGACGCACTACTTCCCAGTACTGGAAAAGCTGCAATGGGTGTGCAGAGAAAGCCGCTTCGAGTCGCATCAAAGCCACACAGCGCACTACCTATCTTGATCGTCCAAGTAACCTCCTTCCTGGCTCGCGTGGTGCTACATTCACAGATTACCGTGGACTGCCTCCATCTCTTGATCCAGATCGGGATATGAGAGTCGCTACTGGGCTGCCGGTTCGTTTGGTGGCAGAGACAGTACCTCCAGGTGCACCAGTACACGGACAGCCAGCACAATGGATGGAACACGTACCCGTCTTTCAACCCGAAGTCGAGCAGCATAAAGTAACACCCTTCATCGACACCCTGATTGGCTCCACCGAACTCCCTTCCGACCTCCTCCGCTGTGCCAGCATCCTCTCTTGTACTCCCACTTCGGCCTGCACTTTCAGAGCACAATTCTTCATCCAGCAGTACACCCTAGCAATTCGACTCTCTAAGCTTTGCAAGCGCTGGAAACAGATTGGCTTGCAGGACTGGTACAACGAAGTCTCCACCATGTGCTCTATCTCAACTACTCAATACACATGCGGCGCGACGGTATTTCTCCCTTGGCCTCCACTCGCTTCTTGGCTTGAGACTTTCAAGGCGGTAATGAGCACCGCCATCGAGGAAAACAGTGGCGCACGATGAGCTAGCACAGCGCGCCTTATATCTAGTCAACCAACTTCACCGTTCCGCGGAGCTGAAGAAAGGGCAGTGCCACCGTGGTATAGCAAAATCTCTGCAAGACACGGGGCACCGAGAACTGTGGGTATGCCGTGACGAACACAATCAGGAAGATCGAAGAGTATGTTGAGGAAGACTGGCGCGAGGAATGGAATCTTGGCGGGCTTAAGCTTCACGGCCAATAGTGTCGAGTCCTAGGGCATGAACTCCAGATGGGGAGAAACAGAAAGGGGGCATACACGGCACGGATTCGGGTTGAGGATGCTGATCAGCATGTGCTTAGATCGTGCATCGGGAGTGCCCGTTCGAGGAAGTCGGACTACAATACCTACCTCTTAGCTAATGAATGACGATCGGCACGAAATGATATCTCACAGCGCGCAGCATCTCCGGGCCGTCATAGTTCACATGGCGCAGCTTCAGGTGTTGAGATGCAGTGATGGCGAGGGGAGATGCGGTCAAAGGTTCCATGGCTAAACTCTATCGTCACATTCATTGGTAGGCGGTGACTCCTCGGTATGCTACCCAATTGGCCTCGACGCCTCTCGTGTAAGTTCTCGGCATGGATATGAGCGTATACGCTCGTATAGATCTCGGAGAAAGGCATGCTGCGCATGTCCACCACTGCCACTTGACTTGTTCGGCATGTACAAGCGCAAGCGAGTGTGGGGATGATGCGTTCCGTGCAACCACAGTGCCTGTAGATCTAGGGTCCAAGATCGAGATCAGCTGTTTCCGAAACAGTTCCAAATCTAGTCGTGTATTCTAGGCTCCAGCAGTAGAACGTTTCGTGAAGTCGAGGGTGCGGTGCGAGCTGTAGTGCGCCTCAGGCCTGGTTTCCTACAACGAAGAGTTGCATTGTCTGAGACAAAGTGACAGCGGTACCTCGCCGTCTATAGCTTTTGACAGCTTGGTTCGAGGCCTCCACGACGACTCAGAGAAGGACGGCTCTGACAGCCTTGGCATGCATGAACTGTTGCGTTCCCTTGATGGCACATACAACGTAGGGCGAGACTTCTTCACTGAACCAAATTTCGTCTTCTCAAATCTGACACATCGTTAGCCGCGCTAAGAAATAGAGTGCCGAGGTTCGCAGGTTTCGTCCAATCCAAGTGGTCGTGTGGCTCGTTAGGTGCAGGATGAGAACAAAGAAACTGGTGTGAATAATCAGCCCCAATCTAGCGGCGAACAACAGCGTGACTCGCATCTTTTCACACAATGATCTTCCTAGACATCGGTGAGTTCAATCCGAGCTGTTCGCCATTTACCTTCAATGGGAGATATTGACTCGTAATATGTGGCATGAGTTGTAGCATGTTTTTTGAGGCCGTAACGTGTACGCAACAAAGACTGTGGGCTGACATTTGAGTTGTTGCGTACTTAGATCTACTGCAGGGTAATGGTTGCTTCTTCGCGTTATCCATTGTTCTGGAAAAGCTTGATACGCGCGTTATGGTACAGTCTTACGCACTTTCGGGTTCGTATTGTGTTTCATGAAGTCGGCGTCGTGATGGTGACATTCGGAGTCGGGCTCCGGCACGTTCCACTCGACGGAGGAAGGAACTCGACGGAGAAAGGAGCTTGCACGGCCTAGATCATCAAGCCAGTTGCTTTATTTGGACGGTACCAAGACAAACAAGGAAATATAGTCCTGAATCCAAGGAGACGGTCGTTTGCCGCCTACCCGCAACGCTCGGGAGACAGGGCTGAAGATCTCGCGTGGCTGTACAACAAGCTCGTGGAATAGTCCGGCGATACATCGGTGTAGCACCCACAGGTCGAGCGCCATAGTTGTAGGCCAAGTGACATCAGTGCTAGCTGATTTGAATAGGAGATCTGTGATAGAATTTGAATAGGAGATCTGTGATAGAGCATCAGACGACATAAGACGGCCTTCACCCCACATACCTCAACTTCACAACAACAATCTAAGAACTCGAAACCACACACAATGGCCTCCATCAACACCCCATCCAAGTCGAACGCTCCTCAACGCAGAGGGAGAAAGGCAGCTGCCGGAGCACATGACCTCAACATCATCTTCAACCAAGCAAAACCTTTCCAAGATCTCCTCCGCTTCGAGCACGATCCTACCGAAATCAACCCAGCAGTCAGCATAGTACAAGAGTATGCTCGTGCCGTACGCCTTCTTTACATCCGAACAAGGTGGTCGAAACTAGGGCTCTCAGACTGGCACTCGGAGATGAACATCTTGCTTTCTGCCCGAGCTTCCACATTCATGGGCCTCGACGTATGGGACCCGCTGGACGACTTCTTCGACACCTACCTCTTCGAAATGGAAATTCAACCATCAGCCGAGCTCGACGCTCAAGGAAGAAAGTCCGTAAAGCGAGGACTCCTGAGGCAACTACAAGACACCGCGTCTCGGGAACTGGAAAGCTGCCACAAGGAGCTGTGTGATCTGCTCGAGGGCAAGCTCTCGAACTGGCGATCGCTGGACAGCAGGCTTCTTACGTTCAAGAAGCAGGTGTGGTCCGACTGTGAGCAGCGCGGAAGCCTGTGCTTGACTCCGGTGGACGAGATGGATGTACCGCTTGCAACATTCGATATGGAATCATTGTCGTCGTTGAACACAGAAAGCATGACTTTCACATCTCCACCAGCAAGCGAATACTCTTCGGCCATGAGCACAAATGGAAACGCATACTACTCCACCCCCACCTCCAAGCGAGTATGCGTCATCTTGGACGACAGAGAGTGTAGCTTGCTACACACCGCCACCGAACGGTTACTCGCCAATGTTGCAGCCTTACATCTGCTAGAGACTCTTTTTTATCTTCGACGATGTACAATAGACTTCTTAGGGAATTATGATAATGAGGCAGAGGAAGAGTTGATGATGAGGTGGTCGCGCTTCTTGAAGCGACAAAATTTCTGCAGCGTTTACAGCGAAAAGGTCATCTGCTTGTTGGAAGTGTGCAGAGCTGGTCCATAGTAGTAAGGACCCGCTGCACAACTTCGTTGTACTATAGAATATAGAATATAGACTTATATGAAGCAACTTCATACTGAAACACTCTTGAACTCTGCAGTGTGAGCATTGTTGGACTTTGTTGTGGATGTGATTACCTGCCCTTACGACGTGACATTGCAAGAGCACTTGCGCAGTGCAGCATGAGGCCACTGCGCACCAATGTTGTAGTCATGCGTTCGATGCACGTCGTATATTAGCGGTACGCTTGATGCAAGTGGTGTATGTGTGGTGTCGGTGAGGAGTCAGGAAGTCACAGCCAAGAGAAAACCTCCTGATGCATCTCCGAGCCGCCTACGTCATCAGCATCGCACCGAGGCCTCACGCAATCCCGCCATTGGCTCTATGATATTTCCTTTTCCAGAACTAAGGCAAGACGGATTGTAAAAAGCGACTTCACGTTTCGTGCTCGCCCAGACGTGTGCTGTGGCGTTCGCCCCCGTGACTTTCGGATTTGCACCGAGGCGTCGAACGACCCTGCAACTGACTCTGCAGTATCATCATCCCTTCTCGGGCCCGAAACTGCTGAGATACAAGTCCCAAACCAAGCTCATGCAACGCTCGCCCAAACATGCATCTGTGGCGTCCGCCATCGAGCTCGCGCCGAGGTACGCTGCCATTGGCTTTACAACATGACCATACCACTTTCCCGATGCGCTCATTGAGATACCAAGATTCTCGTTCTCGCATTCGAGAACCGATGAGGCGAGGGAAATTGTCATTTGCTTTCAGACTTGAAATTTCAATTATGTAGAACGGATCTTCGACTTCCTTGTGATGCTTGCGGCTCGCTCTTGCAGTCCGACATCGCTCCGCTGTTCCGGATGCCCATGAGGGTCCAGCCCACCAGTACGTACCAAAGGAAGAGGACCGCACGCCAAGAGCAAAATCCCCAAAGATCCTTAATTGAACAAAGGAATTGATTGGCCGGGTATTTGAATATTATCATGCAGGGATTGCGAGGAATACTGTCAGTATGCAACATGGATCCTGAGTGCTGAGTGATGGAGATTGCACCCGAATTAATCGCGACACAAATTAATGGCAGATAGACAATGCTGAGACAAGACAGCTGCAGTGCCTCACCACCGCATCCCACACGTGGACAGCACATGCCGCATGCTGCATGCCGCCTGTAGTAGGCAAAGTCCGTGGAGTAGCCGGCGTGCACAGCATCGACCACGACTCTTGTTCGAAGACACTTGCCAAATTCCCTGTCAGTTCTCAATTGCTATAATATCTCGCAGTTGTAGGAGCTCGCCTACCATGTACAAATGCGTCCAAAGATACCCTCACCCTCCAAAAAGTGACCGCGCCAATAAACAGCCACAAATCGCGATCCCCAAACTCAGATCAGCCCTCCCGCCCCAGCCCTAACTAGTCCTCCCCAATCAAGCCTGCCACGCACACGCATCCATCACACACGCATTAAAAAAAAGCAAACAAAAAGAACTTCTCACTATCACTCACAGATGTCCCAGCCCTACGCGCGCATGGGCTCCCACCAGCGCTAGTCCCGTCCAGAAGCGCATCTAGATCTTCCTGACTCAGAACGCCCAGAATGGTGGAGAGCTGAAAGGGAAAGCGATGGGTTTGATGTGCGGCTTGAATGGCTGGCGGCGCGGCTGAAAAGGGAATTGGGGGGGTGTGTGTTGGGTAAGAAGGTTGGATATGCATCGGGTCCGGTGTGCGCGATGATGGGGTCGCGGGGGGTATTCTCGCGTGGAGATGTGCGAGCTGACTTCAGCTTAGTGAGAGAGTGTTTTCGCGATGGGTGTTGGGCGATTGAGAATTGGCTGGAATTTTCACGATACCGTAAGGTGAGACAGAATCTTTGTTTCAGGGCCCGAACTGAACGTGGGTTCAGACCCAGGGTATGTCATTTTATGAAGAATGGATATCCCAGGATAAGAATTGATGTATTGAAAAAATATTCGTGGTTGCTAACAAAAGAAACTTGCTGCAGAATGGGGTATAGTGCTGGGTGAAAGCTGCATGCATCACCATGCCTGTGTGTCCATGCCGAGAAAACGCCTGCAAATGCTAATAATAAAAGAGTTTTGGGCGAGCGAATATGCCTAGAGATACGATGCCGGTATGCGAGTGTACAGAATTTGAAGATGAGATACTGGTGTAAGCGCGCGACAAAGTGAAGCGCTGTATCTCGTGCCGCAGCCTTTGATTGTGGCATGCTGAGGGTGTGCTTCTTGACTTTTAGTACGCTTGGATTGCGTAGAAGAAATGACCAATGAGAGGCGGTTGTGTGTAAGATCGACCTCCACATTGTGTAATCGATAATCCTTGTGATATGCATTGTGGATAACCGATCATCGACGGAAGACGCTCAGGAAGCTCTTACGCTTGCTGATCTGCGGTGTAGGTTTGTCTTGCGGAATGGGTGGAGGAGGGAGATGCGCATACGAGCCCGACTTCTTTGTAGGTTTGGAGAGGATAGGCTCGGACTTCTTGTGGTCCATCTTGGTGACGGCTGGCTTTTCAAGACCCTTCTCGTTTACAGCTACTCCGGAATCGAGTGGTCCATCGCTTGGAAGCGGAGGTGTGAGGGCTGCTCTTGCACCAGGTTTAGCCTTGGATGGGTTGCGCGACAGCTGTATGCTACTCTTCGTCTTGAAGACTCCAGATCTGCGCGAGCTTTTGGTCAGGGCCCGCTTCACGCCACTCTCCTCGCCATTCTGTCGCTCCAATCGTTCGATGTCTCCGAGAATGGTCATGCCGTTCATGGCCAGGCACTCTTCCTGAATGGCAACGAACTTGATGATGCCGCGATCAGATGTGACGCCGATGGATTCGCACATGAAGCTCTGGATGAGGGCGGCATTGCGCTTGTTGGTCGTAGGCTGCAATTGCACGGGCAGGGCGTTGATGGTGAGAACATAGGTGGGCTCGAAGGAGCCGCCAAGTAGCAGGCACGCCGAATGGTTGACGGTGATCATTATTGATGTTTCAGGCCTCTGGTATCTCGTGGAAAGATGGTGTGATAGGTCGGTAACCAGGGTGTACTCATCCTTGATCTGTGTTTGGTTAGCAGATGTGGAGCACGGGTTGAATGAACACGACTTGCAATAACGTTGGTCCGCAGCTCGGCAATAATAGGTGCGTCTTTGGTTACGCGCTCTCGGGAAGACTGGCCGTGACCCTCCTTGTAGGCAAAAGAGTCTTCGTAGAACTGAGCACGCGAGCGGGAAGTTATGGGTCGCAGATCACCCAAGCCGTCGCCGCGTGAAGATGGTCGCAGATGTTTTGGGCCATCGTTTGCGAGCTGCTCTTCATAGCACGTGAGCGCGGCGACGATGCGAACGAGAACTGTGAAGGTGAAGGCGAGAGAGGACCGGCGGCGGCTTCAGGTGCAAGCAATTGTGCACCTGCTGGCTTGGGGAACTGATTGACATTGCCAGAGTAGGTCGAGGTAGACGATGGTCGAGACATCTTGGCTTGGGTCGACGTCGAGTTGTTGGCAGAGTGAGGCATGACGTGGAGAGAAGGAGACAGGTCAAGAATGTGAAATGCGGACTGGCGTTTGAAATTGGTTTGTTTGGATGGCGAAGGGAGCCACGAATTCCTCAGGACGGTCTTGGACTGGATCGTCGCCTAGATATGGTTAAAGACGTTCGTTCGTCGAGTGTGACCTGCAGGGGCGCGGGCCTATCTGTGCGTGCGACAGGACCGTATCAGGACGAGATGGCGGCGGCGGTTATCTTGAACACAGGGGCAGCATACGAAGAGGTGCGCTGATAGACTGATAGATAACAGACGAGTCGGCGAGGACAAGGGAGTGGCAGCGGTAGGATTCTTGTCTGATTCTGGTTATGCAGACGTCAATTGAACCACACATCGAGCAGGCGCCGTGCAGGGCATGGTTATGTTATAGTGCCACCTAAATTGCCAACATGCTCCTAGCCACCAGTTCTAGTTCGACGGTCTGCACGACAGCGTCGAGACACGGGCGACCAGGGTGTGCTCACATGTGGTCTGGCGCCCTGTTGACAATGCTTGACATGGTCCAAAGCGCGGTAGCCTTTCCTCCTTCAGGCCCAGCGTCCCACCAGCTGGCGGAGGCGGAGCACTCGCTATCGGCCACTCCACGACGTCTCAGCGGAGGGCCAAAAAAAGGCTGCTTTCCTCAGCAGCCTCTGCCCAAATTTATCGCATCTGCCATGGCGCCGAGCGCCACATTCTGCACTCGCTGCCCCAAGTGTGCGTCGACTGCCTCACGATGCCGATCTCGCAGCGCAGCACTACACGGCAATGCCTTCGACGTACGGCGGCGTCACCTAGCCTGCAGACTAACCACTCAGTCCCACGATAGTGATGCCCTTTGTCCCTTCCCACTCCCCTGCCGCGCTTGCAGCAGACCCCAGGACGCTCCATCCGTCAGACTGGTGCTCAGATGTCCTCCCGCTCTCTCGTATTGCGCACAGCAGCTCCGTGCGACGCTGTGATCAGATGCTCCAGATCCACCCGTCGCACATGAGAGACACCGCTAACAAGCCGAGATCGACGACACCATAAAAGGCATCGCCGCGCATCCTGACCCGCTCACCTGCGTCCACCTGCAAAGTCGTATTCGAGTCAGCATAAAGGGCCACCGGCCAATACTCTTCATTCTCTCAAGATTCACCGCCCTCTCAGCTCATATGTGTGGTGTGGGTCGGATGCAGGTACTAGTTGGCCATCTCATAGTGCCTCGACCGCAAACGGTCTCTAGGAATGACTTGAGCCCAGTTCTGGGCAGGTGTCGAACCACCAAGCGTACAAGAACCGTCTCGTGCTTCGTCTCCTGACAATTCAGCCGACGAAGATGTTGGAGTTGGTAGATCGTCATCACCAGCCGTCTTACCTCACGCCTCGCGCTCACGAACCCGCACAGGCTGCTCACTCCAACACGAGCGTCATGATGAAGAGATGTGTCTAGCCCCCAGATTGCGCACACCATTCGTCATGCAAACCAGCCGTCTTGGAGCCGCAATCTACCCTTTCAATCTCGCACCTGTGCAATTCCTTTGTTTGTACCACGCTGTATGCATTGCCGGCGCATGCACGTCAGAACCCTTTGGACTTTGTGGATCGACTGCCACTGCTGTGTAACAACTAGCCCAGTAGCTCCACAGAGTACAAAGGCAACCTCATTTCCCAACGGTTGGCTGGGCTTTTTCGTGTCTGCAGAGGTCAACGGCTCGTATTTTCCTTGAAACCGCCTGCACGCCACTGCCGTAAACGCTCTACTCTACTAGCAACAATCTCGTCGTACGAAAAGAAAATGCCACAAGCGCTGCTAGTGCTTTGCAAATGAAGAAAACCTGGCATCGGACGTCACAACTGCGGGTGCAGGCTCGTTCGTGCATCCAGGCGCCCATTTTGCGATTTTCTCGGACATTTGAGTGTCGGAGCACATTCGTGTCATGAAGTCAATGGCGGAGTTTACTCCTCGAGCCCCAACAGATCGCCCAATATCGAATTGCTATCTCTGCACAAACTCATTTCGCTGGCTTCAAACACACGGAAAGTTACTCGTGTGCATCGGCCCGCAGCCTCGAAATAAAAGTGCTTCGTGATGCTTGACGATCCTTTGAGAAATCGATGTCTTGTCGCTTCGTATTGTGTAGGGTAGACTTGTAGAGAAGCGAGGTGCCGAGACTGATCATGTCCACACAACGAATGGTAGTTGTAAGGACAGGGATGGTCGGACTAAAATAGAGCACACGTCTCATTCGCAGCGGCTTCGCATGTCCTATCGCAAAATGTGTACGCAGCTGCCTCCTTCGGACGGAACATTTACGGCCGTGTTTAAAATATCAGCTGCGGTCGCGTGGGCCTTGCAGTAGCTCAGTGGCTGCGCATGCTCTACGGAAGCCTTAATGCTCGAGAAGCTACGCGAGGCTTGCTGCTTGCATGGATAATGACAACGAGTGGCCAAGAAGGATTGACATGTAGCCGAAATGTTGGGGGCGGCAAGCATCGGAAGTTTTGAAGCCATCCCATGTTTCTTGGAAATGCATAACTTGACACCCAGCTGCCGAAATACTCTATGTACGATAACTTCTGCATATGGTCATTCGAGTCTGTGTGATGGCGGTGAGCAGGGCTCAAGATGCAGTGACGTAGGATGAGGTCATGTGACTGCGCGTTGATTTCGGTGTGGGGGAGCCGCCGTCAACAGATGCTGTGTGCTCCACGCTCCACTCTACGCGACCAAACACCCACACTCTCGACTCGCACTCGCGATACCAGCAATGCCGCCCAAAAATGCCAATGCGAATGCAACCAGCCGCAAAGGTCCGCAGTTTAAACCACCGCGACCAGTGAAGGCACCTGCACAAGCTTCTGCAGCGACAAAACGCGCAGGAGCAGGCGCTGCAAAGAAGGCTCCCGCCAAACCAGCGTTCCAGCCAGCAGCCGAGATTATCTCATCAGACGACGAGCAGCCAGATGAGGAGCAATTCGACGATGATGACGATCTGATGGAAGACGCGCCTGCTCCAGCACGCAACGCCCGACCACGGCCCACCGAAGTGCTACCAAGTCCCATACCTGCACCACTCCTTGCGCGTCTACTCTATGAGAACTTCGAGGACCCGAACACCCAGATACAGAAAGGCGCCATGAACCTCGTGGAGAAGTACATGGAGATCTTTGTGCGCGAGGCGTTCGCCAGAGCGAAGCAGGAGCGGGAGCTCAGCGTCAAGGCCGGAGGAATATCGGATGGATTCTTACAGGTGGAGGACCTGGAGAAGCTGGCGCCGCAATTGGTATTGGACTTTTGAGCGACGGCTGCGCTGTTTGATACGCGAAAGTTTGTGCTGATTGAGAGACGGAGAACACGGAATGTATTGGACATGGCACGCATTACCTAGACGCGTGCGCCACGTCAAGCACGATGCGCCACTGGCGATTGCGCCTGAGGCGGATGGAGGAGCTCCGCGTATGACCGCAATGGCACGTTCCGGCGTGGCATAGCACGGCAATGCCGCTGTCTGCCATGTCGAGACACGCTCGAAAGAACGTCTCGCATGCAGCACAGCAACGACTGGCGACAAACGGTTTGGTAGTACTGGTACGTTTTGGGGAGACGTGGCTCAGCAACCATGTGCGACAGCTGAGCCTCCTCTCAGCGCAACGACGTCGAGTTTCACGGCCTGGTACTGGACGAAAATGAAGGTCACTTGGCATCTGGCGCGTTTGGAACACTTGACAGCGATGCCAAGTTTGACAGCAAACAATTACGTCTGCCTGGCATGAGCATGCGCCCCAGCAAAGAAATTTTCAATCTCGCAGACCGTGTTTCCGTAGTGCTTGCCTTGTTCGGTGTGGTGTTTTCCGGGGCGAGCTCGGAAGAGTGCTCCCTGAAGCACGCTCAAACACACCCGGAACAGGGAGTGCTTCGCAGCCTCAACACCCGAGTCGGACCCTGCACCAACCACGAACATACACTCTTTGCGACATTTCGCGACAGGTCAGCGGCGAGCCATCAGACTTTAGATGACAGAACAACTCTGTTGAAAACTGCTTTATTTTGGATGTAGTAACATAATATGCCGACGCGTAGTTGCTCCCACGTCGTCGTGTTCTGCGAGGCGGCCGTTGAGCCTCAAGTACCAGGGTTCCACAAGCGAGGTGGAGGCTGAAGCAGTTACAGCACATCACCCGTCGCAGAACCATCCCCATGTATCGGAGTAGCTACTAACCGCTTGCTTTCCACCTGGGCAAAACGCAATGACCCATCGCTCGGGGGCTGCCTTTCATGCCTTAAGGAGCCCTATAGGCCCCGTCTCAGGCACATTTTCTCTTCCCATCTGCTTCTGCTCACGTTTGCTATTGCATTTCATTTTCTATCGTTTCCTTCATTCACCACTACGGTACTTTACCTTCGTAATACCTGGCTAGCCCAGCTTAACCTTAGAGCGCGAGTCGCCTATATCCATTCTCTCTCAGGCCATCGACAACTAGTAATACTTCAATACTCAATTTTCGAACGAACCTCAGCACAATATCCAACATGTACTTCTCAAGATCCACCATCGTCTCTGCCCTCATGGGTCTCGCTACTGCACAGTCGTCTTTGATGGCTTCGGAGGCCATGTTGGCTTCCAGCACAGCTTCGGCCTCAGGAAGCCTATCCACAGGCAGCGCAGGAAGCGGCTCGCTGGCTGATACCACAACCCCCTCAGGAATGGTCAACACACACATCATCAATGTCGGAGGACCCAACGGCTCTCTCATCTTCTCGCCCAGCAACATCCGTGCAGCAGTTGGTGACATGATCCAGTTCCATTTCTATGCCAAGGTATGTACCGGCACCACTGTCCCACTCAAACATCGCTGACACTCTTTGTAGAACCACTCTGTCGCCCAGTCCACATTCGACCAGCCTTGCATGCCCATCGCAAACGTCATGTCCAATATGACCACCTCCTTCTACTCAGGCTTCATGCCCACCAACGCTACTTTCGGCACCACATCCAACGTCCTGACCTACACCATTCCCGTTAGGGACGAGAAGCCCATCTGGTTCTACTGTTCCCAGGGCAGGCATTGCCAGAACGGCATGGTCGGCGCCATCAACGCGTACGTTCCCTCATCTCTCCCACACGCATTTCATCAACTAACACAACGACAGCCCCGCATCAGGCAACAGGACCATGGCTGCCTTCACCGCTCTCGCCGCACAGGCATCGGAGAACATCAGCCCCGGCCAGGCCGCCGGCTCTGGCTCTGGTTCCGGAGCTGGCGGTGCAGGCGGCTCCTCGCCCTCTGGCACCACTCCCGGCAACACTCCCATCGCGCCTTCCGGCAACGCTCCCGCTCAGCAGAGCGCCAATGCCGCACCGGTTGTTGGCAGCCAATCCGTCTTCGGCCTCGGTGCTGCGGCTGTTGCTGCTTTCGCTATGCTGTAAGCGCGTCCAAAGGCCTGAAAGATGGGTGGTGGTAGATGTTAGAGGGATTGTTTATTGATACCATTTCTTGCGACTGAGCTGGCTTAAGTGGAACATTTTGAGCTTTGGGGAGTGTGTTTTTCGTTTTATATTCGTGTACGTCCCGAGGGCGGAAGAGAACAACGATGGGTTTGGGAGAGGATAGATAGCAGATTAATGTAACTACTATACACGGTATGTGACCTAGTTGTGCTGATGTGCTGGCTCTTTGGCGCGTGTTGTGATGAAAATAATTCCGTGCAAAACATGAGTATATTTTGTATACCTAATCTTTTAGTGCATATGGTAGCATGGAGATTTCTTGAAAAGGTGGGGACACACACGCTTACTTGACACCTCATGTACCCCACACTCCTGCCGCGCGCTCATTGCTTCTTCCACCGACACGTGCGAACTTCCAACGAACCATCAGCGAGTGCAACCCACCACAACGAGCTTCACAGTCATGGCTTTTAGGCTAAGCGCCGTCACCACCATGCCGTCCCGGCGACGTGGACGGGCACGTCTGTCCTCAATCTCTCTTGGTTGTCGCAATGTCGACAAGCACCTTCTGGAGCCGCTTTGGAATCGAGGAAGAAGATGCTGCGCGGTGTGTAAGAGCTGTGCGAGATGTGTTTGTTGGCTGGCGGGTAAGGGAGTTTGAAGAGCAGGGGTGGTGTAGCTTCACGTTGATCGTTGAGCGAGACGCGGAGACCGAGGGCGATTATCGATTTCCCGAAATCCAGTTTGATTCTGGAGCCACATCTCTGATCGTTCAAATCAGGCCCCCTCAGCATGCTCTTGAAATGAGCATCACACGGGCAGCAGAAGTGACATTCCCGTCACTGGCACCGACCATTCAGAGTCTGGATATTGAATTGCCCGGAGGATTGCACGCAAATGCGATGAACAGAATGCCTGGCACTCCTCTGTCTCGCCTACTTCCTCGCGATCAGAACACTGGCCCTGTCCTCCAGACCAAGCAAGAACGACTTGTTAGGAGCTTTGCAGCAATCATAGCGCACAGCTGGGGATCTTCTTCCACATCAATCCCACACTCCCAACACACGCGAGCTGACTCACCCATGGACGACAAGCCATCTATGCTATCCCTTTGCAAAGGTAAAGTCGGCTCGACGATCATCTCTCGGCTTCGAAAGCTAGGTGAAGAGCTACCTGACGCTCCACTAAGAGATCTTGCGCAGAGCACTTTGGCCAAAGTCCAACGCTTGGATGACTACCTCGTTGTGCTGAATCACGGCGACCTCATCCCCTCCAATATACTCGTCGACGAAGATACATGGGTCATCACTGGCTTGGTAGATTGGGCGGAAGCAGAATATTTGCCGTTTGGAACGTGCTTGTATGGATTGGAGAATTTGCTTGGATATAGCGGTACTGCAGGCGGATATGTGTACTACGAGAATGAGGCGCAACTGAGGGATATGTTCTGGAAGTGCTTGTTCGAAGCGGTGCCGGAACTGAAAACCGGGGAGCATGATGTGAGGACGATGAGAGATTTGGGCGTCTTGCTTTGGTATGGTATTGCGTGGGATGACGGGGCAATTGATCGCGTTGTCAATGAGACTGAAGATGAGGGTGAAGTAGCATGCCTCCGAGCATTCCTGAGCTCCGTGTAGTTGATATTGTTGCTGCGTGGATTCTTCTCTTTCATTCTCTCATTGTCCAGTACGTTTCTTTTAGACATTCACTTATACATGGACGATTTTCTCCAATACATGGCGAGATCAAAGTATTGACTCTGTTTGTACGATGACGTCCGTTGCCGGTTGTCACAACGCGTTTGTTTACAAATGCGCCTGCCGTGTTGATATTGCACCAGCCGCACTTTCCTGCAGAATTTGCACCTTCCGATTCAACAACCACAACGTCACGCTTTTTGCTTTGGGCTCAGCTTCTGCAGTCGTCCACACTTTGTTGCCGCCTACATCTTCCGTCGCGTCACCTCATCACAGTCGCGTTGACTTGCTCGAATTACGAATACAAGAGTCCAATATCAACGAAGCTTTGCCGCCTAGTTGTTGCGGGAGAAGAAAATACTCACTTTACCTGGTGTGGATGACTTGCCCTGCCAAGTACTTATTAAAATATCACTAACAAGACCATTTTAGCTATCTCAAAAATGGTCGACAAGCGACGCGCCGTCGAGCGTGAAACACCAGTGACCGGCGGCACTCGTGCAAACCATAGTGAAGGAGATCGGAATGAGAACATCCAAGTGCAACGGCCTCGGGTCAAGAAACACGCAGGACTCTACACTTCGCCCCAGGTTACTGTTAAAGATTCAACCTCCACGTCATCTAGCACCGGCGGCATGGAAGACATCAGTCTAACATCCCCATCTATAGCAGAGTCACTGAGACCAGATGCCATGCAGACCCCAAAGCGAGACCGAGAGCATCAGATTCCAAAGCGAACTCTCTCTTCTGCACTTCGTCGTCTAGTTGGAAAATCATCAACTTCCAAAGGCACTGCCCATAATCCTATAGTACTGGACGAATACTCACCCCGCCGCCAACCGATTCCACTGCCACCACGCGAAGTGCCAGAATACGAGCCACACAAGTTCGAGAAGCGCCACCGGAAATTGTACACATATCAGCCGGAGCGACCGGTCCTTGCGCCCAAGCCCGCTAATGGCAACAGGTTTACGGGTGATAGGAGCAGCGATCTGTACCGCATGATCAACGCCAAAGGGACAGCGGTAGCCTGGACTCCTCCCGTGGTAGCTGCAACACAACTTCCACCCGTCACAGCAGCAACACAACCTCCTTTAGCCCCTCATGGACAGGTCACCTATGGCATCCCCTTCGCCGTCCAATTCCCCAGGTCGGCGCAATACCTGATGGACCAGCTCAACCCCATCCCGCCCTATGAATCCCCATATGCCCGCTACCACAACAACATGGGCGTCACGCTCAGCGGCGACAGCGAAGATATGCTGCGTAGAAAGGCGCTTCAGCATATCCGCGACTCGTCGCGTTCGCAGCTTCGTAAGAAGATGCTGTCGGACGACCCGGACGAGACGAGTGGAGACGACAGTGAACAGCTCGGGAGAACCCACATCTACCAAGATCCCAATGATCATGTATCGCCGCTTGTTGCACAGACGAAGCTGCTTACATCGTTGTTGCAGTGCTATGCTAAATCGACGGATCAGGTGGGTTTGAGGCAGGACATCGCCTTGTTGGTCGGCGTGCAGAAGAAGAAGGTCGGAGAGTGGATGCAGGCGGAATCTAGGCGTGAGAGAACGAGCGACGAGCGAGTGAGGAGGGCGGTTGATCAGCTACTGGCTCGTGAGGCAGAGAAGGATCATGGGATTAGGGATTTGCTGAGTTCGAATGCGGATATGTGGCAGGGTGGGATGGAGGGAGTGGCGGAGGTTTTTGGCGTGGATAGAATCGGGAGAGGAGAGAAGGCGAAGAGGAGGAAGTTGGGGGTGTGTGGGGAGGATATGGTGAGGTGAGGTGATGAAGTGGGATGGGGGAGTGGAAGGGTAGGAGTAAGTGTACGATTAAAATGTACGCCATGATGTTTGAAATACAAGATGGCGCATTCCAAAAGACAATTCATCACTCCCATAAAACAATTGACGTTCTCAATCATATTCACGTTCGTCATTTTATCTATCCGGGTATCTCTACCTTCCAACATGTCCCACGCTTCAATTCCCCTTATTGCCCCTCTGTTCCACCCCTCTTACTCCGATCAATATGCCCCGCCAAGCGGTCTTCTTAACATCCGTCAGACGTCCTCTTATTCTTACTCTTCGCCTTACTCAGGGTCATGAGGAAATTCTTCTTGCGCGCCTTCTCCTTGTTCGTCGTACTCTTGCCCTCTGCGATCTTCTTCTCCTTGCGCTTGGCCGTCGTGGACTGGTGGTTGGTCTCGCGGTCGCCCTTGGCCATGGCGATTTTCTCCTCCTTGGTGTTCTTCTTGCCGAGGCTGGCGGCGGCTTCGATGGTCTCGGCCGTGATGGCTTCGTCGGCGTGGCGGGCGGCGAGGAGTTGCGCGCGCTTGTGCGAGGGAAGGGAGGAGGAGATGGCGGAGGCTTCTTGTAGGGCGCGGAGCTGTTTGAGGTCGGCGGGGGTGAGAATGGTGGTTGTGAGGAGTTTGGATATGGACTTGATTTCGGGCTCTTCGCTCTTCTTGTCGTCCGCGGCGTCGGTGGTGGCGTTGCTGAGTTTGCGTTTCTTGGCAGGAGGTTGTTTGGCTTTGGCTTTGGACTTGTCTTTCTCGTCTTCTGAGTCGCTGATCTGGATGTCTTCGCCATCGGACTCGACGTTGATCCAGCCGCCTGAGTCGTCGCTTTCTTCGTCGGATTCGACGTCCCAGGCTTTCCAGTCTTCGGTCTCGTCGGGTTCCTCGCCGTCATCAGCGTCAGGGTCAAGACCAGCTGCTTCACGCTTCTTGCGGCGTTCCTCCTCTTTCCACTTCTCGAGCAGTTCGATACCCTCGACCTCACCGACTGCTTCTTCACCATATCTCCGCTCCTTGATCGTGCCTGCTCGGATGCCCATGGCTGCGTCCTTGCCCCGATCACGCTTGTGAAGGAGGTCTGCACCGACCTCTCGGTAGAGCGACAGAAGACCCTTGGCCGCCATCATTGTACCCTTATCCTTAGACTTGCGGTATTGTACCAAATCTTGCAAGAGTGTATCAGTCATTGCCAGCGGCTGGCGTACACAAATCTCTCGGATAGCGTTGAGACCTGCTGCTGCCACCTCGGATGCTGAAGCTTCCGAGACGAACTCATTCGCAATCTTCTGGACTAGCGGCTCGAGAACATCGGGAGGTACATAGTTGTGGGTTGCCTGTGCAAGACACGCAAGGTAGCTGGTAACGGATGCTTGTCGTGGAGTGAGGTGCTTGAGGAAGAACGAGTAGAGCGAAAGGACGGTGAGCTTATGCAGACCAACAAGTCGTGAGACAAGCTGCAGCACAAGAAGTTTGGATTCCAGCTGGAGCTTCGACTTGGAATTTTGGACGTGCTTCGAGAAGAGCTGTTCAGCAAATCCCTGTGGGTCGTGAAGCAAATGCAGCGCAGAGAAGTTCAGTGGATGTGGCGCATTCTTCTTGTGTTGCTTCTTCTTGACGGCAATAGATGCCTTCCTAAGATCCCTCTGGTTCTTCTTGGACTTCTTGTTGATGCCGACCTGGTGGCGTAATCGTGCAATGTCGACGTCCTCGTCGTCATCGCTGTCTTCAGCCGCCTCCTCACGCTCCTTGTCACCCCCAAGGAAGAAGCGGACTCCACCAGTTATGACCTTCTCGTTATCGCTGAGCGCAGCTAGTCGCATGACCTCGACTGCTCGCGCATCTGTCCATATCTGCCTCTTCCACATCTCTCGCGCAATCTTGACTGCCCATATTCCTTTCGGTGACTGCTTGTCCGACTCGAGCAAGTTGTACAGGACGGTTTGGATAGTGCGGTTTAGCTTGTGGTTCGTGGCTTTGACATTGGAGGATCGCAGGTCGGAGAGGATCTTGGTGAAGAGTAGCTGGCGAAGCGATTTGCTCGGTGTGGAGACGAGGATGGGGAAGAGCGTGTTCAAGAGCACGGTCGAGTCGATGACATCCTTGTTCCTTAGCAGCACTATACTACCAACAATCTTGTCTCGCAGATCGTACTCGAGTACTTCATGATGTTGCAGCAAAATCTGGGCCAACTCGCCGGGAAATTTGGAGGTGAGGTCGGGGTAGCGGTCGGCCACATGCGATATAAACTCAATCAAGTCCTTGAGCGCAACGAGGCCGGAGTCTGTGGCAGAGGGGTTTTGAAGGAACAGATCCCGCAGCGTCTCGTACTGCTGGTACTGGTTGTTGAAGTCGTCACGGTAGCTCTGAGGGTCGCGCTTGAGCTTGTAGCGGAGTGCAGCATGATCTGCCTCGATTTTCTCGAGAGCGCCAACTTTGCGCTTCATTTTGGCAGTAATTCGGGTGGTTCAAGGGTGTCAACTCTGTAGGCCATTCGCAATCGATAACTTTTCGAGCAAAATAAAAGTGGGTCTGCTGCACTAGCGGAGGCCGGGGCAGGTTTGGCCGATGGAGCTCATGTGGGCCGCCGGAAATCTTCAAAAGCGCAACAGCCTCTCCAACCCAGCCCACTCCCACCAGCAGCGCGTCAACCTCGAGACGACTTGCGCCGCTGGCGATTGCTGCGTCTTGGTTCCAATTGCTAGCTTAGGCACGCTTCACCGCATATCGACGCGTCCTTAGCACCTGGGCCAGCGCCCACCACAGCCCAGCATGACGAGCTTCTCATCCATGTCCCTGTACGCCTTGACGGTGAAGCAGCCCACGTCCACACAGGACGCTCTCACCGGCGACTTCATTGGCAATGGCAAACAGCAGATCCTCACAGCGAGCGGCTCCAGGCTCGCGATTCTCGAGGTCTCCCGGCGACAAAAAGGCTTCAACGAGGTCTACTCGCAGGACGTGTTCGGCATCATCCGCCGCATCGCGAAATTCCGCATCGCAGGCGGTACCAAAGGTATGTCATTCCGGTCTAGAACGCTATAAGTCAGCATAGTGATTTTCAAAGCATCCGACGCACGCGAGCTCGCAGCTCCCTGAGCCCGCGGTGGACTGGACTGGACATAATACATATCAAGAACCACGCTGACTTTGTAGATCACATTGTCATAACCACCGACTCCGGACGGCTAGTGACGTACGAGTACGTGGCCGACGAGCAGACCTTCAAGACTGTGCACTTCGAAACGTACGGCAAGTCTGGAATACGACGTGTCGTGCCTGGCGAGTACCTGGCGGCAGATCCGAAAGGACGCGCCATCATGATTGCCTCTATTGAGAAGAACAAGCTGGTCTACATTCTCACCCGAAGTGGCCAGACCGACATCGCTATTTCCTCTCCGCTCGAAGCGCACAAGCCGCAGACGCTTGTCTACACCCTGATCGGGCTTGATGTTGGATACGACAACCCCATGTTTGCATCTCTAGAGCTTGACTTTTCGAGCTCAGAGACTGATCCCACAGGCGAGGCGTTCGATGAGCTGAAGAAGGAGCTTGTGTACTATGAGCTTGATCTTGGCTTGAACCACATTGTGCGAAAGTGGTCAGAGCCGGTCGACCGGACAGCCAATGCGCTTTACCGAGTGCCAGGAGGTCCCAACGCGCCGAGTGGTGTTCTCTGCTGCGGCCTCGACAACATCACCTACCGTCGCATCTTCAACACCAACTCCAACGTGCACCGACTAGCCATTCCACGTCGCGAAGGTGCAACCGAGGATCCAAACCGCAAACGTTCCATTGTTGCTGGTACACTCTACTCACTCAAAGGTGGTGACTTCTTCTATCTCTTACAGACGGACGACGGCGACGTGTTCAAGCTTACCGTGGACGCGCCTTCCGGCACAGTCGAAAGGATCAAGATCAAGTACTTCGACACGATCCCTGTTGCGACAAGCATCTGCATTCTGCGTGCCGGTTTCGTGTACGCGGCGTGTGAATCCGGTGATAGGATTCTGTACGAGCTGGAGTCCTTGGGTGACGAGACTGATGACCCGATGTTTGAGAGCGGCCAGTTTCCTGTCGACCCCGAGGCCGTCTTTGCACCACCATTTTTCAAGCCGAGGGCACTCACAAACTTGACTGCAGTTGAGACGATGCCAAGTCTCAACCCCATCATGGGAATGGAGATTGCAAACCCTATGCTCGAGGATGCGCCACAAATCTACACCATCAACGGCGCGGGAGGTCGTAGCACTTTCCGCACCACGCGAAATGCCCTGGAAGTACTTGACCTCATCGAGTCACCACTGCCTCAAAACGCTTCTGATGTCTGGACCACTAAGCTCACATTGGAAGACGAAACTGATACCCTCATCGTCCTTTGTTTGCACAGTAGGACGCTGGTACTGAAGATTGGTGAAGATGTCGAAGAAGCTTCCAACACAGGCTTCATGGCGGACACAAATACGCTCGGTGTTCAGCAATTCGGCGAAGACTGCATCATCCAGGTCCACCCTAAGGGCATTCGTCACATTCAGGGTATACAATTCCCGGAAGACGGTGCTGTCGCAACCCATACCAGCTTAACCGACTGGCAACCCCCTGCTCACCGAACCATTGTAGCCTGCGCAACAAACAACCGACAGGTTGCTATTGCATTGAGCTCAGGTCAGATTCTGTATTTTGAGTGCGACGCTGATGGTTCACTTGCCATGGCTGAAGAGGAGATCGCGCTTGACAGCACGATCAACTGTCTTGCTATACCCGATGTACCTGAGGGCAGTGTACGAGCTTTCTTCATGGCAGTTGGCTGCAGCGACCAGACTGTCAGGATCTTCAACTTGTCCCCAGACATGGAAGGCAATATTCTACGGAGCATCTCAGTGCAAGCCTTGACATCCCCACCGAGCGGCCTCACCATCAACATGATGTCCGACAAGTCTTCACGTGGCTACAGCCAGTTCTTGCACATTGGTCTGCGGAGTGGAGTATACATTCGCTCCGTCCTCGATGAGATGACGGGAGATATTGGAGACACTCGCAGGCGCTTCCTCGGTCCAGAACCCATCAAGTTTGCAAAGGTCACTGTCGCTGGCGAGCCTGCCATCCTTGCGATGACATCCAGACCATGGCTGGGGTACACTCACCCGCGCACTGGCGTACTACAGCTCACACCACTCAACTACATCGCCTTCAAGTCTGCTTGGAATTTCGAAGGTTCACAATTCAAGGGCATCATCTGTGTGAGCGCCAACGAATTACGGTACGTCAAAGCTATTTCATTTTCCCCTTTGATTGCACTGATGATACTTGTACACCCTAAACACACTGAGGGACTTAAACTTTTATTCCAATTGTTCCTACTGAACGCAATCTCTATCCATGCTCTTGTTGCTTGATCTACTTCAGCCAACAGTCACTAACGAGCATAGCATATTCACTTTCAACGATTTGACGGATAACACCACGTACGAGACCATCCAGCTTAAATACACACCCCGCAAAATGGTTGGCTACCACGAACAAGGTGTCTTTTACGTTATCCAGAGCGAAAACAACACCTTGAGTGCGGACACCCGACAGAAGCTTATCGCTGAAGCCGATACTAAGCAAGAGGATGAGGATGATGCGCCCATGGAAATCGAAGGCGCCAATGGTGAGACGACAAATGGCCGTGCTACGAGCGATGAGCTACCTCCAACTGCATTCGGCTACCCGCGAGCCCAAGGCAACTGGGCATCATGTATTCAGGTCGTTGATCCTGTGACCGAGAAGGCCGTTACACATACAGTGGAGATCAATGCCAACCAGTCTCTTGTCAGCGCAGCGCTCGTCTACTTTGAAAGCCGTGGCAACGACGCCTTCTTGGCGGTCGGTACTGCAAAGGACTTGAGCTTCCAGCCCTACCATTACTCAAGCGCTTCTATACAAGTCTACAAAATCTCACCAGATGGACGCGAACTCGAATTCTTTCATGAGACCGAAGTCACCGAGCCACCGACTGCATTGCTTGCCTTCAAAGGCAAGATGGTTGCTGGTGTTGGCCGTAACCTCGCTTTGTATGATTGTGGTATGCGCTCTGTCCTCCGCAAAGCTCAGGCCACGAATTGTGTACCAACACGTATTGTGGACCTGAAGACCCAAGGTAGTCGTTTGGTCGTCTCGGATTCGGTCCAGTCAGTCACGTACGTAGTGCACAAGGACCAAATTCACCCCAATCGCATGATTCCATTCATCGACGATACCATTCAACGACACACCACCTGTACCGAGATGTTGGACTATGACACCACCGTTGGCGGTGACAAATTCGGGAACCTTTGGTTGGTGCGATGTCCACAGAAGGTTTCTGAGTCTTCGGACGAATCTCCTGATGGATCCGACATCCTCGTCGACAAGAGCTATCTTGGCGGTACTGCCAACCGCCTTGATAGTGTCGCGCACTATTTCGCCAACGACATTCCCATCTCGATCCAGAAGACTCACCTACTGTCTGGCGCTGAGCGTATCATATTCTGGGCTGGTCTACAAGGCACGCTTGGTGCCTTGATCCCCTTCAACTCGCGCAGACAGCACAAGATGTTCCAGCAACTCGAGTTGCAGCTGCGTTCCGACGACAAGCCGATGTCTGGACGCGACCACTTGGCTTTCCGCAGCTACTTCAACCCTGTGAAGAGTGTGATCGACGGTGATCTCATCGAGCGATTCTTGGTCTTGTCTCGAGACAAGCGCGAGAGCATCGTTGGTCAGTTGACTGGTGCTGAGTGGACCCCGGGAATGATTGATGAAGCGATCTGGAATATGCGAGCACTGTATGCTTTCTAGACGAGTAATGATCTCTCGTCTCCTCTCTTCGACTGAGGCTGAGTTTCCTAACCGGAGCTCGCACCCACTCCTGCACAGCAGCATGTCTTCTGAGAGGTACGTGAAAGCATTGAATAGTTGATAGCTACTCGAGGGTCTAGTCAACCCTTGAGCCATCTTTCAACCCTAACCGTGACGCAGCTCTAATGAATCAATAGAAGACCCAATCCAGCTCATGTTTTGGATCATCGGGCGTCGATAAGGCGATGTACTATATGTCTCTCGGAGGGATGTCGGAGGACCCAAGGGGAAGTCAGGAAGCTTGGTGATTGAGTAGAGCACGTTTGATGACCACATGGGAGAGCGAGGTGACGTAACAAACACGAAACTGCCGTGTAATGTAGCAGAAGGAAGTCGTCACGAAATGAGGACAATACGATACCCAAACACTTCATGCCCGCTTCACTTCATCTCACATCTGATCATGCATGGCTGATCGCTTGTGTGCCAAAACAACCTTATTGACAGCGACGTAGTAGTCTCGAGGCCTGTGTGTTTTGATACACTCGATGTGCAGAACTTTGACCATCAAGGCACTTCAACATGGACCATAGCTTTGACAGCTGTTACTTACGAAATCCTCTTCAAAGACTGTTCACATGATTCGAGATGGAAGAGCATATTGAGGTGGGGGTGACACGAAGACCATTACGTGTGTTGGAGTAGCTGAGCAGGTGATAAAGTTGCAGTTATGAACATTTGAATACTTTCTGATAATTACTTTAGACACACCTATGCATATCTAATCTACGAAGCCAGCCCTATCAACGCCAACGCAATGCTAAGCTATAGAGAGAGAGAGAGAGAGAGAGAGAAAGCAAACAATTATGAGCTCAGAGCCAATATCCTCTCAACAGCCCGCTCGGCAATGATCATCGTACCCATCGCAGGGTTGGTCGTCAACGGAGGACTAATCGAGGCGTCCACCACGAACAAGTTCTGCATTCCAATGACCTTGGTGTCGGCATCTACGCACGACTCCATCCTGCAACTGCTGCTCCAGTGCTGCACGTTGCCCATTGTGTACGGGGTGGATGAGGTCAACCATGTCGTCAACTCCTCCAGCGTCGAGTTCTTGGCAATGTTAAGAGGCGTCAGAGACTCAGGCAGCGCAGCAAAGATGCCGTGGATGAAGGTGGCGACAGCTTCGGCGTCACGCTTGTCGGCGTAGAAGTTGGCGTTGGGGAGCGCGATACCCCTGGCGTCGAGAGTCACGCGGCCTTGAGAGCGCAGTCCTGATGTGCCGTAGACATTCAGAGTAATCGTGCCGTTCTGTGTGTATTCCTGGTAGCCGGAGGAGTCGATCGTGCCTTGGCAGCCGACCGTGGCACCGTCCTGCTCGATGTAGTCCCAGAATGCGCTGGTTTGTGACGCGAACGAGTAGGGACCCGAGCGCTCGTTGAGGTACAGGTCACGATCTGCTGGGATCGGGTCGGCGTAGCTCTGGGTGTATGACGAGATGGCTTCTGAGTGGAGCTCAATGAAGGTGTTCGGGTTATCGAAGACTTTGTCGCCCACTGCGGTGTTGTTGATCCAGTCTAGAGAAGGAGTCTTCACTAGGCCTTGTGCTGAGATCTTTGTGAGGGTCTCTGCGTCACCGATGCCGGACCACATGAGGAGTTGAGGGCTTAGCATGGCGCCTCCAGACAGGATGATCTGTCCACCGTCTTTGATGCAGTATTCAAGGTTGTTATCTGTGCTTTGCACTTCAACGCCCTTGGCAACTTCTCCTTCGCGGCTCACACGCAGAACACGCGCACCAGTCTTGAGCGAGAAGTTCTCGCGCCCGAGAGCTGACTGAAGCCATGTCTTGACTGGTCCGCTCCTCTGACCACCCTCATAGCTGTAGATTGGGTGGCCAAACTTCTTTGTCTTGGTGTGGTTGCAAGAGTCGTCGTTAAGCCCGGTTTCGGTGTACCCAGCGCCATCAACGAGCCATTGCTTTGCAGCATCATAGCCGCTCTGCAAGTAACGCTTTCCATCTTTGGAGGGTGTGTCAGTGGACGGCTGCTTCGCATACACTTTGTTGATTGCGCTTTGCATGTCCGAGTTCTTCCAGCCTTCTGGGAAGTATGTATCCCAGTCGCTGGCAGGTGGCTGGAAGAACAACCCAGCGTTGATGGCGCTGCTTCCGCCGACAGTGCACCCTGAGAAGGCATTTACAATGTCTGATGCGCATGTGAGACCACCATCTTGAATGCTGAAGATGGATTTGTACAGTCCAGGCACGTCAACTCGGCTGAGATCTGTATCGTTCAGCCAGCTTGGTCCTGCTGACCCGCCAGTGATGTGGTAGGATGGGCCTCCTTGTTCAAGGAGAAGTGTCTTCTTTCCAGCCTCGCTCATGCGGTCTGCGACTACGATTCCCGCTGGGCCGGATCCTGCAAACAGTTAGCGACAACCGAAGCCTCGTGGCGGAAAGCTTGTATCTTACCAACGACAATAACATCCCACGCATCACCGCTGCATGCGGCAGATACTGTGGAGCTAACCAATGCGATGGGCACAAGTGTTCTCCATGCTTGCGAAATCATTTTGTCGTTAAAGGAGATGTAAGCTTGCTGACAAGGCCGCGACTGACTTCAAGGATGAAAGCTTATTTTTCACGGCGGATCTGTCGGATTATATCCTTTCCACCAGCGATCTGTGTACATTTGCTTTCCGAGTGGCGTTGCGGGTGCGCCCGTATATGCAAATGGCCGTGTCTATTTCAGGGTCGAGGAGTCGACAATGACGATGAATCTGGACAATGGGTGGAACGTGCATCAACGCTAACAGCTGAATTTGCCCAGCGTTGGGCTACTCTGTGCGCTTTGCGTCACTGAGAGATCCAAGCGCAACGCGATGTCAGGTTTATGATTCGGATGCTGAAATAATTACCGAAGAAGCGTTGCACTGGCTGAAGGCGATGGCGCTCACGGTGTGTATTGCGCCGACGCACGATGCTACCAAACTAAGTTTGGAACCGGGAAGGAGAGAACACGACAACCGGCTACGACCTACTCCACAGAACACGAGATCAGGAATTTGCGACTCTTTGCGCAATTCGTCACAGTCAGGTGGCACTGGCTATCAAGTGTTGATGGTTCACAATACGATGGCTCGGACCACTCCAACAAGGCTGTTGTGGTACTAAGGGAACAAGGCCATTGTTGGGTGCAAACACGTAGGTTGAATGTAGGGCCGACTGCCCGTGACTGTTGTCGGCATCACTTTGCGATCTGCGCCATCCTTCGACTGGTGAACACGAGGGTATCGGTCGACAAAGAGCATTCTCAGCATCAGATGTTCCCTCTACGAGAGTAAATTCGTTATCGAAGAGCATGGAGTAGGGCGCTTCATGCTCATCTATGAAATGGATCAGAACAAATAAATGGCATTGTCTGGCGATGGCGGAGTTCAGTCAGATGCATCACCACAATCACTCACATACAGGATACATGTAGAGTCGATACATTGACTGAACCAAATTCACAGTATCAGCGTTGGCAATGACTTCACGTCGCTCGTCATATAAAAGGCCACGACCTCTATGAATCCATTATAGAAGTCATCAGGAAATATAAATTGATCATCTTACGGATAACTGATAGCAAAACCAAATTCCTGCACCAGCAACATGCCGAATCTCATTCAACGTACGCGAGAGAAGGCGAGGCGATTCGCAAGAGCTAAAGAGGCTAAAAGCATCTCAGTAGCGGAATCTCCAGTACTCACTTCGCCCGATGAAAAGCACCCAGTCGACCAACCATGTCCCTGTGCAATCTTGTCGAGCGGTGTGGACAACAACCACGACGACAACGCCGCTCACAAAGCACTGCCGGTGGAAAATCCGGATAAACAACTTCACGCCGAGATTTCCCCAAGAAAAGAAGTACCTGAGACTCAGCCCGTGGTATCAGAATCAGCAACGAAGCTCTATATGTCCCCAAGTATGCTCGCGGAGTTCGACGATGAGGGTCCCCATGGCTTTATCCATAACTTAGTCTATGGTTGCAGCGAAGAGCCCTCTAACGTGGATGCTACTCGTATCGAAGCCGAAAGTGTTCTCAACACCCCTCAGTTGGCTAAAGATGTCAAGCCGGACTTGAACAGGCCTAAAACCCCGCCCGAAACTTCAACCGGACAGCGATGTATCATGATCTTCAAGCAGACAATTGGTACCAAGCAGCCATCGAAACTTGAAAGAACCACGAGTGCACTGAATATGAAGGAACTGTGGGAATCACCTAGTCTCGAACATTCTAGTCTCGTCAATGGGATAGTCTGTAAAACCAACAAACCCGGTACCTTTGGTCACTACGGCGCTGAAACGCACCGCCTGAAAGGTACGGACAAATGAAGAACAATGCTTGTGTTCAAACACTAATGATTATAACTAGATCTTACACCCTACCTCTACCCTTTCACAAATGCCGAACTTGTGGTAGAATGGTCAGACCGGAAAAGGGAGAAAGTAGTGGCGAACATCCGACATGAGCGGTTGGGCTATCTGGTCAAGTATAACGGTGAGCCGACTGAGTACCGTGGTCCAGCGCTGCAGCATCTTATCCGGCAGTTGGAAGGGGAGTGGGAGAAGAAACATCTCGTTGTGAAAAAGCTCACGTGCACTTATATTGAGTTTCTGCGGCTGTTGCGTGGCATATTGAGGTGGATCAGGAGCTTGCTGGGGCGCATATGGACTTTGATAGGTCTTGTGAAGAAGGAAAAGGAGACATGAAGTCGATCGTCGGGAGACTGAACTTGTAAATAGATAGAGCAACATAATGTAAGTCATTACAGCGATTGTCGCTTGTCGTGATAAAGTGCGTGATCTCGAGCGCCTGACTGGTTTAATCAGCTTTAACAACGTACACGTGTCGCGACGAAAAACTGCTAATCGATCGATACGGTACCTCTGTGTCCCAGTGGCGCTATTGAAGCTTCCAGGACTGTCAGGGCAAGGCCTATTCCAATATTATCAATTCAAAACTAGAGTTGATTTATACTTGTATACTTCGGACCCAATCTTGAAAGACGTCGAGCGACTCATTGCCAGATGACTTGTCATGCTTTCTGCAATCTATCGGGCTATGAGTACGTTGAAAGCGTACGGAAGACTGTGAACGCTCCGGAGTCACTACTTCTCCGACTCACCCTACCTTGAGTCTTCGATATTCGACTCCATATTCCTTCAAGTCTTACAACTATGACAAGATGTTCACAATCTAGACTCATGCGACAGTATAAGAGCGAAGGGAAAGGGTGCTTTCCTACCATAATAACTGCACTACGCACAACTATTATCGAATATCACAAAAGAACAGCATACTGGCACCAAAACAAGTCATGCCCACTAACAACGAAGAAACTCTTGCCAATGAGCCCAGCGCCTCTAATGCAGGACAAACACATTCGCCAGGAAGTCTGGAAGATGCAAAACATGTACCCAACACAATGGACACCAGCGATACAGAGAGCACGGCAGATACGGTCTCGCCAGATGATTCTATCAGCATGGTGGGCTCGAGCACTGCTTCAAGCGTAGGATCCTCAGAACTGAACGCAGCTTCTGCAAACTATCATGATTATATTAGCTTCGTTTATATAGATGAAAAGAAAATACAAACTCTACAAATCTGGGATGAAAATAAAAAGATGAAGAACGAAATTGGCAGTAAGTAAGGCTTGTGAAAGATATAAATAAAAGTGCTGACGCTGATTAGAACACCTTTTTTACATCCACCCAAAGAAAAAGTTCGATGTAGTCATTGAAAGCAAACTGACACGCCATTTCTGGACTCACTGCGAAATGAAGGCATACAGCGTTTATATCAAAGCCAAAGAGACAGGAAAGGAGCTTAGTGGTATTAGGAGCGTCGAGGAATCGAAGTCTAAAGACGCTATGAAAAGTCTCTTCGAAGACTTGAAGGTTAAAGCAAAAGCGGCGAAGGCGACAAGAGCTACTTCTACACCGAAGAAGACAAAGATGACTACATTGGAGGTGAGAAAGAAGCGCGTGACAAAATAAGCTGGAAGAAATGGGAATAAGGTATAGTGGAAAGGTTAGAAAGCAAATGACTCTCGGGAGACAGTGTAAGGTAGTGGATTAGACATGGACTTAGATTTGATCTGATCATTGCAGTGATTGATGAGATCACACTTCGGTTATGTATGCCGTAGTTGATGCGGCGTTTTCGTACAAGGCCGGGGTCGTTGACCTGTCTTGTGACCGTATTTTGTGCTTTGCCTCCTTGAGCGGTACTGCCGACAACTAACAAAGGAGACTTTTCTGCCAACCTATTCATGCTTGATCAAACGCCTACCCGGGTTTGTACGGCAATCGTCCTGTCTTTGAAAAAGTATCGATCAACGCTCTGGCTGGCCTATCGACAATTATGCATACCGCAGACAATCGACATTAGTTTGCCCATTAAGGTTATCATATATTCATCAGGCGTCAACACCGTTTTGATATAAATTCGTATGTACAAATGAATTCATAGCATCGCCCTCAACAGTGTGAAGCTGCGAAGTCTTGTCACCTCCGTTCAAGCAGTTTGAGGCCTAATCGTTGAAGAACGAACGCTCGCTCGTCCCTCTGTCATGAGAGCCAACGTTACGGAACGACCAGCTAGTATGTCTCGTCTGCCTCTTTTCATTTGTCAACGCCGATGGCGGTGATGCCACACTACTCACACTTGGCTGTCGCCATATGCGGTCTGTGCTTTCTCTGCTGTGCTCTCCCCTGTCGTTCAACATAATCACCTCCTCATTCGGTCGGGCCAAGAACTCCAAGAGGGTGTCTCCATTCGAAGGCAGAATCGTTGACTCTCGAACCTTTGCTTCTTTTGATGCGCTATTGTAATGTGGGATCGTGCTCGTAGTGGACCGCTCGTTCGATCTGACGCTTCTGCTAGCTCGCTTGATGTAGCTGCTGCCCAGTGCGGTTGAAGACCGAGCGGTGATGACAAAGCGTTTGAGCAGGGGACGTAGGGTTGCGAGGCAACCGGCAACGATACTGGTGCCGCATTCGATAGTGGACCATATGGCGATGTTGACGGAAGCCCAGAAGAAGTTGGCGGTGTCAGTGAGGCCCTCCACGTAACGAAACCGAAGAAGCGAGCATATGACTCCGCTGTGTGATGTTAGTATTTATTCCATAGCAGAGGCCGAAGCTGTAAGCGAGAAGGAGAGTGAGTCGAAAAAATGAGGGCAAAACGCACGCAGTGGCGAGGCTCAAGATGAGGCCTACGGATATCTTGCTTCTCCTACTCATGTTCGCATTCCAGAGAACGAAGATGGGTAGTACGACGAATACTAGATCTGTGAGAGTAGTTATGGAAGCTTGTTGATAAGCCATAAAGCGATCCAGCGTTCGCGAAGTGCACTGGTTGATGAATTGTTGATCCGCATAGATGTCGAGATTCGAGCCACACCGGAAGAGGACGTAGAAGAATGTCGCAACTGAAGAAATGATGTCTGTGCAGAAGGTATAAAATCAGTGCTCGTCTTACGCACAGTTCGCACATTGTCACTTACTAACACCAACGTTGACGTAGATAAGCCCTATTTGCCAGGTTTTGACAACGATACGCGTGAAGAAGATGCCCAGAGATATCTTCAACATCATCATCGCAACAACATAGGTTGCCTCGCTAACCACAACCCACTGATTGTGTCAGTAATCTTCGCCGCAAAAGTTTGAGATGTGTACTGACCTTTGTGAGCAGCCTGAGGTGTATTAAATTGGAGATATGAGTTCCCCCGCCGTTGGCGTCGATATAGAAACAAGCTCCGCAGTACACTGTGAAGATCATCTACGACATTCTCAGCTCCACACTCGGGCTGCTGAGTTTGGAGACAACTTACAGTGGCCAATATCATAATTGAGTCATCCCAGCCGAAATTGGATATGATGAATGTCCGGGTCCAGATCCGAAGTAACAAGAAGATCCATGCCAGGGCCAGAAAAGCGATTGTGATTCTTTCCTTCTGTTCCCCTGATCGTGCTAAGCTTTCATCGCTATGCGCCATCCTGTGTATCGTTGAGCATGAGGAACAGAGTTGTAGGAGCAGTCGTACTTGACGCTCGGCAGTACCGTGTAGACCTCTAGGTAATTAGTGCGTATAACCCAACCCGGGCCCCACGCGTCTATTGGGCAGCAAATTCGATGGTGGCTGAAGCTTGAAGATAAGGTTGGGCAAGTATCGATTCTAATGCCAGCGTATGTGCTAGTCGTAGCTTTGACGTGCGGGGAAGTTTAGGGCACCAAACGGCGCGTTCAGGAACCAGGAACTAGGGACCAAAGAGGACGGTGAAGGAGGGATGATCGCAGGAAGAAAATAGTGGCTGAACAGCAGCATAACAAGTGTAGCATTAGTAGATCAACATGGTTGCACAACATGCGCTGCACGCCACGATCCGAGCGTTGCAACACAAGGGTAGGACAAATATCGGCGTAGCAGCTGTCGGAAGCGCTTTGGTCGCAATAAGCAAAATATAATTCGTTGTGTGGGAGTCGAAGGAGCGGAAGTCGACTTTCCCAATTATCGTGCCACTCAGAAAAGAAAACATGGACATGCTGCTGGAATGGGTAGCCATGATTATGCGAGCTGTGACGCGTCTTCTCTTAACAACCAACCGAGCACATGGGCAGTATTCCATCGCAAAGTCTATCTAGGGTACGAGTGTCATAAGCCGCGTCTATTGCGGAGTCTGGCCCAAAGGTAATCGGCGCCGTTAGACCCTCGTACCTAGCCAAAGATCCAGTCGGGCCGTACGCGGCACGAGAATGAGAATGTCGATGACGAAACATGGGCGGAACTCGAATGCATTTCCAGAAACTTGTGATGTTGTACGACACAGGGCGTCGAGTGGGGTGGAGAAGTGCTGCAGGAACGGCCATAGTGGACAAAGCAATTTACGCTAGCCTCTTCTGCTAGCCCTTCCACCTGATGATCTGTTGACCAACCATGGCCAATCAACAACCATTTCACGCGTGAAGAAACCTCACCCGAAGTTAGAGTTGAATTTGGAAGTGCACGGCGATGCGGCCACGTCGCGAGCTCTTTTAATCCGATAACGAGGCTTCTAGTTGACTTTGAGGCTGCTAATACCCAGCAAACACCTCCCTCCACTCAATTCATACATCGAATCCACCTCACACATTGCTAAAAACGCCACGATCCCATGGTACCGCAAACAAGATCCGTGACGAACGCCTAGAACGTTATCTGTCACCAAGCCTGCGACAAGAAACGGTTCTGGATAACGGTCTTCGCTCAAAGACTCCACTATACGCGCTTGCCTTCACTCACCCCGGTCCCCGAAATCTCATTTGTCCTGCGGTCAAACCCGCAATCCCTGCATATTCTGTACAGCTCCACGAAAGGTAGCCTGAACACCGTTGATCTGGTTCACCCGAGTTCTCAACGACAATTTGGGATGCTTCTTATTGGAGGGGTGACTTGGTCGATCCACAACTGCCATTATCCACGAAAACACTCAACATGCCGCCATCTTTGAGAAACAGAGCACATGCGCAGGACCCAGATGACACAGATAGCGAGGTCGAGCTAAGCTTCAACGGTCACGCCGCCGGACCACATGATATGCAAGAGGAAGACGACGAGGAAGAAGAAGATGAATTGGTTGGAGAAGAAGACGACGACGACGAGGCCCCTGGTGCACCCCAAACTCCACTTCCCAATCTCGACCCTCCGCCTCCCCATCTGCGCGAAATAAGCACTCTGGCTTCGTGGACCGTATCCAGCTCCAAGCCCGGCTGCAGCATTCCCCAACTCCGCCATCCCTCTACCTCACTGTTCTGGCAGTCCGACGGCCCACAGCCGCACTACCTCAACATACACTTCTTCAAGCTCGTCCGGATCGTAGGATTGCGGCTCTTTCTCGACTTCGAGCAAGATGAAAGCTACACGCCCACGCGCATCATCTTCCTCGCAGGCAGCGGCATGAACGACCTGCAAGAGTGGGGCGAGATGAAGCTCGAAAGCCCCCGCGGCTGGATCTGGGCTGACTTCAGCGCCGTCGGCGACCCAGACGACGACGGCGACGACGAAGACGAAGAAGGCGACACGCGAATGACCGACCGCGCGCCTCTCCCCATCGACACTATCCAACCCACACACCCCACAGACGCCTCATCAGACTCTGAGAACAACAATCCCCAGCATCCCCGCCAGCAGCTTCAAACCCCCCAATTAGGCTACGCACACGCGCAAACTCCTCAATTCCACCAAACCCCGCAGACTGGTAACGCCCTTGGTCAGACTCCCCAGTACACACAAACACCCTCCTTCACCTCCCCCACTGCCCGGCCCCTCCCTCGCCAGCCCTTCGCCGCACTCGCCACAAACCCCAATCCTCCGACTACGCCTGCGTCCCGGCCTCGGCGCATGCCCGTCTTGCGCGCGCACCTGGTGCAGATCAAGATCCTGGAGAACCACCAGAATGGCAAGGATACGCATTTGCGCGGACTCCAGATATTCGCGCGGAATGATGAGAAGGAGGGTGGGGTTGGTGGCGTGAGGATTACGGGGATGGATGGGGTGGGGATGAGTAATGGAGTAGTGAAGAAGGGGAAGAGGGGAGGGGTGGATTTGGATAGGGTGGAGTTGGGGGGGTTGGGGGATGAGGTTTGGGTTAGATAATGGAGGCAGAGGAAAGTATGGATGTGACTTTGAAAGCTGCGATTGAGGGAAGCACAAGGCGAAGCGATTCTAGCTTCGACAGATTAGCAACACCAAACAGTTAGTGCAAAGCATCTCGCCGCCCAAGAAGCAGTCATTGAACAGATTACAATAATGAATTTTTTAACCATCTTTTGCTTCTCTCGCTCACTAAAAAAAAAAGACTCGCTCAAACTCAAACTAGGCCTCCTTCTCCCTTCATCCCTCTCAATCCTCCCCACGCGCAGCCCAAACTATTCGAAGGCCCAAAGCGGCAAGCTCGAGATCTACATGTGCTTTTACCCACACCAAAGAGATATTAGTCTACTGTCATAGCTGGTAATCTGAACCCAAGTTCTAACTCAAACTGAAAATTCCTCATTTAGAACAGACCTTTACCCTCGTCCTTCTCAAGCGTGTTGTTGACGTCCTTTGGCTCGGGCTCGTTCTCTGGCTTCTTGACGTCTTCGTCCTCGATGTCTTCCTTCTTGACGAGGACGCCGGACTCCTCGGTCTCTTTGCGGTCCTTCTTCTTCTGCGGAAGCTTGGATTGGTTCTTCTTCTTGGGGCTCTTGCCTGCAGTTTCCCAGCCCTCGGAGTTGTTGGCGTGACCGTTGGCATTGCCGTTTGCGTTACCGTTGGCTTCTTGCTTGATCTCATCCTTCACATCAACAGCCTTGTTCTTTGCTTCCTGCGCTTGCAGAGCGAAGTTCTCGCGAGCGGCGTTGGCCTGCTTCTCAAGGCTGGCCTTGGTGTCTTGCGCGGCTTTGGCAAGATCGTTGCCGACTTGCTTGGCCTTCTCGCCGACAGTTCCAGTCTCTCCGTCAATCTGCTCTTTGACCTTGCGGTTAACATTGTCGATGAACTTCTTGTTGGCGGGGCTGAGAGAACCGTGTCGCTCGTCCTTGTCAAGGCCGTTGGCGTTGAACTTGCGACCACGGACGGCATCCCTTGACTTGTGGACTGCTGACGACACGGCGTCCTCTGCCGACTTCTCAAGCGACTCAAGCTCGCGTTCAACGCCACGGCTGGCATCGCGGGTAGCCTTTTGGACGGCGGTGTGCTTGGTCTGGTGCTTGGTGTTGGGCGAGGTGCGGCGGAGGTAGGACTTGAAGAAGAAGCGCATGAAGAGGAAAGTCAGCGGCGCAAGGTAGATCAAGTTGAGGTAAATGGCGAAAGCCTGTCCGGAGGTGTCGATGCAAGGAACAGACTGGTATTCGGTGCGGTAGATGACTCTGTTGACAGTCTCCTGGGGGCGGTGGAAGAGTTGCTCAACGGGATGCTCGGGACGTTGACCAGCTGCCAATGCCTGCTGTTGCTGGTAGTATGGCAGAGGCTCGCCGGGGACTGCAATGTTCTCAGCAAGACCTTCGTCACCAGCGGCGCGGTAGATGAGCTTCCTAAGGAACGCCAGAGCAGGGCCAGTGGCAGTTGGCAGAGCCGCAACCGCAGAGCTCGTGGCCGAAGACACGGCAGACGAGATGCTTGAGGAGTTGAGCTTGGGAGCAACCTTCTCGACGATCTGGTGTGCGACTGTGACGGGGATTGTGTAGGAAACAAACAGGTGGATAGCAGCGTATGCTGAACCGACGAGGAATTGCGTGATTTGGAGAGTGGTGAGGGTTCGCTTGACGACGTTGGGGACGCGGTAGCCGAGGGCAGAAACGGTGTAGTAGGTGTACTATAGCTTGTCAGTGATGTGTGCAAAGGCGGGATCAATGTGCCTACCATCATGGCGTGAATACCAGAGTTGACGAGGACGAACATCCAGATGGGCGGTGCCATGAAGCGCATTCCAGCCCACATGGACAACATAGCGCCGGCATGGTGGTACTTCTGGAGAGTCGTGCTGCGCTTGCCCTTTGCGAGAATGATGGCCGTGTCGAGGACTTCGTAGAACTTGGAGAGGTAGAACCACCAGCCCCAGAAAGCGAGACCCTCGTTCCAGATCCTGCCAACATCGCTCGGGTCTGGCAGGCCAGTCGTAGAGTCGACGAGAACATTGGAGTTCTTGCTGGCCCAGGTGTTGGTGGTCGAGTTGTACGTGACAGCATCGCCGAGCCCACGGGGCCCATTGATCTTGCAAAGCGCGTCGACGGTGCCAACGACCGAGTTGGGGTCGCTGTAGTGAGGGAACGACGTCTTCAACGCGCGGACCATGGCCACGCAGGTGATGGCCGAGTAGACGGCCAGGAAGACATTGTGGAAGATGACAAAGGCGAAGAAGGGTCGCGTCTTGGAAATCCTCCACGGCTTGTTCGCGTGCTGGCGGTTGTACCAATTGAAGTACGTGACGGTGATGGCGTACACGGTGGAGATGGCCAGCGGCACTTTGTAGGCCAGCGCGCCTTCGAAGATGTTCTGGGGAATATGGAATGGGTTCGCGAGGGTCGGCTCAATGACGTACGGATTCGTAATTGGCTGGGGCGCAGAGTCTGGCGGGAACTTGAAGACTGACCATGACGGAAAGTCAGGTGTGTGTAACGATGGGCCGGCGCCGGACATGGTGGGCGTGGTTGCTGCCGCGCAGCTGGTCGGGTGCGCGAGGTGATGCGCGCGAACAGGTGCGTGACGGTATGCCCGCGAACAGGTGCGTGATGGTATGCCCGCGCCGAGTCGATCAGCAGGTCAGGTTGGGGCGGAGATGGACAGCGTCGACCGTAATGTTGCTGCGGCGTCGAGGTGTGTTTGGCAATGGGTACGTGACGCGTTGGGAATGAAAAGAATGGTGGTTTGTGACTTTTTGCCGCTAAGCTCTCCAAATCGGTCGCCGCAAACAGGCCTATCACAGCAGCCGCGTGTCGGATTGGACTGGACGGTCCAAGGGTTGGCGTACGTCGGTGGTGACCCTGTTGTTGAGAGCACGCGATAGCGTAAATTCGCCTTGCACGACAAGAATTACCTGCTTCACGGGCGGAAGGCGCAGTGCGGACGCTCAACAGATATATATGATAGACTGCAGCTTGCAGCAGTGACCAAGCCTCGCTTTTGCCACGTTTCCCGTCTCTACGCGGCGCTCCGACTCTGTCAGAAAAAAAGATTCTGGTGGACGATTTGCAGTGCCAGGTTAGCGACACTGCAGCAAATCATAGCAATGACATCAACCGAGGCTTCACCCACAGCCGCGAACTAGAAGCTCTTGGCAAACATATTGCCCTTGCAGGGGCGTGAAAGAAATTGTTCCTCCCTAAAATCATCGAGCGACCCGATAGCTTCGCAAGTCTAACGGTATAGGTCATGCTAACGCACAGTCTACGGCATCACGGAAGGTAGCGACCTGCTGCATGCAGTTGCAGCTTCACTGCTCTTCCAAACTTTGGTGACACCCCTGTCAGACCCTGGAAGACGCACATGCATTGACCAAACGCTCCCGAGGTCAATTCTTCAGGGTTCGTGCAAGTGCTTGACAGGCATGGCGCAACCCGGGGTCAGATCAAAATGGTTGAGGTTCGTGAAGGTCCAATATCATTCGGGATATCTAGCGCAAGAAAGGGAGGAACTCAAAACTTTGGTTTGCTGCTCAGTGGTATCGGCGGCGGCTCGCTCGAACTTCCGGCCAACTCTTTCTTCTTCGGCGGTGGAGGCGGCGCGAGTTTCTTGCCAGCTGCCCCTGGTCCTGCCGTTGTGGGTGACTGCGGTGACGATGCTGTGTTGTCGGAGGCAAAGTTGTTAACTCTGCCAGCAATGCCGTATTTCTGGTTCAGCCCGTTCGCTGCCTTGAACCCTGATGCTACCTGTGCGCCATGCCGCTGCTGGAAATTGTTCGCAGTCGATGCTGCGTTCTTCATGTCTGTTGTTGACACCTTCGACGGATCATCGCGAAGGCCACTAGCCGTTCGCAGTGCAGCCTGTTTATCTGCCCATGATGTTCCTGTGGTGGGCGCCGTGCTGGTCGACCCCCCTGCAGACATCTTCGAGAACCTACTCTGCAATTCGCCCAGCTGTGAGCCACGGCCTGTCGTTGCTGCCGGTGGGGCAGCGGAGGTGGGAACTGCAGAAGCAGAGTTCTGTCGCGGCGGTACAGGCGGCGAGTTGGTCTGCCTGGGAGGAACTGGCGGTGAAGCAGTTCGGCCTACACCAAACCCGGGCACAGAAACACCAGCTTGTCCCAGCCGATTCAACGCTCCCTGATTCAACACTCCTCTTGCTGATGGCGTCTCTTGGGTAGCTTCAGTGTATGTTGGCGGAGGGGGCGGAGTATATTCGTTCGGGTTCTCGGTCTGACGGGGAGGTAGGCGTGGGGGAAGACTTGGTTTCGGTTTCGATCCGCTGCCAGCAGCAGGAGAAGCAGCACCTGGCCTGAAGGCAGGCGGCTTGGGGAGATGTGATGTATCGAGGCCCGTTGTGTCTGGCCTGTAGGGCCCTGGGGGCGGCCTGTTTGCTTCCTCCTCCGCTCTTCTCTGCGCCTCCTCCCGCTCCTGCAAGCGCTGCCTCGCTGAACCCGCAGGAGCCGTCGTACTGGCTGGGGTGGCCCGCGATGCTACTGGGCTTGCTCCATAATCGAGCCTTTTCGGTGGAGGTGCAAATGAGGATGGGTCTGCTAATTGGGACAACGGTGTAGACTGGTGGCTCTTCGCAGCTTCTACATGCGAGCTGCTACCGCCGCCTCTCCCTAGCATTCCTTTCTGAACGGCTTAGCCTGTGGTTGAGGAAGCTGGGAGATTGAGGACCATACCACTTGTCCTAGCCTTCCTCCACCTCCATCGGAATTGGCTGCGCGATCCCTCTCCGGATGCCAACCTTGCTTAGCAATGTTCTTCAACTTATCAGCCATATCTTGCACAGCGGTTGTTGGAAGATGATCATCTTGAACGCGTGATGAATAGTGTGCAGATAGCGTGCTGCGGCCCGATGACGAAGCCAAGAGGACCTCTAGCGACAGCCCGGCAAACGTCTTTCAGCCGAGCCTTCCCAAGGTTCCGCCCTCGACAATGGCTCCGAAGACAACACTTCCAAGGCTTGACCATCGCCGCTCAACCATGATGGTCAGTGATGCCCAGCTTGCTGTTAGATCACCTTTGGTCACGTTACTCGTGGCACAAACTTGGAAAATCCGGCCGAAGACGCATGCTAATAACTGGCCGTACCTCGTCACACAATCAGTAGGTGGCAGTTACGGATTGGCTCAACATCGACTGTTGAGTCCTATCTGTTCCTAAAGCTTGCAACACGGCAATTGCCCGAGATCTAACATGCATGCTGACGGGATCCAATCCTATAAGCTGTGCATGCAGAGATCGGCTCTCTCCGTTGTTTCAAGTCCGGATGTGTGATATCATGGCTATCCGACAGTACGGGTAGCTGCAGAGTTGGCTCTTCGCCAGCCTGTAGGAGGAGAGGACATTCCTCTCGGTGCTACTAATCTCACCAATCGACTAGCGCAAGACGGCAGAACCAACAAGTCTCGCCGTAAGATTTCCATCGTACCTCCGGCTATTCCTGCGCATCTAACACAGCCATCCTTTGTTGTTACTCGTTCGCTCGATTTGTGTCGCTCCTGTCGTTCCGATGTATGGCAGTGATCGATTCATTATACCACTTATACTGAAGCAACAAAGGAAACAACTTCACAGGCGAATAAATATTGTTTGCTTCCCCACCGATCGACGGCTGGGGCCAAAAATACCTATCCCGAGCGAGTGGGGTTGCAGCTTGGTTGCACAGCGTGCAGGCATTGAGGCGGAGCGCCTCCAATAGCCAGCCACCACCAAGGCCACAAGCCGTCTTACGGACTTGGGGTCCGCTGGCTTGACAACATACGGCATATTACCACCTCACAGGGAAGTCTGCGCCACCCTCAGCTGTTGCTTTTGAAAGGCCCGTCTCCCAACCTCTAGTATGCCAGTGTCCCCACATTCAAAATCATGAACGTGATGGCGCTTTCGTCTTTTTGACTTGTATACAACCTTTTGTCCCGTGGAGAACTCATCCTCGCGTCATTGAGTACCGACGCAGCCGTAAGTTTGGTATCAGGACATTCGTAGTCCGTCAGCCGGCCCCGCACCTCCTACATATCAACAAAGCTGGTGATCACCATCGCACGCTTGTTCTGCATACAAGGACTTGACGGTACGATTGACGAAACCAATCCTGTCAGACCACCTACCGATCAGCTTCTACATCAAGGATCGACATTATCAAAAAAAAATTGATTTTGTGTAAGCATAGCATCGCTTTCCCACATTGAGCCCCAATGGCTCCCCCAGGCAAAGATAAGGATAAGGACAAGGACAAGGAGAAGGAAAAGGAAAAGGAACGCGATGATGATGACGAATATGACTCTGATGAGGGCGATCAACCCACCACAACGTCTGCTGAGGGTATTCTCGGTCCACCCGGGCCCCCGAGTCCCACAGATATCAATTCCATCAGTAAGCCATATCATCCAGGGCCTCACCTTCCTGGACCTCCGCCACCAGTTGGGGCAACAGGAGGTGGTGCATCGCCTCTGCCTGGCATACAGCCCACGTCTTCACCTAGCTGGACCACATACCCGGTGACCGCATCCCCTTTTCCAGAAACCATATCGTCCTCACAGCCTGCAAGTTTGAGTTCTTTATCAGCGACGTATGGTGCAACATGGCCAACAGGAACCCAAGATCCAGGCAACGGCGGAGGCAACGGCGGAGGCACTTGGTCGGATCCAGGGAACAACGGAATGGCACATCCGGGAATGTATGCTGCTGCAGCTGTGACGCCCATCGTTGTACTTGTAATTATAGCAGCGACTGTGTTCCTTTGCATGCGAAAGCGAAAGCGCAGGCGACAACTACACGAGCCAACAGTTTCAGAAAAAGAGCAAGAGAGCAAGATGCGTTCGCAAACGCCACCGGTCGTTCAAGCATACATGGCGCCATCATTAGGGGCATCGCCGCAATACGCACACTCGAACCACCATCTACCTCCAACCAATCCAGCTACGACCCAGCCCATCATTCTCGGACCCATACCGTCTGGATCCAATGGTGCCTACTTCACAGGTATAGACACGTCGGACGTAGTGTCCATGACTTCTACCAACAACTTCCGGCCCCCGCCAAACCCATTTTCAGACAACGAGAGCCTTTCAGAGCCTCCTCCTCCATATCGACCACGCAGTATCGCACCGCCAAGTTTCTCAAATTCGTCGCGACACAGTAGCTTCCGAGCGCCGAATCCGCCTGAGACATCATCACAAACGCATCTCATTGGCCGCTCGCCCTTCGATGATCCGGACGACGACGCGATCTCGGAACTCTCGGGTCCAACGGAAGGGCATGGCGAGGCCATGTCGGCAGTATCAGACCTGTCCTACCAAAACGAGCCCGTTCTTAATCGGCCAGCACTTTGATTGCGGAGTCTCCATGTATTCGAAGAACCCAAGTAATGGACTCTTTATGAGAAGAGCCGCACATAGCTCCTGGAAGCAATACCAAAGACTATAGCTCTGCATGTCATGTCGTAGCACTGTCTTGGCTGTTTGCTGGATGCTCTTGTACATATCATACTCTTTCCGCGTCACCACCACCCCTTGCGAGGACATATTCCTAGCACATCATTAGCAGGCGCCTGGTCGGCATTTGCGAGAGAGAGAGAGAGAAGGAGAGAGAGCCTAATCAAGCTCCAACATCGAGAAGTTGTCGTTGTCGACTACGATGGGAAGTACTCTACACATCAAGTTGTCAGACTGTTGGGCGTGTCAGCCCGCAGTGCATTAGGTGGAGGTTATCTGTATCTAAAAGCACTGCGATATATATAGCTCTGCTTATAGTATGAACATGCACATGACGACATTGCATTGGTGCTCGGCATACCGAGGTGCGTCTTCATCTCCGGTGCATGCTTACCGGCACGGCACAGTTGGGGCCAAAACCACCCAAATAGCCATGAAGAACAACGACCAGATGTTAAAAAATCAGTTTATACATACCAGAAAGTACACATTTTCTCCAAGACACAATTCCAGTAACTAATTAGACATTCTCTACTCTTCCCCACGCGCTGTACAGATCAGGTTTTCTCAACGATGATAGCACACGATCTACCACCAGTACCAAGAGTCCAGGCCACCACGCCACATGCAAGGACGCGGTACCTTGCATGAAATACCGCCAGCGCCAACCTAATCACACTAGGTCCCAAGGAATACCATCTTCAAGGGATGATCAAAGTTGCGCACTTGTGTCCCACCGTCAGGACGTTGAGCTGGGAACGGCAACGGCGACACAGGCCACAATCGCTTTGTTGCTTGAGACTGTCTGAAGTGATGATGCAGAATGCGAGAGCGATGATGGCACGGTGTTAGGAGTTTGCGGCATCGAGTTTAGGGGGCTTGGAATAATTGGCGATTGGCCACCGTACTTCCGCATTTCCAGAGACATGGGTTTCCGTGCTTCGCTTGATTTGTATGTGTAAGGCAGGCTTCTGCGCTGGCAGGTCGAGTAGGTTTTGTAAGCTCTCATTTGACGCTCGATAATGCGGCATCCCGGCAAGGTAAAGGAGAATATACTGCGTATTTTCAAAGGGTCCAGGCGTGATAGCAGCTGTCCCTTTCAGCCAGCCGTCTTTGCGCAGCTCGTATGTCCCATAGACAGTAGACGGGTGGTCGTAGGCAAATCAGGTCAGGAGAGGGCGCTGTTGAACGGCTAGCTCACGGGTGGAACTAGTTCGCAACTCTGGGCGCGACCTGTCGAAAGCCATACAATCGTTCCGCAGCAACTTTCCCCACGCACGCATCATGCCTGGCTGCCGTCTTCGATCTAGCATGTCGTTGTCAATGCCGGCGCAGTCTAGCCCCATGTCAATTTACTGGTCGGGCGTTCGTTGGTGGATACGGTTCGCGAGCTCCGCTGCGTGAGCCTCCTACCTAGAGGCAGGCGAGCTGTAACTCTCCAATGCCTCTCCCTGCCGTTACCACCAGCCCAAATGACTCCCTCGCTACATCCCCGCCAATATGGAACTAGACCGTTGCGGCTCAGTGCTTGATCTACTGCCGCTGTCGTCAGATCGGTAGGGCTCAGGAGAGACACATTCCTGAGTCTGTTGCCCGATACTGCGGACCCACGATCGGTACAATTCGCACCGCTGTCTTTGTGCAGCTTCAGTGCTTCACGTCCCCGGCCCCACTGTCCCAACCTAGTACGTGCAAAGAAAAATATTCGTCGTCACTCCTCGCTGCAGCAGAAGTGTCTGAGCTCGAAGCCTGCCTGCCGAGCCTGCGTACCGTATCTCGACTCTGCTATGCTGCGGTGAACGGTACCTGCATGCCAGAGTCTCACAACGCCTCGCCAGTAGCTTCTTGCCGCTCCCTGCTCTGCAGTCAAGAGGGTTGCACAGCTTCATAGGTCGGTCCTAATTGTCTTAGATTCAGACTCGCCGCTTAGACGGAGAAGTCTCTGCCACACCCCGCTGTCTTCACCAACGACCGCCCCTCGAAAGCCTCGCCAGCCTCGACTCTGCTCGCCGTACATCGCTCCAGAACAGCTCGCTACATGGTGTGAGAGGCTTGGTACACTGGATGACATGACGTTGGACCAGCATATGTACGGGTAGGACTCTCCTTTGTCTGGCTCCTTCCCCAGCACATTGGAACAATGGGGATAGCACATGACGCAGCTTGCACGGTGCAATGGAGCTTCACAGAACTGCAGGTTGTCAACTACGAAGGACAGTAAACAGGGCCTTGCCGAGCCGGTAGTCTGAAGTCATACACGGAATCGCTGGACTTTGAATGCGACGGCGACACTCTGTGTACAGCTCAAGGCTATTGGACCGGCTGGCACCTGGTTTCCGCCGAGGTTGACAACCTGCAATAGACACCAGGGGCATCGTTCGCTTCTCTGCCTGCTGCCACGGCAAACCTGCCCAAGTTCATGTTCGAATGTGGTTTGGGGTAGGCAGAGGGGCAGGCAGCACCGCACGGTTGACATCTGAAGCTCCATGGCACCCGGCTCTCTAGCGCACCCCTCAAAACCACATGCGAGCACGCTTCTGCAAGTGCATGACACTGCGACTTTCGCATTCTGCTCATTCCCACCCTCTCCCTGCTTCGCACTCGTTTTGGTCCATCTTCATGTTTGGCTTTAGATATTGCAAGGGTCAGGGCTAACTGCTGGGTCGCGTGCTAGATCGACGGACTGGCATCTCCCAAGTCCATCCTCGACACCAAAATCGGTGACGTTCCCAGAGTCGTCGCTCAAGACGCCCAAGACCGAGGCATTCCCGCAGACGCACTTCATCGACGCCTGGGCGACGCCACAGATCAATGGGCAACACACCCCTGCCCAGACGCCATCCTTTACCCTTTCGACGCCCATCGACCGCCCGTCCAGCTCGTATAGCTTGAAGCCTCACACGCCAGAGGACCCCGAGTTCCATGTCAACCATTTCGTCCCGAACAATCTCCCTCTGCCGCCGGTCGAGGTCTCGAGAAGGCTATCGTCCTCGCCAGATCCCAGTCTGGTGAGGCGGGCTGGAGTAGGCCCGGGAGCAAGTCAGTTCGGTCGGCCCCGTCCCGTCACCATGGACTTCTCGCATATGCAGACGCCGCCTCCGACGAGGGACGCCAATTCAAGGAGGAGGCTGCAGCAGAGCGGAGGGAACGACTTTGCCACCCCAGCCACAGTGATACATAGGACGCCTAACCAAATGCCGACTGCAGAAGGCCTGTTCAACCAGACGCCTTTTGGTTTCACCAATGTACCCTTCTCGCCCAGCATGATGCCCTTTTCGAATACAGCGCCAATGTCGGCGCCGCCAATGCCCCAGTCGCGGTTATTTTGGGACCAGCCCAACGACGGCTCGCATATGGATGTAGATATGGGCATGAGTGTCGACCCGTTTGGACCGACACCCCACAAGGTGGAGCAGAATTTTGACTGGCAGTCTTTCTCCACGCCTGCACGGCCCCAGATGAACTCTATGACCTTCCAATCGCCCCATCATGGCATGTCTTCTCCCGGCCCAGCAACGTCATTCGCGAGCAGCATGGGTGGACCATCTTTCTCACAGTCAAATTCGTTTGTGCCCAACTCCGCCAGCGTTGATCCCAATATGCTCTTCAGCTTCTCAGGTCCAGACATGACAGCTTCCTTTGGTCAGATGCCACAGCAGACGATGCAGGATGCCCTTAGCAGACAGCCTTATGAGACACAGGCACGAGAAGCACAGCAAGAGAAGGAGACTGCCAAGAAAGCCAGGAGTCTGCATTCGCGGAGCAACACAAACTCGTCATCGGGTTCTATAGAAAACGCCAGGCCCGGACTACAACGTAGCAATACAGACAGCGGCATCAGAAAAAACAAAGCATCGCTGAATGAATCTAGGGCCCTTGTTGCGGCCGGTGCTACCATACCACGCCGCTCATCACCGCTCAAACGACAGGGCGGCGCAGGAGCACTTGGCTCCATACCAGAGATTCGGAGGCCGAGGACACGCCTCATCATTGATGAGACCGGCCGAGCTCGCACAGAAACCATTCCTATTGAGGACAACGGCGACACACCCAGAGCAGTGCCGAGGGCCTCTCAGAAAGATGTAAGACGTCAGTATCCAGGCTTGTGGGACGAGGATGACACCGAGTCCGACGATGAGGACGAAGCGCCAGCAGTCTTGAGTCGCAATGCATCGTTCAACATACCACAACCGCAGCAGCAACGCCGCACTTCCAAGCACGCACGCTCAGATAGTGGTGCACTTGCGCTGGAGAGGTCCAACTCGTTCAAGATGCCACGGCCTGCGTCGAGAACGTCGTCTGCCGCGTTCGATCAGGCGTCCTTCGAGACTGTCCGCCCTGTACGGAATGCCGCACACAACGCATATCGGAGCTCTAGTATGATGGAATTGCATTCTACCTCTGAGGGGATCAAGGAGAGCGAGGATCAGCAAATGCCCGACTCGCCCGGTGATGCACTGGGAGCACTGAAGAAAGTGGTAGCGGGTCGTCAGCAAAGAGCTGGTATGATTTAACCCGTCCTCGACGGTGTCCAAGACTAACTATAATACATAGAACGTGCGTCTCAAAACACGTTGAAAGCACATAACCAGCGCTGGGCCCAAGCCTCTGCCGACATGGTCAACATTGTTCCGCCTCATAGCCAATACGACCCTTTCTCAAACTCCTTCCAGGCCTCGCCCCTTACAGATGCAATCGCGACACCATCTACGGGCCGCAGCAGCATTTCGAGCGAAAGTACACGGTGCGTGTGCAATGGCATGGACGACGGCAAACCAATGATCCAGTGCGAGAGCTGCAACAAGTGGCTGCACATGATATGCTGCGGTCTGAACGGGGGTAATTTGCCGCCCGTATATGTCTGCGTGTTTTGCACCGGACAAACGCCTGTCGCGCGTGGAGGCAGGATCAGAGGCCCCGCAGTCTTCGACAGCCCTTTGACACACAAGTCCATGTATCGTCGGTGATGCATATGACCCACCACAAGCACGGCCATCTCGATCCCGTGGAAAACCATTCAGCCCACCATAAGCCAAAGCTCGCCACCCTTACAAGCACGACTGCGGCCACCATGCCACCAACATCTTTGATTGAACCAGCATTGCGAATCACAATTTTCGGCCCAGCATTTCCAGGAGTTTTGTCATCTAGCACTTTTATGCACACAGTCCGCCAAATCTACCTCGTCATCACATGCTACCATTTTCCCCTTTCGATCTACAATGCAACAATTACACCAACTCAATAATCTCGTCAGCAAATCACACCACCACAACACATACTCATCCGACACTCACATCCATCCCCACGGACTCCGCTGGACCGAAGACTTGTGGAGATCTTAATGTTTTGGCTTTGTCGTTTCTCTCCTTTGCAAATGTTATGGATTGGATGTGGATAATGACGACGATGATGAACGGGTTTATGTTCGCACGCTCGCTTTTTTTTTGAAATAATGCCGTGTAATGAGGGAGATGAAGAAGAAAAGGTACGGGGGCGATGTGCGATGTATATATGAGATGAAAAGATAGCGATGAGTAGATCAAGGCATTTATTTTGGAGTCATTGTCTGCATTGTGGTACGAGTGATAATGAACCTCGAGCTATAAGATAGCCTGTACTTTGTGGTGTATCCTTATCGCCCACCCATAAACTCGGGCTTATACGCCCTGACACCCCCAGCCTTCATCAGTTCCCGCAACGCCATGGTTGCGTACTGACTACTCGCCAACTGCAGCGTGATGACAACAGCAAGCTTCTTCTCGCCCTCCACATCTACCTCCCCTTCCTCCCCGCCCAGCTCACCCTGCCCGCGTAACCGCTGCATGTCCGTGACGACAAACTGCTCGTCGGGCTTCACATACTCGTGCACCTGGAACTCGAGCGGCTTCAGCGGCTTCGCGAGGAACTTGCGATACCCGCCGCTGAGACTGACCTCGCGCCATCCGCGGCGCATATCCATCGGATCAAGCTTCCCACCCTTGTCGCTCGCCATGAAGCTCTTGTAAAACGCACCGATGTCGTTTTGCGGGTACTCGACATCGTACCCGGGCTGCGGGAGCACGACGTCCCAAACCGTATACAAGCCCGACGCAGCCTCGTCCGCCGTCAGCGCGCGCGCACGCTCAAAGTCCTGGGCGCCGGCGTTGGCATTCTCGCTACCGGTGGGGTTGATGACGACTTCGCCGTTGTCGTCAATGTCGCGGGCCTGCGGGGCGGGAGCGGATGAGGGGACTTTGTCTTTGTGTTCGTTGACGAGCACCAAGTCGCCGGGGATGACTTTGTCGGCATGCAGGGCCCAGCGGTGGCCGGCGACGACGTTCCAGACTAGCGATTGGTAGGCGTGGACGTACATGAGGCGAAGCGTGCGGGGGATGGTCATGAGCGCGCCCTGCCAGTCAGACTTGCGGTCGTGCTGGCCGTTGCGCGAGTTGCGCGAATTCAGGTGTTGGATTATGTTGCGCTCGGCTGTGAATTTTCGGGGGAGGAGGTCCAGGGCGGGGCCGCCTTTGCCTTCAGTGCGCCAGAGATGGAGGGCTTTGGCGCGGTTGCGGTCGTCTTGCGAGACGAGGATTGTGGAGTCTTCTGGGAGGGTGCCTTCTGCGGCGGCGAGGGCGACATCGGAGTATGCGAGGATGTCGTCGACTGCGCCTTTGAGATCGTCCTGGAGCATTTTGCAACCGATGGCGTCGGTGCTGGCGGCGAAGGATCCAAAGCGCTGAAGACCATAGTAGTTGATAAAACCCTTCTCCGAGAAGTCTTCAATGGCCTTGCGCACAACAGTGTCGGCCAGTTGCCGTCGCTGGGCAAAGTCAAGACCTTCTTCGTTCTGGAAGTGGCAGTCGCGTAGTGTGATGGTGAACTCGTTTCCTTTGAGGTCGCCCAGAGTCAGGTTGTAGGGCTCGTACTTCCAGTCTCCAATAGCGGCATTGTATAGGATCTTGTTGAAGCTGTACATGCGCTCAGCTGTCTGGCGCTTTACGCAGACACGCTGGACAGTGCAAGCTCGCCTGTCCTTGGTTCCTGCGAAGCCAAATGCTTTTGAACCTCCACCGAGCTTGCTGCCCAGAAAGCCCACAATCTCCATGGTGTCCTTGTTCTCCTTGTATAGGCTGAAGTGTAGGTATTCTCCGCCGAGCTCTTCCCACTGCTGGCCTTTGCCTCTTGACAGACCGTCGCCTCGCTCTCGACCACCACCACCATTCTTGTTCTTGCCTTTGCGTTCTGCCGGTGGCGTCGCCTTGATCCGCAATGACTGGTCCTCCTCCATAGAGCTCTCGAGCAGATTGGGAAATATGCGACGTAGCGCCTGATGGGCTTGTGTGCGCTTCTCCTTGTCGGATATGGGTGGTGCTATAACAGCCTTGAAGTCCTTTGCTTTCCGCTGTTCGCGTCTCCGAATTTGCCCGACGAGTTTGACGATCTGGTTCGTCGTGTCTTCACCGAATATGTCGTGTAGGGTACTGCGATCTTCATCTGCAAGCTGGATGCTATCAGTAACGCTCAGACGAAGCTTGCAGTAATTCTCACCTCGACCTCTGGCTCTGGTTTCGCCTCCTCTTCCTTCACTTGCACCTCTTTCTCAACCGCTGGTACAATCACAGTCTCTTCCTGCGCAGGCGCATCTTCAGTCTTCGTCACGGCCTCCTGCACGTCCACCATCCTCGCATCACCATTCTCCTCCTCAACCACCAACTTGCCCACCCCATTCTGCGCACTATTCCCATTCTCCTTCACCTGCCTCGCATCGCCCTTCTTCTCCCTTCTCGGCACATCCGTACTCTTCAGATGCAGCACCTGCCCATCCAGCCCGATCTCATTGACCAAAAAATCCGTGTACCGCTGCTTCAACACGCCCGTGAACCCCAGATTGTCCGGGCACACGTATTCGGTTATGCCGGCGCGCACTTCGCGCTCGAGATCGGCGTCAATGGCAGATACTGGAGCTGTGGGCGCAGCTTGTAGGGCTTGCGGAGCTTGCGTAGAGAGCGAGGGAGCGCTGTTGTCGTCGAGACGAGCGCGTTTTGCGGGTCGCGCAGACTCATCGGCGTGATCTGACATATTTTCGGTTTCGGAGACGTGGTGCGGAGGTTTGGCGCTGCGTAGGTGCACAGGAAGGTTGTCTTTTGTGGACATGTTAGCGGGGGCAGTTTTTCGCGAACTGACTCGGGTGCGTAGACCCTGGTTGTGTGGAGGGGTGGATGGGTAAGAGGAGAACTTTTCGAAAAACAGTAATAGAAAAAGTTATCAATGGCCTCGTATCACTACACAGTCAAGATATGTCATACGAGAGATTGCACACGGTGTTATGATAACTTGATCATTTGTATCTGTTCTACTCCAGCTCACTCAATCCATCCCAGCCCTGCGCAAGCCATGCCCAAAACCCAGACGCCTCCACCAGGGGTATATTGTTATGCTCGTTACTTGTCGTGTTGTCTGAGCGAGTGTCTGTAGTTCGATATCGACAGGAAGATGAAAGGAAAAAAGTGTTACATGCTATAAAAGTGGTCCTCCATGATGGCAGGAAAGAATTGAAAATGTTTCTATGAGATAGTGCAAACGCCAGGTTCGTATGCAGCGGTCGCCTCTACAGGGCTAGACCATTTATGCCTGAGCGAAGATGGCAACGGTGGCGCAGAAGTTAGAACGGTTGTCCTTGTCCTTGAGCAGACCCTTGCCACCCGACGTGATCATGTTGACCGATGCCTTGGAGCTGAGCCCGAAGATGTTGACGTTGGTCGAATCCTCAATCTGGTTCATGTGCTCCTGGCAGTTCTGGTTGGCGACACAGTCCTGCGAGTAGTTGTCGAAGAACGAGTAGGTTCCGGAGCCGTAGTTCCAGATGCTGGTGCTGTTGATGATACGAACAGCCCAGGCAGCCTTGAGATCGGTCATGTCAGGGTCGAAGTACTTATCGTTCTTCTTGAAGGGTACCGTCGGCAGGGGGTTGGGCTGGTAGTAAGGTGTCTCGGTCTGGATGGCACCGTACCAGATGTCCTTGGCACCCTGGAACTGGTACTGCGACATCTGAGAGTGCTCGGAAGCAGTGCCGACAAGCCAGACGGGGCCCTGGGACTCGACGAGCATACCACGACCGTTGTAGATGTCGATCTGGGAGAAATCCTTCTCGTCGAGCTCGTGATCGGCGGTCCACAGCCAAACATTCTCAAAGTAACCATTGGAGTTCTTGGTGATGTGGAGCTGCATGAAGGAACCTATACACTCTGGGTTGGGTTCGTGCTGGGCGGTAGGGTTCTTCTTGCATGTTGTAGACTGGAGCTTGGTACCGGCGAAACCTCCAACACGGAAGTGAACGTCCCAGAGACCGGCCTTGCCAGCAGCAGCGTTGATGTTCCACTCCATCAAGATACCGCCGGGGGCAGGGCCTTGAGTGGTGATGATGGCGTCAGACATCTCGAAGCTGCCCTTGTCACCGCTCTTCTTGCCGACACGGAAACCAGGTTGAGGGTCGTCCATGTTGCCAAAGAACTTGCCGGTGATCATGAACATGGTGTAGATCTCACCAACAATCTTGATGTTCTTCTCGGCAGGGATGTCGATGGTCTTTGTGATGAGGTATGCACCGTGGTCGGCGTGGAGGATCTGGCCATCTTGGAGACCGTCGATGGCGGCTTGAATGGCATCAGTGTCATCAGTCTTACCGTCACCTTTTGCGCCCTTGGCTTTGAGGCTGACGAACTTGTCGACCGAGACGTTCTCGTACTGGGGCTTGCTGCGCTCGAACCAACCGTTGTTGCCGAGGAGGCTCTGAGGCTTCTCAGGAGCACCGTTGACATCGCCCTGAATACGACCGGCGGCAGCCTGACCGGCGGCCATGGCGTTACCCTGGGCCCAAGTAGCGACCTTCTTGTTGCCCGGAAGGAGAGCCTCACCAGCGATATTCTGGACGGCAGTGGCGCAACCCTCAAAGTCGACGTTGTCGATGATGAGACTACCACCAGTGTGGGGAATGCTGTCCTGAGTGAAGGAAGTGTTGACACCGATAGGAGTACCAGTGAACTTGCTGTCGAGGAGTAGGACGGATCCGACAGTCTGATTGGTGGGGCTGTTAGCCATGTCGAGACCAAGCTTGCAGTTGTTGATGAAGATGCTCTTGAGGGTCCATAGCCAGTTCCAGTTCATGAAGATGGCGGTGCCGCAGTCGTTGAAGGTCAGGTTGCGGGTGGTGAACTGCTGGGAACCGAGAAAAGCACCAATAGCACCACCGTTGAAGGTCAGGTCAGACATGAAACCACCGGAGCCGTTGTCTTGAAAGATACCCTTCTGGTCCTTGCCAGCGTCACCCTTGGCCATTTCAAAACGGATGTTTTGGAGCGAAGTGGCCTGGGAGACTTGCCAGTGGATACCAGCGGCAGCCTTGGTCTGGGAAATGTCGATGACGAAGTTGCGAACCTGGCGGTAGAAGTTGTTCTGGTTAGTGTACCAGTTGGCGCCATTGCCACCCTCGATGTAAGGGTCGGCATCGATCAAGCCCATGCCCTTAAAGTCGGCCGAAGCCTTCAGAGTGGGCAGGTTGGTAGCATCGCCGACAAATTGGGTGTAATAGTACTGGATGATGGGCTTGCTGATCAAGTAGGTACCGGCGGGGAAGTAGATGATGGCGGGAGTGTTAGTCGACGAGTCGCACTTCAGGCCACAGCGGTCGCCAGAGGCGATGATCTCGTTGATGATATCAGTGTCATCACTGACACCGTCACCCTTGGCACCGAGTTCCTTGACGTTGCGGAAGACCTGGTAGTTTGCGGGAGTGGGGTTGAAGGGGGCTTGACCTGATCGCTTGATGCTCTCAAACCAATAGCCAGAGGCGCCGGCCTGCGGTGTCTCTGGCGCTTGGGCTACAGGCGCGGCTGCCGAGGGAGTTGCGGAGAGGAGGACGCGCAGCGTCAGAAGGAGCGCTCCAGCGCTGAAAGCAACCATGATGGCTGTGCGGGTGTTGATGCGGGGTGTAGAAAAACGTCCAAGAAATGCTGGGTATCGCTGAAAGAGGGACTGTCAGTTGCCTGCAAAAGACAGAGTATGCCGTAGTCGAAGATTTGTTGGGTAGTTGCGCGGGGAATGTAATGATCGTGCTTGGTTGATATGCGGATCACTGGAGCAACGGTGTTTGTGCAGAAGAAAGGTTGCGAAAGTTATGACAAAGCTTTTAAACAGCAAATGAATGACTGGCACAATGAGAATTGAAGGCACACAATGGTGCAAATTGGAGCTGACTGCGAGCCTGCGTGAAGAGCACAATAGAGGGAAGGGCACATTGTTATACAGAATAAGGGACCAGGGACTCACAATGCTAGTAGTAACGTCGCGCCAATCAAGTCTATCAGAGCTCCGTGTTTCGAATCGCAGGTAGCCGGGTTGCACCTTTCGCTGTGCCGTGTTCGACTCATTGCCACCAGCTTCATATACACCTTCAATTCCGCTCTTCACATAGTGACACGCCGCGTCATTCACCACCACATCATCCCCAACCACAGTCTCAAATTCACTCAGTAAGCCCTCATTCTCTCCCGCCTCGTGGTGAAGCCCGGTGGCCGCGTCTGCTGGCCACATTCTTCGCCTCCTTGTGGTGGACCGCGCAAGGGTTCCGGAATGTGGATCTGTGTAAGTCGAACACCGGAAGATTACCCAGGGTCGCGCGCCTACAGGGTGAGCCACACCTGTCTTGAGAAAGTCTCCTTCCGAGAATGAAACAGCAGAGCGACGTCGACCTGTCGTGGTGGTTGATAGCCTGACGTTGGCGCAAGGCGCTCGGATTTAGCAGGCCCCCTGCAAGGGTTTGGTTGGCCACGCCACAAGCGACATTGATCATCCGAAACAGATATAAAACGGCATCCAATCGCGCGCCTGTGAGTGGCTGCTCGCGAGATTCACCCAGGGCCAGCGCTTCAAAAAGCAAGCCATCGCTGTTCGATAGGGAAAGAGGCTCGTACGCTGCGGGCCGGCGAGGATCGTGCTTGGGCGACTTGCTAAATGAGTCTTCCTGTCTCCACTTCATGCGTAGCGATGGCCAAAAAGTCGCCATGTCCGCGTTCGTGCGACCTCGCAGGCGGCCACGGCAATTAGTTGCGTCCTGCACGGCAAGGACGGCGGCCATGCATGCGGCCAGCACAAAGGATAAAATTCACTTTTGTTTGACGCGCCTTGTAGAACATTTCACACTGTGATAGAAGCCAGGACCCATCGATCGGCCAATAAGCCGCTCACCAACGGCACATGGAGTCTGATCCGGGGTTCGGCTGTTGCAAAGTTTTATGAGAGGGGTCGCGAGGGCCACGTCGAAACATTATGCTTAAACCACGACGATCACGAGTGGCCAATTGGGCTGCGAAGAGACGATTCGTTTGTTCTAGCCCTGCGGCAGATTACCCTTGTTGAGAATGCTCAGGAGCCGATCAAGGGAAGCTTGGTTGTTTGCACGTGAGTGCGGACATCTCCCTTTGTGGCGATTGTAAGCATGGCATTGCCTGGCATATGAGGCTGCGTGTTTCGACCTCTGGACTCCGAGCCGTGATAATTGCAGGCCTACCAATAGTCTTTCGCTTCAGTTGCCACCGGTTTGGAAACATGCTCGTAACTTTCGTCTTGCATCTTGCTAATAACTGCGCCTAGGCGCGATATGCCCTCCGCGAGCATGTCTTCGTCTTCCCACTGATGCAAGGTTAGGGTCTTGTATCATCGACATGTCGGATGCTTACAGCGAAACATAGTCTTATGTCGTTCCTGAATGATGTGCCAGGATGAGCCGTGTCTCCAGGAACCTGTATTATCTGTGAGAAACATGCTCGTCTCGATATTACCTATTATCAACTACGATGGAACGCGACCAGGGTGTCAGAGCGGGAAGCCCATTCAATAGCCCAAAGTTATACACAGGCCATTGCCGTCGAATTTGAAACGCAGCGATACTGTGTTCACGTTCAGGGTATCAGTTCGGCGGAAAGACCCTGTGTATTTTCTCGTAGCTGACAACATGCAGTGAAACAAGGGACAGACTTACTTCAAAAATATCGCCCTGTGTACAGAATCTGTCAGCCGACCCTGTGACCGGGACCCGGAAGCGGTTGCGCGTTTTGTACTCACCTGTGCAACCACAACGTTTTCTTCGTCCTTTGCGCGTTGTGCGAGTGCTGCGCCGTCGACCGAATCTGGTAGCGTCAACCAGATGAAGTAGCCGCCGACGACGTTTCTGTCAGTCTGCGGCAAGCGGACACCGAGTGGGATTAGATCTTTGTTGATGATCTCGATCATCTTCCGATACCTCTTGCAATACGTCGGTTGCAGTGTGTAGTATACGAAGCGCTGAAGCTCTCCGGTCTCGAGTGTTTCGGCCACAAAGCAGGCTGTCAGCTGACTAGGGGCGCCACCCGATCGACTTGAGCCTCTGTGGGACATCAGCTATCGTGCTTGGGATGAGCTACTGCTGTCTTGCGTTCCAGGTGCCGTCGGTAGGGCTGCTTACGTCTGCGACACTCCATATGCCAGTTTCGTCGTTCCCTCGCACCAGCCTGTTCGCAGACCGGGGCCACATATCTTAGAAAAGCTTCCATTCGACACCGCATTCCCAAATCCATCCGCGCCTTTCCTCTCAGCGCCGCCATCAAGGTAACGGTCGATATCGACTATGCGAGGCATGACCGCCTTTTCCAGCGACATTGACGGAGAGGTAAGACTCGATGGCCATTGCAGGAAATCGTAGACATCATCTGTAATAATTAGGGCATCATAATCCCTTGCCAGTCTCACTAACGCCTGGCGCCTACGGAGACTCATTGTTTTGAAGCTAGGGTTCGAGAAAGTTGGGACAGCGTAAATAACGTGCTTATAGATCTTGCTCCATGGTCGTGGGAATTTGAATTTCTGGTCGAGTGGTTAGTATGTGGACACTAGCTTGAACTAGGTACAGCTCCCATGAGCTGTGTGTAGTGAGGCTCAGTCCTTGCGCATCGCTGAAAGCCAGTCTGCACTTTTCAGACTACCATGACCGAGTTCTTTTGGCTACTACTGCATCTTGTTGTTGATGTATGTGGAATGACTGGAATTTACAAAGGATGAAGTTGAGAGGCATTGCTCAGATGATAGAAGCACAGAAAGACACAGTTCACCGAGAGTTGAGACCTACCGGTTCGTTGTTACCATTCGCTTTAGCTTGGTCTTCGCTTTTCTTAATCTCTTGACGCAGATACTCAATATCAATACCTTCGTCGTCCTCTGGGACGGCACGAAGTTTCTTCTGGAAACCAGCGTCCTCGAAGATGCGGAACGACAGCATGTACGCCGGGGCCACGATCCAAACATTCCGCGTAAAGCCTGGATCGGAGAACACTTGAAGCAAACAAGCCATGTTCTGCGAGGCACCGCCAGTAATGCAGATACGATCCTCGGTGATAGCCTCAGCGGGCTGATAGAAGCTCGTCAGCCATTGTGAAACGTTCTTCAGCAGTCGCGGGTCGCCGGGGTCCGGCCCGTAGCACATGGCGGGATACGCGATGGTCTTATTCTTGAGCACATTGTGAGTTGCTTTATCGAGCAGCTGAGTAGGAAGTAGTGAAGTGTTGGGCCATCTGATTGCATTAGCAGATGTGGTCAGGAGGTGCTTCAGAAACTATTGGGCCGCGTAATGTATCCAAAGGATTTGTGGCACGTTGACCGGACAGTGGCATGGAGCATCGCAGCCCAGGTGCTGACAGACTACCTTACCCTCTGAGAAGATTGATGAGCTTCTTCGAGCTCGTCGTTGATCCGACGGCATCTGAGAATGCACCCATAGTTGCTTTCTGCTCGGCAGTATTTTCGAGCCCGGATGTATTGGGCAGTTATTGAGTGCTGATCGAGCCCCACTTCCAAGAGTTTGGGAAGGGTCCGATACGATTACGATGTGGGTGGCTCGTGTCAAGGCGATCAGGCGCAAGTAAAACGGCGCTTCGACAGCAAGGCCTTGAAAAGCTTCAGCCTATTTCGGACAAGGTGCTGCGAGACTCGAGGTGAGTTGTTGCAACTTGTTGGCAAGCCACCTGTCAAATCTGTTGGAAGGTGCGTCTGCATTTGGCACCCCTGTCAATACCCACGCGCGGAGGTACACATGGAAGTACGTCATCCTTCGCTAAACTTGACTTCTCCAGAGGTGCATTTCAGCTTCACGCTCGTACAAACGGCGGTTGGGCGTAAAGTGCTCAAGTATTTACTACAGCTGAGATGCTGTGTACGATTGCGAATGCCAGATGAGGACCTCGAAACGGCTGGTCAGCAGAACATAGCGGCATGGCATGGATGCGTGCCGAGTCCCTGGCGGGTCGCTGCGCAGTTACGAGGCGCAGGTCCCAGCCGGTCTCCTGTCGGAGCTATCATTGCCTGCACGAGGAGCCAAAGCACTCTTTGGTCCAGATCTGTGCCAATGAGCCACCGAAGGTAGCGGGTGAACGAGCTAGGGTCAGCACTTTTTGCGTGGCAACCTTGCGAATCGTCATAGGCTGGGGCAGGTCATTCCCTACAGAGCACTAGCATGGCTCGCCTTTTTGTCGCAGATTCACTGCCCGCCGGACATGCGACGGATCAGTGGGCCAAATATAGACCTGATGGTCCTGCTAGTTTTCTCAAACGTAACATCCAACTCAGCACCAGTGCAACCTTGCCAGAGCTCAACCCTACATTGCGCGCCGTTGCCGTTTGCTCAACTGTGCTGTCTTGTAAAACCCACTGTCCAGCACGCGAGACCCTGTTATATTGTGCAAGGATATGAGCGACATTTGCTGAATCCCTCCTTCCAAGCCTTGAACGTACAAAACCACAACACAATGTTGGGAGACAAGAAGAAGTCGACCCATCGGCTTTCGGGCCTGTTCTCGAAATCGACCTCGGAGACTGATTCGACCACCACCAAATCGACGACATCGTCGGATTCGACCGGCCGGCTTACGAAAGTGCGGAACCGACTGTCTTCGGCCACCCACCTCGCACCAGAATATCCTGCACCAGCGTCTCCGCAAGCTCCGCGTCATTCGTCTCTCCAGAATCCCACTATTCAGCCAGTCGACTCCTCAGATTTCGCAGCAGCCTTCGCGCCTCTTGAGCCCCCTCCACCTCTTACAGTCCCCGGCGGATCTCGTAATGCATCGCCTTCAGGGAGAGGGAGTCGGCCAGGCACGCCGGGCGGGGACTCTTCTGCTGGCGAGGGCAATCTGAAAAAGCTGAGGCGGAAAAGCAGATTATTTGGTGGCAGCCAGGCGGACTTGGTAGGAGGCGCAACGGCAGCGTCCGACCAGCCGCTCGCTTGGATCGTGGGCCATAAGGGCAAAGTGCCATACAACCTGGCCATGTTGCTGAGCGGAGAAAAGGTACCCGAACTTTGGGATGAACAAGGCGACACCCTAGTCTACCTCTTTCCGCGCACGTCGAACAAGGGCCCCTCCTTCCGCATCGACTCCTCCGTATACGCCACATCGCGACTGCTCACCCAGCTCGTCCACGGCAGCCTATATTCTGATGCTGGTGTAGCGAGCCCACAGGAATCGACGCCATCATCGCGGCGCGTTTCGCGTGAGGTGTACGGGCAGTCCCGGCCAGCATCTCCCGACCAGAGCCTCGTCGGAAGCTCCGACGACTCGAAAGGCTCGAGGGTGCTAAGCGACGCAACCGAGGATGACCACTCGGAGAAGCACATGTATGTGCCCATCGCACTCAGCTCAGATAGCGCTTTCACTCCCCAGCACGAGCTGCACCTGAGCCCCAAGGACATCGACATCCTTGTTACATATCGCAACTTTTTCGCCTTCCTCATCGGACAATCGCTCGTGGCTACCCAGCGGCACTCGGACATCTTCGACATCTTCCTTCGCATCAGCGATATACTTCAGCACTACGCATTTTCAAATGTTGACGGTTCGAGCTATGGCGAAGTCGCAGCTTCGAGCTTTGATTGCTACGTCGAGGAGCTAAACTTGGCCGACGTGCGGCATAGCCGGGAGAAGACTATTGAGGCCATCGTGCTTGGCGAGAAGATGCGATCCATGGCGCTCTACACCGAAGGCTTTGTGCACGCGTCTGGCAAACTCGAGAGCGTCAAGAACCTGCAGTCGCCCAAGTTTGAGATGATCAGCCACAAGACCGCGACCAGACTTGCAAGAGCCGCGATGGATCTGGAAAACCGCGAAGCTACTATCAACTTGAAACTGAAGGACTTTGAGTTTCCCGCTATCTTTTCTGGCATCATGAATAGCGCCATGGCCGAGGAGGGAAAGACGATGAACTTCAAGAAGTGGCGAGTTGCGTTCAACAACGCTAGGACTTTTACCATCGACTATTACAAGACGAAGTACGGTTCGTGGCTGCCAAAGGCGAAGTCAAAGAAGAATGATCTCACGACAAGCGGTCTCAATCGGCTGGTGCTTCTCGACATCTACCGTGACATGTCCAGCCTATACGACCTTCTTGTAGACCGTGCCAACCTCACAAATCGTACTGCAGATGGCTTCATAGCTGAGGACGAAGGCACGACCTATGAGGATATTGTGCGCCGAGCAATGCGGAAAGTTCTCAGCGAGTACGACCGTAGCACGCCACCTGTGCAACCACCGATTCCATTCGACCTACCAATCTATCCTACGTCTGAAAACACACGCACCGGCGATGCGAAGAAGGATGCAAAAGCTCGGGCTAAGAAGCTGTCGAAGGATCAGGTGCTGAAGTTCTTGAAGGGTTCCCACAATATCGACGCGGAGCAGCAAACACCATTCTTGGAAGCATTCCGGCATTTCGAGTACAAACAGGCCTCTGGTGCCAACATGGATGACTTGTGGGACCTGCGCAGCGGCCAATGGCTCTTCCTCTACGCCGTCATTCAGTCGCTACCAATGTTGGTCATCGACGCTCCTGGAGTTCGATACACCCAGGGCGTCGAATATTTCCTTTGCCAGGTTCCTCGCAGCGGCGTGCCCTGGGGTCGCGAAGACACAGCACGAACGCGAACATGGTTCGGTGTGGGAGGTGGTGGTCAGGGTGGTAAGCTTACCTACCGATGTCGTCGAAAACGGTGTCGAAGGTGTCTTCCGACGATCGCATTGCTGGAAGAAAGCTCAAGAGTGGGCAGCCAACGACACTCTCCTCAATGCCGCGATGCAAGAACTCGATGTGAATGCCGCCCCACTGCCAGCACCACCTGGGCTTCTGGACCCGTCGGCCGCTACTGCTCGATCTCGATCAGGCAGCCCAGTCTCCGATAACAGGCGACAGAGTGTCATGATGCTTGGCCTCGAAGCCCTGCCTCTACCTCCTGGCATCGCGCCCCCAACTGCCGCTTCTTCATCGAGGCCAGCATCGAGCAGCGATCCCAGCAAGACTTTTGACGCGATTCTTGGAACCAGCGCCACGCCTCCTTCCAAGGACAAGAAGAAGAAGAGATGAGCTGTGAAGGATTTATTGGTTAATGATGATGGAAAAGTGCCTGGATATTGCATGTTGAAACGGCCTATCGCATTTGTTTGCTGCATTTAAGCCTGCGTCAGCGGCCATTTTTTTTGAATTTGAGTTGTTGCATGTTTGCATAATTGCAAAGCGTAGAAGGAACTACGCGATAGACATGAATGAGCGTTGTATGAGGATAGCACCGCTAATAGTGAATGAAGAAGAGTTGCTTATCGACTTTATCGTGTCGCGTCCCTGTGCTTCGGGCCGAGTTCGCTGGCCGCCCGCGATCCGATATCGTACTTTTGTTCTTGCCCACACGAGCTCCAATTATGACTGCCAGCAAGCTTTCGTGAGCTCGCAGCAATTTCCGCTGCTTCTCCGTCTCTTTGTTGCGCAAAGATGACGTCCTCCCTCCCAGGCAACCGCGACCTGCCAGTCTCCCAGTACGACCTCAGCACGTACTGGGGCCGCGTGCAGCAATCGGCCACCATATCAGATCCCAGGTGAGACAGCTGCGCAGACACATTGAATGATTCCCTGTGCGCTGGAGGTGGTGAGTGCCACAACGATTGGCTCTTCAAATCTCAATACTGTTGCAGGGTCAATTGCTAACTATGCGCTTCACAGAACACTGTTCACGTCATCAGCTGGCCTCGAAAATGCCAAAGAACTCGTTACCGCGTATAAGACGGGCAAGATACGGGATATGACACCAGAACTATGGCTGGCGAAGAAGACAATAGACTCTACGCTGCATCCTGGTACGAGTCCTCTTGCACGAGGTCCTATGGGAAACGAACTGATCGTGTTTAGATACAGGACAGCCTGTCTTCATGCCCTTTCGCATGTCCTGCTTTGTGCTTTCCAACCTGGTTGTCACAGCTGGTATGCTCACGCCAGGACTCGGTGTAAGCAAGAAGCGACCCAACATGAGAGGAATGAATGTTAACGTGTAACAGACGGCAGGAACACTTGGATGGCAAATCACCAACCAATCGCTCAATGTGGGCATCAATTTCTCGAACGCGAATAAATCAACGCCGCTGCCCACGTCCACTATCGTCAAATCATACTTCACCGCCGTGACAGCCTCATGCGGTGTTGCGCTGGGCTTGAACGCTCTTGTGCCCCGGCTGAAGAGCCTCTCGCCCAATGCGAAAATGGTAGCTGGTCGCCTGGTCCCCTTCGCAGCCGTCGCCAGCGCAGGTGTGCTTAACGTCTTCCTCATGCGCGGCGAAGAGATCCGCCAGGGCATCGACGTCTTCCCCGTCCTGACCGAAGACGAGAAGCAAAAAGTCGAAAGCGGCGAGCTCGAATACAAATCACTGGGCCGTAGCAAAAAGGCAGCCACACTCGCAGTCGGAGAGACCGCAATCAGTCGCGTGCTGAACGCGACACCGATCATGGTGCTGCCGCCCTTGGTTCTGGTCAGGTTGCAGAAGACAGATTGGCTTAAGCAGAGGCCGAGAATGGTGACGCCGGTCAACTTGGGTGAGTTGGGGAAGTTTTGGGGCCGATTCGCGCAAGCTAATGTCAGGCAGGACTCATTCTCACGACATCCATCTTCGCACTGCCGCTTGCGCTGGCTGCGTTCCCGCAGAGACAGGCAGTGGGTGCCAAGACGCTGGAGCCTGAATTTCATGCGAAGGGTGGGAAGGATGGGATGGTGGAGTTTAACCGTGGTATCTAGTGGGTGGTGTCATGTGCGAGTAGAGTATAACCCACGGTTCTACTGATGGGTGCAATGGACGGGGCAGACGTGAGCGTGAAGCCTCCAGTCCTGCTACTATTTGCAGCCCCAGATGAAATCATTTGACTTTGCTAGCAGTATGCACGTGTCTACTGAATCTGTAGTGTGCAACTACATTTGATCTCACAAACAAATTACGTCGGTGATTTGCAATGATCCTGTATAATGGTGGAAGGAGGCCATGAAAGAAAGACGGAAGACGGAGAAATGCGGCTTCTCATTGGTCAGGATGCGCAATTCATACTTGCACGCTGCACACAAGACGGAAGCCTGGTGATGAGATAAGAACACATTACGTTCGATGCTGTGGCCTCTCTAGGCATCAATGAATGCAGGTCGAGCGTTGATGGGGCGTTTCAAGTATCGTGGTCTGGCGTCGAGCCCGCGACGTCAATGTGGCCTTTGTGAGCCAAAGAGCCAGGTGTCGAATTTAAGCCTCGAATCATTTAAGCTCCACCCACGCCGAGACGATTCACGACTTGTCGTTTCTGTTCCACAACACGTGTGAAGATTGTCTCTCACATTCTGCTCTCTGGGATAGATTCCCCTTCCCTTCTTTTCTCCACCGCATTGCCCTCGACCTTCGACCTTCGACCTTCGTCTCACCCCGCAAAGTCGGCGACTTCCCCACACTACGCACGCAGGTACCCGCACAACTCACCACGTTGCGCATACCGACACACAACATGGCGCCTCCCGGCCGTCGGAGAGCACAGCTCTCGCCCGCTACGATGCTCCTCGGGCTCTTCTTGCTCTTCTCGTCGACCGCCTCGGCCGCATCTGCAGTTCTGGGCGTGGACCTGGGCACCGAATACATCAAAGCCGCGCTCGTCAAGCCTGGTGTTCCGCTCGAAATTGTCCTCACCAAGGACTCGAAACGTAAAGAGACGTCCGCTGTGGCATTCAAGCCCTCAAAGAGCGGACCTCTACCCGCCGGTTCATACCCGGAGCGTTTCTACGGCGGCGACGCCATCGCCCTACAGGCGCGATTCCCCGCAGATGTATACCCAAACCTGAAGCACCTCCTTGGAGTGCCGCTTGACAGCGACATCGTCGGTGTGTACAAGGAGCGATACCCTGCACTCGATGTTGTATCTACAGAGAACCGCAAGACAGTCAGCTTCAACGACGCCTCATTCGCTGCTGGCTCAGAGAAGCCTTTCTCCGTCGAGGAGCTGCTGGCCATGGAATTGAAGAACGTACGGGAGAACGCAAAGGCGCTGGCAGGCAAGGGCTACGATGTCCAGGACGTCGTCTTCACCGTCCCGCCCTTCTACACCGTTGCCGAGAGGCGCGCGCTCGAAGTTGCCGCACGACTGGCTGGCATGAAGGTCCTCAGCGTCGTCTCGGACAGCTTGGCTGTTGGTATCAACTACGCGGTTAGCAGGACCTTCCCGGACATCACAAAGAAAGGCAAGGCTGAGATCAACATGGTCTTCGACATGGGCGCTGGATCAACCTCTGCCACCGTTCTCCAGTTCGCTGGCAGGAGCGTCAAGGACGTCGGCAAGCGCAACAAGACCATCCAAGAGGTTCAGGTTCTTGGTGTTGGCTGGGACAAGACCCTTGGAGGTGACGCTCTCAACTCGCTCATTGTCGACGACATTGTCTCCACCTTCGTTGCCCTCCCGGGTGCGAAGAGCGCATCCATCACCGCCGAGCAGGTCAAGGGCCATGGACGCACGGCTGCGAAGCTGTTCAAGGAGGCCGAGCGCATCCGTCAAGTTCTGAGCGCCAACAGCGAGACGTCTGCATTCTTCGAGGGTCTTTACGAAGATGTCGATCTCCGCTACAAGCTCTCGCGCGCCACTCTCGAGAAGCTCACCTCTGATTTCGCTGCCAGGGTCGACGTGCCCATCGAGAACGCGCTCAAGGCCGCTGGCTTGACCTGGAAGGACATCGATTCGGTCATTGTTCACGGAGGCGCAACACGTACTCCCTTCGTCCAGAACCGCCTTGAGAAGCTCGCAACCAAAGCCAAGATCCGAGCCAACGTCAACTCCGATGAGGCTGCTGTATTCGGTGCCGCCTTCAAGGCTGCGGGCCTCAGCCCGTCCTTCCGCGTAAAGGAGATTCGTGACATCGACACTCAGGGTTTTGAACATGGTATCCAGTACAAGTTCAACCTCAAGGACCGCGACCAGAAAATCTTCACGCCTAACACCAAGCTGGGCGTGACAAAGGATCTGCCTTTCCAGATGATGGGCGAGTTCGAATTTGAAATCTACCAGTCAATTCCGGGTGCCAAGGGCGCTGTCAAGGAGCCTGTTCTCCACTTCCAGAGCGGTAACCTCACAAGGGTTGTCACCAGGATGATTGACGATCAAAAGTGCGACCGCGACTCATTCAACAACTACGTTCAGGTCAGGTTAAGCCCTATCACCGGTACCCCAGAGGTACTGTCCGCATGGGTGACTTGCGAGACTGAGTCTGTGGACGCCAAGGGTGGTATCGTTGATGGTGTTAAGAACTTGTTTGGTATGGGCGGCAAGAAGGACCAGGAGCCACTGAAGGATGGTGAGAGCGCCGAGGAGTCGTCTTCGTCTTCCAAGGCATCTAAGTCCACCAAGTCTGGCAAGTCTTCTTCGTCCTCTTCTTCGGCAGCGGCTGAGAGCAGTGATGCTGCCGATGCTGAGCCAAAGAGGAAGCTTGTCAGGTCTGCCATCACGTACGACGTCAAGCAGCTCGGCTACGAGAAGCACCCTCGCAAGGAATTGAAGAGAATGCATGACAGGTAAGATATGGACGACGATTTTTGTATGATCAGCAGCTAACATCATGTAGACTCGCTGCGTTCGACCACTCAGACAAGTCTCGTCGTGTACGCGAGGAGGTTCTGAACTCTCTCGAGGCCTTCACCTACCGCGCTCGCGACTATCTTGAGGACGAATCCTTCATTGGAGCTTCCGTTCCCGCTGTCCGAACCACACTGGAAGAGAAGCTCAGTGCTGCCTCTGACTGGCTCTACTCTGAGGGCACTGAAGCCGGCGAGAAGGAGCTCAAGGCCAAGCTGAAGGAGCTCGAAGACATTGTCAACCCTGTTCTCAAGCGCAAGACTGAGGCTATCAAGCGCCCCGACGCCATCAAGGAGCTCAAGGACACCATCGCCCATATCCAGGAGGTCTCACAACTTGTCGACAGCCAGATCAAGACTCAAATACACGAGAGCTCTAAGAGCAGCGAAGCCGTTGCAGCCGCCTCCAAATCATCTGCCACCCCTTCTCCCTCCACCAAAGACGAGCTTGACGAGCTCGAGGAAGGTGACGTCTCTTCCTCCGCCGAACCCGCCGAGCCCGAGATCACCGAAGTCCCCACCATCTACACCGAAGACGACCTAAAGAAGGTGCAAGACACCATCGCCTCGTCGCAGAAATGGCTCGAAGAGAACGAAGCCAAGCAAGCCAAACTCGGCCCCACCGACGACCCAGCCTTCACCGTCAAAGACCTCCAAGCCGAGAAGAAGCGCATCGACGACGTCGTCATGGACATGATGATGAAGAAGATGCGCCACTTCAAGCCCCCCGGCCAACAAAAGCCCAAAGCCTCCAGCAAGCCCAAGCCCAAGAAGGCTAAGAAGCCCGCGGCGCCGAAGAAAGACGCCGGCGAGGCTCCTACCGACGAGGAACTCCAGGAGGCGCTGAAGAAGGCTGGCGTTGACTCGGATAAGATCAAGTTGAAGAACTTTGGCCACAAGGATTCGATGACGGATGAGATGGGCCGGAAGCTGAAGAAACTCAATATCGATGAGGATTCGAGCGAGGAGGATATTTTGAGGGCGATTGATGACTTGACCAAGGAGCAGGGGGAGAAGGAGAAGGAGGGAGAGAAGCATGATGAGTTGTGAGTGAGGGCGGTGAAGGGCCACTTAGATGGAGTGTGTATATGAATTGCAAGTGTGAAGCATCTTTTTTTTTGGGAGTCTTTAGAACATGTGTGCGGGAGAATCAAGAATACGATCAAAACTTATAGGATTTCGTACGGGTGGGAGTGTGATAATGATGTTGCATGCGCACAGCCCGAGATCAAACCCTCAGTGACCAGGGCTTTCATCGAGGCTAATTTGCATAAGCGTCACGATACTGGAGCTAGTTGCTAGATATAAGAGATGCTGAATAACTTGCTACGAAGTCCTTGCATGCTGTTTCATCATCTTCGGCGGGCTTGTAGATGAACGACATGACATGGCCCACGCCACATCCGTCGCAGCCATAGACAATGACCCTGTCCCTAACGCATAGCGGCAAAACAAGTACAGCGTCGCAGCATCGTCCATTTCGCTCAGATATTAAAAAGGCTTTCTTTCCATTAGTCTCGCGCGCGCTCACGCCCCGCGTGTGTAAACGCGATTTCCAAAGGAGCAAAACAGAAAGTACAATCATTCAAGAGGAGGGAGGCTACAGGGAGGGGTCGAACGGACGACAGAAGCAAAAAGAACTAGCCGACCACACATATCCATAGCTAGCTGAATCCCTTATGGTGAGTGACGAAGGGTTTATCCAGACGAGCGTGCGCCAGGTGCTCGCCCCCCAACATGTTTCTTGACTGTTGGATTTGATGGGAAAGCGGCGAGTTGAGCGAAACATATTGTGAGCTAGTGCGCGTTTTCTGGTTTGGTGGTTGGGGATTGTGGCGATGAGCGGCGGTGAGCGGGGCCGCGAAGTGCGCAAGGTCGTATGTCGTAGCTGGGGATTATTCGGTAGGTTGGAGGTGTGTTGAGTGAGAGTTGTGGGAGATGGATGAAGTCTTGGGTGAATGGCGATATACGACAGCTACGTGAATATGACGGGCCTTTGCGCGGCAAAATAGCAGAGAACAAATTTCAAGCATTCGGCAACAAAGCTCACCCAAAGTCTGTTTGTATTGGAAATTTATCAACATGCAAACGTCTGTCTGAACTGTCTGAATGCAGGGTCTACGTCAAAATTTCCTTTACATACCCCATGATGCAAAGACTCAAGTGCCTCTTCTGCAGTGAACTTCCACTCACCTACCTCGATACTGTCCTTGTCGATGTCTACAAAACCTCGTAGCGCTATAGCTGCCTGGTACTCTGTTCGAGCTGCAGAGTCTCTTGGATCTGGTGTATCTTTTCTCATGTTAACTTTAATCTGCTCCTCAAGTGGATTCCTTTCGTGGCACCTGCCCGCAACTATTATGTATCAGTGTATTGCCACTCCTCATCCTCATTTGTTCCACTCACCCAAAATCTCCAGATACCGAGGATTGTTCCTCCATCTCCTCTCCGGCTCTTTAGACGGAGCCCTCCAGCCCATGTCCTTCAGAAACATTATGTTCGCTATGAAGTCCTTGATAGCTGTTTCGCAATCCTTGGAGGGATCGTAGAGCCGCGGCATGAACACTATATTCTCGACACGTCCATCACAGACATCAATCATAACCTTCTTGTTTTCGCATGGTCCCATAACAATTATGGGATCGTAGTTCTTAGTGATGCTCCAGAGAGATCGGACGCACGACTTTATGGAATCTCTTTCGGCCTCGGATTCGAACGCTGGGGGAAGTCTCGTGTCGGTACGAAAGGATATCTTTTGGTTACCACTGGGCGTGGCTTGAGGGACGTGTATTTTTGTTCGTTTGTGAGGCATGGCTAGCTAGGTTGCAGAAATGGTGCAGGTCCGTTACAGCACTGTTTGACCAAACTATATAGTAGAACGAAGTTATATACCCCTGGAGAGTCATCTTAGATGACGAGATACCATGTGAATAGCAAGAAACTAGAGCTAGGTGACTGTTATGTGTCACATCGCCACGATAGATTCGAATAAGCCATTGCGCTGCTAGTCATACGCTGTTCAGTCAAGCGGCGGAGAGATCAGTGTCGTAGTCATAGTTTATGTAGACCAAAGGGAACCACTCGCGGAGAGTCCACACGGCCTACAGTAGTAGGTTTGTCTGCCTCTGGCTTTGGGCTCGCTTGGATGTGGACAGGGCGGTGCAGACATACCCGCGACATATAGTTGCAATACTATTGACATTCAGTGCAACTACCTACGTTTTCCGTTTACAATATCATAATTTGGTTTGATAAGCTTCAACCAATCTCTCCCCGGCACAGTCTTCCTCTGGGATGAGCTTTATGATGTACTTGATCTAGTAGCGCTCCTTGTGGAAGCTTTGCTTCGCTGTTTATATTTGCGAAGAGATTCTTCCTCGTCCTTCAATGCTCCATATATGTATTCCATAGCCTCACTACGCCTTTTGAATGCCTTACCTTTAAGGACTCGAGAGTTTTGTGCATCATAAAAGAACATTTCATCTTTCTTGTTGGCCATTGTCATCGGATGTCACTTGACGGAGGAGATGATCTTATCAGGTCCGGGTATGAAGCTCGTCTGTGGAAGTTTGTCTGGAGGTTTGCAATCCGCGAGAGCTGACCGTAAACCTCTGTAAATTTAAGGGCTGCATACAGACATCCATACTCTTATATACAATACACGAGTCCAGTATTCAAACTCGGTATCAGTCATGGTGACTCTACGGACCCGGGAGTGTCATTTGTGACCCAGAATTGAACGCCACAAGTCGATTCGAGTGACAAACCACAAGAACATTTATCCACGCGCTCCAGGTTCACTTTCGTGCGAAGACATTGAAGGAGTTCCAAGATGTGTAGCATGGTGTAAGTTATTCTCCATCGGCGAAGCGTAAGAGACATGTCTTTCGAGTCATCAACGCGATGGCTGGGGTACCCCGAAAGTCGATGGGGGCCATAGCTCAGATTCACTACACCGAGGAATCTGTCTGTGTTCGTTGTCGCAAAGAACCCTGATGCTGGTTGTTGATCCCACATCTTCCGATGGTGATCGGAATCGTTCCGAGTGCGCTAGTCATGCACGGACCGACCGTAACTCCGCCGCGGGCGCCTGCACTGAGGTAAAGCTCATCGATTGACAACACATCACAAACACCAACTCTACTGGGAACATTCTCGCCACAGTCATGTCTGGAGGCTGGAATACCATAGAGTCCGATGCCGTGTGTAGTCCTTCGCCATTCTTTACATGAACGCCACTGACATCTTCAGGGCGTATTCACATATCTAATCGAGAAGCTCGGCGTTAAGGATGTACAATTCGAAGAGCTCACAACGCTCGAGGCCTCAGAGCTTGAACAGCTAGGCACGGTCTATGGCGTGATCTTCCTCTTCAAGTACCCCACCGGCGAAGCACGCGGCGAGACACCGAAAGATGGCACTTATGACCATGAGGCGGCAAATAACATCTTCTTCGCGGCGCAAACCATACAGAACGCTTGCGGTACCCAGGCAATTGTGTCGCTTCTGCTGAACAGGGAGAAGGAAGTCAACATTGGCAAAGAACTGAAAGAGTTCAAGGAGTTCGCCGGAGAGTTCCCGCCAGAGGTGTGTTGAGTCAGCAATGCGCCTCAGACTCAGTGGCTAAGATACGTACAGCTACGAGGAGAGACGCTCTCAAACTCGGATCTCATTCGGGAAACACACAACTCCTTCGCGCGATCATCTCCCTTCATCGACGAGACACAACGAACCGCGACCGAAGATGACGACGTGTACCACTTTATCGCGTAAGTATGCTCTTTGCCCACCCCACATATTAGAGAGGCTCACAGTAATTTAGTTATACGTCAATAAACAACACCCTCTACGAACTCGACGGCCTCCAGCCCGCCCCCATCTCCCACGGCGCATGCAAACCCACCGAGTTCCCCACTAAGATTATCCCCGTCCTCCAACGCCGCATCGCCCGCTACCCCGCCACCGAAATCCGCTTCAACCTCATGGCTTGTGTACGCGACCTGCGCATCCGTGCCCGCGAGATTGGCGACGAGGAAGAGCTTGAGCAGCAAGAAGACAGGCGCGCGCAATGGTTGTGGGAGAACTCGCTGCGAAGACACAACTTCGTTGGCTTTATCAGCGAGCTGTTGAAGGGCGTTGTGGCTGCGAAGCTGAAGGAGGGTAATGGTGCGTATGACAAGTGGGTTGAGGAGGCGAAGGGGAGGAGTCGGAAGAGGAGGGAGGACGCGAGGAAGCAAGGGATAGCTAGTGAAGACTGAGGTGGTCGTGTGGTAAGGGACGACAGGTGGAGGTGATCATGATAACGGCAGGATATGAATATTATACAATGACCCCATGCGAGCTCACTGGCTAGAAAGGTGCTGAGAAGTTGTGATTGGGGATGATGCTAACCAAATGTTTTGCGAACAATATGCATTTTCAGATCATAACCACAACTTAGGATGACTGCACCAAAACGAGGGGGGAGCATGTCCTTGGCTATCGGCCAGCAGATCTATATCGCAAGCTACTAAATGGCCGGAGATATACAGACTGTAGTACATCAATTAGACTCCAAGTCCCCCAAGGATCGTTGGTAACGCTGCTGAAGCTTTCGTATTGAATGACGGACACAACTCACATCAACTCGATTTGTCCTGCACTTGTCTTTGATGCCATGGGTTAGCAACTTCCATGTGAGATAATAACCTCTCCTCGATTATGTATCAAGTTTCGAATGCATGAATAATGATCGAGAACATGGTCAGGGTATCTTCAAGCTTCGTTTCTCCCTTCGTGATTGATATCATTTAAGTGAATTCGCAATCTAGCTTGACATCGGTCACTGTCGCTGCGCTGGTGGTAGATGCAACGTTTCGAGCTGTACCATCACATCCTCCCAGGATCCTTGTCAGGCTATTGAATGGGCTGCTCGAAAAGCGCGTAGGATATAATACTCTGAAGCTGTACACAGTATCATTAGACTTTAAATACAACGATAACACTCTGCGTATACGTCTAGGCCCTTGTATGCACTACCACCTAATCACTCCACATCTCGCTGACCATCATCACGCTTCACTCAAACACCAGTGAAATAATCATTCGTATTCATATTGATTCATTTATGTGACTATCTACTATCTATCTACTATCCTGCTCCATCCATACCAACAATGCAGCATACTCGCTCGCTCAAATGCAGACAAAAGGGACAAAATGGATATCTGGGAACGATCATTACACATAAGGGTTATGTACGTGGGTGTCATAGAACGTGAAGGGACGGGCGGGATGATGAGATGGCATCAAGCCGCGCATTCGAGGGACGGTGTGAGGAAGATCGGGTTGGACAGGCAGATACCGTCAGCTAGGAGTGTGTCTTCTGCGCCAAGATTCGATGCAGATTTTGGTTCTTCAAAGATGGGAGAGTGTGATGAGTTGGTCTGGTCCTCGACAGGTGCTGCATCCTGCTCTGCAGGCTCTTGTACTGCCTCGGGTACATTCGGTGTATTATCAACCTCCCTTTCGAAGACTGGCTCAGCAGCCTGCACTTCTTCCGAGGTGGATGAAAGAGCTGGCGAGGTGCCATCTTCAGCAATAAGCATAGGCTCCTCAGCTACAGAGCAGCCAGACGTAGGGACGGCGATCTCGTGGATGCTGGTCGCTGTCTGAACCTCGGTGACAGTCAGCGTGGAGAAAGATGTCGCAGTTGTCGTGGCTGTGGTGGTGAAAGCAACCGTGTGGACGGGCTCTTGGAGACTGCTTTCGGCCTCAATACTAGCCATTTGTAGCTGTGGTTGTGTGCCCATGTTCATCGCAAGTACGACGACCAGAGCGCCAAGTGCCAGGATGATGAAGTTACGCGGATCCTTGAGGAGGACCAGAACGTAGTTCTTCATGAGCGTGCCCAATGGAATATCAGCGGCGCGGAGCACTTGAGCTTCTCCGAATTTTGAACCAGACGCATGCATGGGCTTCTTCTGTTCTTGCAGAGCGCTTTCGAGCGAGCGTAGTCGCTCGGCGAGTGCGCTAGCTTCGGCCTGTGCCTGAGCCTCCACTTCGACACGCATAGATTCCTTCGCCTCCTGGATCTTCTCTTCTATCGCCTCTTCAAATTTCTTCCTTCTCTGCCGCTTTCTCTTCGACACTCCTCTGAAGCGCGGCAGCGGCAGCTTCGAAACTCTTCTGTAGCTCCACTTCCTCAAGCCTACGTCGCTCAGCCTCCTCCTCTTCGGCGATCTTCTGCTTCGAAGTAGACTCCTGGATCTGGCGTTGCAATTCGATGGCATACATGTGCTTCCTCTTGTCGGCTTCCTGCTCCTCAAGCATTCTTTTTTCCAGAGTCTTTCGGAGGTCGTCGGGTATCCACGGTTGCAGCTCGACATCACATCTTTCCATCTCGCCCCAGCAGGCCGCCCAAGCGTTGGCTCTCATCAACCCGTTCGCAGCGTAGATCTTGATGTCCCATCTCCGAGTGCCAGCACCAACACCCTTGCCCGGACGCTTGAGCTCGTGGTGGCAGTCTGCACATTCATGCTCTTCCGTGAAGGTACCGCCGCTCATGCGGCTGCCTCGCCCCGTGTTGTCGTCGACGCTCCTATCGTCATCGTCTTCTTCCTTGTCAGTGTCCTCCTCTGGTGGGACGAAGTGACCGCACTTCAACAGTCGAGGCGTCTTGAGCTCTAAGCTTTCCAGTATGCGCTCCTCTAGCAGGTCGTATTCGTCTCGCGGATGTGGGATCAGCAAGCCGCGTCGCATCAAGATGATGTCTTGCAGCTTCTCCTCGAGTAGCTTGAAGTTCTCCACGAGCCACTCTGGCATAACTCTAGCCATCAGTTCGTGTGTGTATGGTACTTGTGGCGGTAGTATGGTGACATGAAGCAAGACTAGCGGGGCTTGTTGTGGCGTCGTGGATATATGCATCGGGCTATGGTGCTCCCTCAGACTGTTTCTGCGCGAGCCGGACTTCTTTGACACTGGTGTTTCTGACCTCCCGCTTCTGCTCGGGGTCATGAGCTTGTATGATCCCTTCAGTCGTTCACGGGAGGTCTCGACGGTGGGGAGTGGCGGAGAAGACATCTGCATGGCGCGGATAGATTCAGGATTCCGAAAGCGAGAGCGGTCTTTGCGGGGTGTATATCTCGTCTCTGCTATGTCACTAGAGGGTGCCGCAGGGTGGGAGGATATGGAGCCTTCTGAGGGCAATGCGGAGACAATGCCGTAGCTTGGTGCACCTGCGGAGTGGCGTGGCGAACTTGTCGACTTGCGTGAGGTGTATGAGCTTCGGTAGGGCTGGAGGACATGTTCGCATTCTTCATCCAGGTCCATACTGGGGATAGACTCATCTGTTGCGACAGAGAGTTCTGAATTGAACGACATGTCGCCGTCGAACACTTCGGATGGTGACAGCAATTCCTTTTCTTCGGGGTCCTCGTAGATAGCGAATGATGTCAGGCCTGGAGCAGGCGAGCGGTGGGTTGTGCTCATAGCAATTGTGTGTCGCTTCTGCATGTGCGACAGCTTTGGTGGTTCCAAGTCAGGGTCCAGCGAGTGCTCAAGAATGAATATGGTGGGGGAGTGAGGCGAACGCTTCAGGGATCTCGTCGACTGCCAGACGGGTTCTGCTTGTTGCGGACCGCGGTGGGTCTGAGCTCCAGCGATGCGTTGTCGTTTAAGTCCAAGTAGTGCTGGCGTTTGTTTACACCGCCGGCCGAACGCTTCTTCCGGTTGCTAGGCGCCGCACCTCGCCTCATCGAGACCCTTCCCAACCACCGTGCATCTGCAACCTCACAAACTTAGTACTACGTTTGTCAACTGCGATGGAAAACGACTAGGATGCATTGGGTAGCAGCTCATCCTACTCACTGAAGGTTTACACCGAGTCTTGTTGTTGCAACTGAAGGTCCCGCCCAGCGGTCCCCGTGAGGCTACCCAACACCCCTGTCTACCTGATAACCTTTGATAAAACTCGCATGGCTGGCACACCGACAATACTGCCCAGCGCCCGCGTCTTCACAGGACCAGGTGATCGGCTGTTTGGATATGATAGGATTTGGGTACTCATCCATGCGGGCACAACGAAAACAGCCGCCGACTACGACCCTGGCCATTTCCTCATTAGAGGACGGCGGGGCGACGATGGCAGTGATCTTGAGCTCTTGACGCATACTCTGCAGCAAGCTCACAAAGGTACCGTGAATACCTTCGGGCTGTCCTTCCGCCTCCGCCTTCTTCATTGCTCACACGTTCAGAGCAGAGGCTGCATATGCAGCGCTCCATGAGACTATACATGATCCCACATCACTTCCCCCGACCTATCAGCCGCATCATAAGCCAGGACAGGCACAAATTGCCCTAATGGGCGATATGCCGCTCGTATGGACTGTTGACTTTGACCAAAATCGCATCTTCTACGACAGAGAAGGCCAGCATTTGATGTACGAGTTCTCCATACCCGAGAAACTGCCCATCAGGCTCAGGGACTTCCGTCCGTACATCCCAATGCAGCTGCCCGTTGCCAGTACTAATTACATGTCTCGTATATCCAGTATGACGGCAGCACCTCGCGATGACGTCCCTGAGGTTCTTTTTGACCTCGTCTACCGCTTTGCGAGCGACTATGAAAGCAACTGGCGCACATCAGGCCTCACTATCGAACGATATGGCGTTCACTCACTAGCAATGGGAATTCTGAGCTGCTTCACGATGAAATTCGACATGCAGAAGCTCTCAGCACCCCCTGATAAGCAGTTCCCTTATCTAGCTCGCTCCGACTTCAGCGATCTACTTCGTTGGAGGGTCTGGCCCAGTCCACAAGTCGTCTCGACAGTCAGCTTTGGCGAAACACAAATCATCTTCACAGAGCGTATGGATTTGGCCATGTCGCTTGTGCATGAGCACTTCAATACCATAGTCACCGGCCAGATATTCGGTGAGAGTAAGGAGAGCCACAGACGTCACCGACGTGTGCGATGTAACTCCAAGATTCACTACATTGTCACATCCATCCGAGAGATTCAGTACTTCACAAAGACTCTCAGTATAGGGGAAGTTTCGATGACTTGTACACCAGCCATTACTTTCTTTGACGGAGTCAATCCGCCATCTGAGACAGGTGTGCGCTGGTTACTCAGCGCCATCTACAAGCAAGTGTATCCTCCCATCCATCGCATCCCGCAGCTCCCCGTCGAGCTGCAAGAGATGATCCTCGACTACGCACTGCCACCGCGCGCCTACGACTCATTTTTCCGTGCCGTCTTTGCCGCAAGGCTGGGCCTCGGAGTGAGCTTCAATTTCCAGTCGCAGGGCCGACTCATCGTACTACGTCCTCTGGGTGGCGCTGAGCGCATGCGCAGAACCGAGTCAGAGTACCAACTCATGTTCTGTGGCCGATACGTGGGTCTCACATATCAGGTAGACGAGGGAGCCATGGTACAAAGTTGTCGTCCTCCGTGGACTGGGGCGGACACACTGTGGCATAGGGCGTACCAGCAGTTCTATCAAAGATGAAGGTACAAGAGCGGGAAATCGACGAAGAGCTTTTAGAGTCCTAGTTTGATACTTGATCTGCTAAAGTTGCGTGGTAGGCATACTGCAGACGTTAAACAAATCTACAGTACATATCTGAAGTACGGGTTTTCACCATCCGTCAGATCCATGAAAGCCAACTTGTCTCTCTCCGCCTCATCAAGTGGCAGCGCATCCCTTTTCTTGTTTTCTCTCCACAGCACAAAGTACAGTGCCGCGGCGGCGACGATTGTGATGCAGTAGCAGATGATCAGCCCCAGCCATAGCTCCGGGTAATGTCTGCTCTTGGTCTGGCTCTTGATCAATTGTGGCCCAACTATGTTCCCGACACAATATGCCACAAAGATAGATGACGACATGGCTGACTTCTTGGTTGCACCGGCAACATTGGACATGCCGATCGAGATAGTTTGACTGACGACTGCGCCAAACGTTCCGATAATCGAATAGCCAGCCACAGGTAGAGCTGCATGGTATGACCACTTACTCTTCCAGATCATAGCGCAGCCTGCGATGACTGGGAGACAATTGACCACCAGGATGATGAGGCGAACATTCGGTATCTTGGACGACAGCCAACCTGACAGCAGGATCGTGATCAAACACAACCCTCCCAGCGGAAACTGCCAGAGAATCGACTCCAGTGTCGACCATCCAAATGTGCTCACAATCAATGGCCCAAACCCAGATACCGCACCATTGACCGTGTACGCCGATGCCATGAGTATGAACACCAGCCAAACCTTGATATCCAACGCCGCTTCTCGAAGCTGATACGGCTTAATGACCTGACACCTGACTCCCGTCGCGCCCCTCCTCAACCTCTCCACCGCCACCACCCTCTCCTCCTTGGTCAAAAACCACGCCTCTAACGGGCTATTGGGCATGAAAAAGCACCAAATCCCAAACAAAAATGTCAAACACCCAGCGAGAATATAGATATACTGCCACCTCTTCAACACCCCGGAACTAATCTGCGCAAACCCATAATTCAACGCGCCCCCGATAATCGTCCAAAGCCCTGTGGAGCTGAACCACCAACTCTGCCGCAGCGCTTGTTCGCGCTGCGTGTAGTACCCGGAGACTATGCACATGAAGCCAGTGGGGATGATACTCTCGACAAACCCGAGGAAGAAGCGCTGCACGTACAGGCCCTGATACGACGTCACAGCGGCAGTCAGCATGCAGATGAGTGCCCAGAGAAGGACTACGCCGCCGAGTATGCGTCCGAGGTTGAAGCGCTGGAGCGCGAATGTCATCGGATACAAGCCGGCCAACATGCCGAAGTAGAACAGCGATGTGGCCCATGAGAGGCGCTGTGTCGATGTAGTCGGCGGCCTGGTCGATGTGTCGACGACGCTGAGCGAGAGGTCCTTCGTCATGCCGAATAGCACGGCAGAGCCGAGGATGGCTTTGTCGTAGTACACTAGACCGTAGCCTAAACGTCGTTGTTTAGTGATGTTGGAATTAGGATATGGGAAGGCGTTTGGGCATACCGACTATCATCGCGGGCATGAGGAATACATCTATTTTGCGGAGTACTCTGGCTTCGATTGCTGGGTCGATGGCCTGGGCGTGTTCGCCTACAAGGGTGATGGCGACGTCTTTGCCAGTCGAGGCTGAGGCTAAGACTGGGTCTTCTGCATCGTGCGAATGCGTAGGGGGTGTCTTTTCGGCCATCATTTTGATGCCTGCCTCGAATCGAACAAGATTGGAAGATGAATCACGAGCAGAAGCGAAGCTAAAGAAAAAAACCCCCAGTGCCCTTCCTTATTCCTCCATGGCTAAAATATACAATAAGCTGGATAAACACGGGATCTAGCGCCCTAGTCCAGAAGTCCCTTCTTCACCACTATTGGTCATTTCCCCACGCGTTTCTCCGTGAACGTGTCTTCGCACGGCACGCACGTCGTGATAAAAGCCCACGCCCACGCTAACTCCAACCAAGCTAGCTTCTCCGCTGACATAACGCGTACCCAGCCATGAAAAAAAAAATCTCGAACTCGCTGCCCAAACACACCACCACGTGCTGCCCTCGTGATGTAGCTTGCTGCGTACGAGTATCAATCCATGCTTGTTCGCGTCTGAACGCTGCATCGCGCATGCAACTCTCCTCTGTAGACCAGTCTCCCGCCTCGCTCAATCCGCTGCCCCGTAGCAGATTTCGAGCTGGATGCAACGCATCGTTGAAGATGTCGCTGTTACGAGACAAGAGAAACCTCCAGGTGACGATCTTTGAGTACGGGGCCGTCTTGATGTCTACTGTGTCGGTCGTTCGTAATTTATCAGTCTCTACATACTTCGTGTCGTAAAATGTGTGGAACTACCTAGGTAGCTGGTGTAATAGGTAGCAGGCTAGCCTGTTGCCTGGAGGTATACGCAAGGCCTTGCTGTTGTGATTGAAGACCAGAGATCCATCTGTGTATAGCTGCAGGCTATCAGATTGTTGTACTCTAGACGCTTTCCGTCATACGTGGTATCCTGCCAAATTTCATCAAGTCATGTCTGCAGAAGAGTCTCATTATCCACATAAAGTAGCTTAGGAATTGCGTCTGTTATTCTTATCACTACGGGAGACCAAAATGCCCAACTTCTCTCACACGCACTCTCTCTCCCTCGCAATAGCACTGTAACGCGAGCCATGTACAACACTTTCATCTAAAACGCCCAATTCATGAAAAATGTTAGAACCGCATGCTATATCTGCATGCCAGTTTAGCAGAGATGCTCGCTTCGAGAAAAACGCCAGAATCCCAAATGAAAAGGAGAAATGCAAAATGATAGGAGGGGGTATAGTGTGTGATCCATAGAGCCGAGTCAGGTAGGAAAGAGAAAGCTCGAGTTACAAAAGAATACAACGCGCTGAAGGGATTTATCGTGGCCCTCGTGGACGAGATGTTTGTGTGGAGCTTCGTACGCGGATTGTAGGTGGGCGGATTTGTGATGCGTCGGCGACCGCGGCGTCGTAGGTGGGGATGGGTGGGCTGCTTTCTGATCGCTCCTGCTGGTTGTTCAGGAGCGGTGCGCGCTCGTTGTCCCAATAGCTTTCTCTACGGTCTTCGGTGCTGCTGATGCGGGGTGAGCCGACAGGACTGCTGTACTCTGGTGGTAGATCGCCGGGTTGTAGGAGGCCGAGTCCTTGGGCAGCGTCGATTGTAGTTCGTCCGGAGTCTGCACTCGCACCTTCACCCCTGTCTTCATTCGAATCCACAAGGCTGAGCGCGGCAAGCGATATGTCTGTTGGGCTGCGCTGAGGTCCTGGGCTCGTTGGCTGGTTGCGTCCGAAGCGCATCTGCTGGCTGCTTGATCGTCCATGTCCGAAACCAGCCTGCATGTAGTTGCTACCCATGCCCTCTCTTACACCATCACGGCCAGAGTCGAGAAGAATTGATCCTTGTTCACTGCCGTAAGGTGGTGGGGGCGCCAAGCTGCCTGTTTGTGGTGCAAGACCCCACTTCTTCACGTTTGCTTCGATAAAGACGAATCCCATTTGACCAAAGTTGACATGTACCTGGCATGGTCCGTTTGCGCCGACGGTTGGGAAGAAGTTCTGGGTCTTGAGGCCGTGTGCGACGTCGTCGAGTTTCTTGCCGTTGCGTGTGAAGAAGATGGTACCAGTGCGTGGTCGGTACCCGACACCGATAACGTCTCCTTGGACATAGGCTGGCCCGTATGCAGATGGCGTGAAGGGCTGGTTGCATCGTCGGTTTCCGTTGGACATGTACGAGATAGAGGACTTATGGTAGCCTGGAAAAATGTTAGCAGTCCACACTCAATACATGCTTTCAATGCACATACCAGGTAGCCTAAAGAGCGGGTAGGGTTTTGTCGTGACACCAATAGCTATGCTCGTGGTCTCTGGCTTCTCGTACACCTTGGCTTCCCAGTAGTAGACCTCGTTTTGTTTCGGGATTGGTAGGTTGCTCTGAACGCTGCACTCTGAGTCGAAGAACTCGATTTCGGTCCGGCCCTCGACGAAGCAGTTGGCGATTTCAAGTTCGGGCTCGAACTCCCATGCAGACACGCCCTTCTCTTGGATTGCCAGGAACTGCGATAAGGAGATGTCGGTCTGAACGGATTCGGGAGGGTTTGCCTGCACAAAGGCTGCAATGTGTTAGCAAATGTTCTGCCAGTAGTTCGGATATAGCGGATGGCGGCAAAAGCGGCTGGACGCACCTTTGGCTCTCATGTACTCGGTTCTTTGGAGGTCGTCCATGTCTTCCAGCGCCTCGGCCTCCTCCTTCGCGAACTGTTGCTCATCGTCGTACTCGCCAGGCCGCGACAACCGGTCCAGGAAGATGCGTCCTTGTTGTGTATATCGGAAGTAGTAAATAATCGAGGCAATAATTAGGCAAACGCCTGCAGCACCCAATACAGAGAAGATGCCTATCATGATGCCCTTAGCAGTCGAGCCCAGGTCGGTTGCTCTTGATAAGCGCATGGCATCGTGGCGCGATACCGCAGCGACCAAGGTAGCTGCGTGCTGTGATGGCGCATGATTGCTTTGGAGATATGACTTGGAGAGGGTGGTTGGGGGCGTGACCTCCCGTAGCGGTGCTTGTGGGATCATCGTGGGTGTGCGGTGAAGATGCTGCCGTCGCGCGTTGGCAGCAAAAGTGTCGCGACGGTATGGATAGCGTGCCGGCAAACACTCGAAGGCGCAGCAGCGCTCGTGGCGGAGCGAAGTCGTTCCCGGGGTCGTTCCAGCCGCGGGGATCGGTGACGTACAGCGACAGCAGGCGGCGCCGACGGCGTGAGGGCGATGCAGATGGCGGTGAAAACAGTGCTGGCAACGTGACCAGCAGCGCTCAGGTGTCAAGTGAAGAGGGAGTGTGGTCGAAGGATGCGGAGAGATGCGTCTGTGAGGCCAGACGTTCACTGCGTCAGTCGGTTCGCGGCTTCAAGGATGTCAATGTTGCCACCCCAGCACGCACGATCGCAAACTAGGCCCAAAGACAACGTCCACGAATCGAAGCCCGCCGATATATCCGGCAGCACGCGCAAATGGTGATGGAGAGGGAGAGCTGTCAGCGAGCGCTCCTCACGCCGTGCCGCAGGAGGCTAGCAGTCAGGGCCCCGGAAGCGGGCAGTCTGGATCGCAAGCGTCTCTGGCACAGCAATCCAGATCAAGACACAACACTTGACCCTGCATACGACAACGCACACATTCACAATAATCTCCTTGCAGTTCAATTGCAGATAGGCCAAAGTTTGAGATCAATAGCCGCAGTCTCCATCGGGGCCAAGAGACGCGCGGGAGGGCTTCCCTGAAGCACCTGAGGCACTTGGAGGTCCACTCATTTCCTGGCCTTGCACCAGGCTGAAACACCGACTTTGTGCAGCCGCCATGAAGCGCGTGCTATTCATAGCGCGGAAGTACGGAATTGTGGTATATCCCCTTGTAGATCTTTCTTGTAGGTCACTTCTCTATGCAAACGTCAATGTTTGGAGTGTTGTGTCTCCGTCTAAGTACCAGTTGCAGCTACTCATTCAAGGTTCAATCATCGCACGAGGCTGTGGCCATAGTATTAACCATAACTCTTCGTCGGCCCATTCGGTTTCCGTGACTTTGCCAACGCTCTTCGCTTGTAGCATCTACAGCTCGTCTCGACAGCTCAGAGGGGAGTTTCAGCCACACGAGTGCCCTGAACGGTCGATCCGCCTTACCAGCCCTACCCGTGGGCCTTGACCCATGAACATCAATGCTTCGTGTTGAGAATCCTAACATTCAAGCACGGTGCTTGCCGTAAAATTCGGAAACGATACTGAGTATGTCTTCATGACTTCATAACGACTGGACGTTCGTGGTGTGATGGTCTTTGGTACACCTAAGCTGCTTGTACGTGTATGGCTTTGTCATTGTATTTTGTCCATCCACCCCGAACTCTGACAGCAGATCGACCCCGCAAAATGCCTATTTCATCTCAAAGGTCCCGTCCGTGGTAAAAGACGGATGTGTCGGTGGGGTATGCTGGAGTGTGAGAGATTCATATACACATTGACCGTCAGCTTTGCGGCGCATTAAGGACAGTCAACATTCCAATATGCCAGCGTCGTAGTCACCGTCCTTAATCACAACCCCATGGCAAAATAATTGAATGAGGATGAAAAGTCCTTGTCAGATAGTGTCATCGCCATTGTCGGCAAACGGGAGGCGCATAGTCCTTGTGCAACGCACTGAGCTTTGAGTAACGCTTCGCGGCTCGTTGTTCCCCGGCGCCGTCCCCGCAATGTAAGTTGTCTCAGGGCAAGTGCCGAGCCTCGATGTGATGAGCTGTTGTGCGGCACTTGGCCAATGTGCCGGGCGGATGGGGTCGCACAGTTCGGTTCTATAACATTGGTAAGAACGAATTGGGCAGCCTCAAGTCTGCGGTCAAAGGCTAATGATACTGTAAGGACTTGTTTGCCGTCTCAATGGCCCAGAGGATTCCTTTTGGGTGCGCTGGGATGATTCTGGAGGCGTCGAGCAGGAGTCATAGTGATAGTCCTTGGTTCGTGTAACATTGAACGTCGGCCTCATGCAGTGAGTGGTACATGTAAGTGATTTGGAGCCAAGGACCATCCAAGTTCTTCGCTGTGTGGAATAGTAACCGTCGAACATGTAGGTGATCAGATGAAGCCGTCAGAAATGAGATACGAGTAGGAAAAAAAATCCAAATGTAGGGGCGAGCTGAACCATCATGAACTATTCAAGCCAATCTGGGGCATTATGGGGTTACCCAGATTGGGGCCTTGGATGGCTATGACAGGAGACACTTACTCGTTCCAAGCCGAGCCATGTATCAATATCTGAAGATGCTGCACAAAGTCATATGGTTCCACGGCGCATGTGACAAGATAACGGTACGTAGTGACTGCCGTACTCGGCCAATGTGTATGTGTGACTGGTGTTTTTACATTCGATCGATGGTTTCCTGCATGATCGAAATGATAGTCTGGTGTAGTGTGAGGCAACCTTGGAAGTTCGAACAGGCAAAGATGATCTGTCGAGCGGGCGAAGTTGCCGGGCGACACTCTGTGTGCAGCTTCGGACTGTTGGTTGAGCTCGTTTACTTTCCGTCGTAGTTGATAATCTGCAGCAGTATGGAGCACTTCGTGTGTCCGCGAGGTGAAACTGCTCGAGTCCATGTCCTCTCTTATAGGGAACGGCCTCTCAACTCCCATCTTCAAGTCTGGTGTTGCGCGACATTCATGTAGAGAACGAGCACAGCGGCGGGCGCGGTGCGACGTGCCTGAACCAGCCCACGAGACGTCAGATGTGTCAAGGCTGCAGTCCGGCCGGACAACGGCGCGATTTCGAGTTGAAGGAGAGTGCAGGCGCGGTCGCTGGTCGTGGCTGCCGCGATGTGGGGAGAAGTGTCTGCAAACGTTCGCGGTCACCTTGTCACGACCTCTAGCCCACTTTGGGAGGAGGCCCCCAGTACGCCGCACTGCACATTTCTACGCCCACATTGTTAGAGTCGACATTGCACCTAGACAGAGACAGAGCCGCCCGTCTGTCCCTGAATCCCCGCCAACTGCGCTGCCGTAGCGGTTCTGCCTTGGTCGCACTGCAGCTTCGTCACCGCCCGTCCCGAGGCGAACAATTCCCTGCGGGCCTGCGCAACCGCCCCCGCGTCATCTGTTGGCCAACTTGCTACGCAACACGCCAAAAAAAATTAATACAGCCCATTTCTTGTGATACCCGGAGAAAATGGTTGCGGGATTGTAGGCGCACCGACTCGGCGAGCTCGTACGTGGAACCCGTGCCCCTCACCGAATTGTTCGGTCGCTTTCCTCATGGGCAGAGAAGAGCTAACCATGTACCGCACCGACAGAACCAGCTTAACGCACCCCACAGTCTGTATACCGACTCGAATCCCTCGCCGATATATTCACTCCCTCCACCTCCAACAACCGCCTCTCCAAAACCTGCTGCTCGGCGCACCTCTCCGCACAGCAGAGCAAGCCACCGCCCATCATGGCGTGGCAACCAGACGAGGAGCCCCTGCGGCAACTCGTGCAATGTCTGAAGGACTCGCTCACAGGCCAGAACCCGAGTGTGCAGAAAAATGCCGAAATTGTCAGTATTCGTCGATTGCTCGCCCAGATTGGGGATTGCGCTGACGGCTGTGGCTCTACAGATGCTCAAAACCGCGAGAACATCGCCAGACATTGATAAATACCTGGCCTTTGTCTTCACCAACACGCAGCCACCTGCGGCTGTCTCCATGGATGCCACACACTACTTCCAGGCGCGCGCTGCCGCAGCCATCATGCTCAAGAACGACGTCAAAACCGGCTACAAGACCATGCCCGATACTACTAAAGACTACATAAAATCAACCATAATATTGGGACTTCAGGACTCGACTTCGCAGATGCGAGGATACGCGGGCAATGTCATCACTGAGATTGTCCGGCAGGGAGGCATCATGGGATGGCCGCAGGTCCTTTCGGAGCTGATCGATATGGTCAGCAATTCGAGTGGCAGTGTCTCCCCACAAGCGCAAGAGGGCGGAATGAGCGCATTGTTGAAGATATGCGAAGACAACAGGAAAGCACTCGACAAGCAATACCAGGGACAACGGCCCCTGGGGTTCCTGTTCCCCAAGCTGTTGGAGCTCACAACGAGTTCATCGGCCAGAGTGCGCGCCGATGCGTTGGCCAGCATGAACATCTTCGTCCCAGAGAAGCCACAGGCTGTAGTGTCAAGTCTCGACACCCTGCTCCAGCAGCTTTTCAGCCTTGCCAGCGATCCCAGCGACGAAGTCCGGAAACACGTGTGCCGAGCCTTTGTACACATCGCCGACATTGCACCTGAGAAGATTGTGCCACATATGGAGGGTCTGGTCGAGTACATGGTAACCCAGCAGCGCAACCCGGAAAACGCCGAGCTGGCGCTTGATGCGGCCGAGTTTTGGTTGTGTGTTGGCGAAGATGACAACATGCGCGAACATCTGGGCCCTTACCTGCCCAAGATTGTGCCAGTCCTGCTGTCCAGTATGGTCTACAGCGAGGACGAGATCTTACGTCTTGAGGGCGAAGAGGAGGACTACGAAGTCGACGACCGTCAGGAAGACATTCGTCCCAACTTTGCGTCGAGCAAGTCCGGACGTTTGACCAACGGCGAGAACTCCACAGCTGTGAACGGTAACGTTCCATCAGCCAACGACGACGACGATCTAAGTGAGGGAGAAATTGATGATTTCGACGATGATGATGATGCATTCGGCGACCCTGAAGAGCAGTGGAACCTTCGCAAGTGCTCAGCGGCCGCGCTTGATGTTCTTGCGTCTGTCTTCCACGAAGCAGTCTTCCAGGCGACGTTACCGTATTTGACCGACAATCTCAGTCACGCCGAATGGCCCAACCGAGAGGCTGCTGTTCTCGCCCTGGGTGCTATAGCAGACGGATGCATGTCCGTAGTTGAGCCACATCTGCCCATGCTCACCCCATACTTGATAACACTTTTGCAAGACCCCAAGCCTGTTGTCCGCCAGATCACATGTTGGTCCCTAGGCCGCTACTCCGGATGGGCTGCTCACCTGGATCAAGCTGGAAAGCAACAGTTCTTCTTGCCAGTCATGGACGGTATCTTGAAAAAGATGCTGGACAACAACAAAAAGGTGCAAGAGGCTGCAGCGTCTGCATTCGCGAACCTTGAGGAGAAAGCGAACACTGAGCTGAGCGAATACTGCCGCCCCATCGTCAGTCAGTTTGTGCAGTGCTTTGCCAAGTACAAGGACCGTAATATGTTTATTCTTTACGACTGTGTCCAGACGCTTGCTGAGCACGTCGGGCCAGCGCTTCGAGACGACGACCTTGTCAGCATGCTTATGCCGGCGCTCATACAGCGATGGAACAAGGTTTCCGACCAGTCGAAAGAAATGTTCCCATTACTTGAGTGTTTGTCGTATGTGGCAACTGCGCTGGGATCGAAGTTCGCCCAATATGCAGCTGGCATCTTCGCGCGCAGTATCAACATCATCCATCGCAATCTCGAAGAGGGTGTAATGGCAGGCCAGAATCCTGGTTGGGATGCCCCTGACAAGGACTTCCTTGTAACCAGTCTCGATCTGCTCAGTGCCATTATCCAAGCTCTACAACAAGAGGACAGCGCCCAGTTGGTGGGCAGAACGTCTAGCTTTTTCCAGCTTCTAGCCGTGTGCATGAACGACCCCAACAACGACGTGCGACAGTCTGCATATGCCTTGCTTGGCGATTGCGCTATCTACGTATTCCCACAGCTGCAGTCCTGCCTGCCAGAGATTATGGAGATCATCATCGAGCAACTTGACGTCAATCGGGCACATCTCGAAGCCGAAGAAACCGGCTATTCCGTTATCAACAATGCATGTTGGTCTGTAGGCGAGATCTCGATGAGACACAAAGAGGGTATGCAGCCATATGCGGAACGGTTGCTACAAAAGATTGGCACGATATTGTTTGACGACAAAGTCCCGGATTCATTGAACGAGAACGCGGCCATCGCGCTAGGAAGACTAGGTTCAGGGTGCCCACAGTTCCTGGCTGTTCACCTCGCCCAAATCGCCCCTCCATTCCTGCGAGCGATCAAGAACGTCATGTGGACAGATGAGAAGGCACACGCTCTTACTGGGTTCATGGACATCATCCTCGCTAATCCTGGTGCCATGGAACAATCTCTCCTCCAGTTCTTCAGCGAGATGTCACATGCCAACCACAACCTACTTACGTTCCAGCCAAAGCTCAAAGAGGACTTTGAAAAAGTAAGTTCTTGAGGCTTTGGTATACAAAGATTTAGCTAACAATTGTCACCTCAGGTCATCCAACAATACAAGACCATGATTCCGAACTTTGATGCCTTCCTCGGAGGGCTTCCTGCAGAACAACAAGCTAACCTGAGGAAGTTGTACAGTGTTTAGTGTGCCTTTCCATTTCTCAGCGTGGCTGCGGCGTCTTCAGGTGAACATGATTAGAGGAAGAGACGGAAATACCAAAAGGGAATCATGACGCCATCTCAGTGCCATTGAAGGAGGAGGATGATGAATGAAAGCATTTACGACAGCAACGGGAGGGTTTCACCCATGGCATATATAGACATCTTGGAGCGTTCTTTTTCATTTCGTCTTCTATTGCTCGAACCAAGCTACCGTACAGTACTGGCGGGTGATCAAGCCCCCTGGGTTGGTTCACACAACTCTCTTCACAGCGCAAAGATCGTTCGTCTGAACATTTCTAGGCGTTTTGTTCGTTGCGTCGATTGGGGCAGCGCGACATTTTTTTTTTATTCCTTGACGCAAAAACGTCATCACCTTTAGATAGTCACAGTAGATAGCTTTAAACCTCGTCGCGTATGCGCGAGGGCCCTTTATATCCAATCGTTAAAGAAACTGCCGTTGGCGCATAAGCATGGCTAGGCATCACATGTGCATTGCCTGTTCTAGGCTTATTTTCGCATAACATACCATATCTAGGAATACACGTATGGTCGTCAGGCAGCTCAAAGGCCTACAGCACACCTCGCATGGACTTGCACTGTGACGAAGCAGACGGGGACGCGCGCTGTGCGTGCGTGTCGCTTGCGGTTCAATCCCATCGCATGTATGCAGGGTAGGGTTGTGTACGCGAGAGGGCAGGGTCAAGGGCCTGGGTTGTGCTGAGCCAAAGATGACATGCCGTTGCCCAAGTGAGGGCTATGAATAGTTCATCTTGTCTATTGTACCATAGACTGGGGATGCGTGAAGTTGGTTAGCTCGGGTAGGTAGTTTGGCAGTTGTTTGCAAGTAGTGATTATGTTGTGAAGAGTTGTTAGGTGAGATGGAAGATGGGTTCCGTTTGAGAAGGCGTAGCTGGGGCGAAATTGGAGGCTGTGGAGATCAGCTTTCTTGGAGAGGGCTTGTTCACGCTAGCTGGGCAAGTTTGTCGCAGCGATGCCGTTGTTTGGTGGTTCTGTGTGTTGTCAACTACGAAGCCTAGCTATACTGTGTGTAGCTTCTGACCATGGTATACCCTGTATACTTTCTGGCAAAGCTGACAATCTGCAGTACAGGCCCTGCGGAATAGACATCTCGACTGCAATATGGTATGGTATCGGCACTGCTACTTGGTGTGCATCGCCATCTATCAAGCCGATGAGCGAGACGCACATCGGAGGCATCGCGGCAGTATTGAGTACTGTGGGTGTGGTTCAGTGCAGCCAAGTGTGAAGTCGCGAAAGCAGATGTAGCCCGAAGATGTGTGTCAACGCCAATGCGGTGTAACGATGAAAACGGTGTAGAAAGTATGCAACGAGGATTTGTTGAAGGTGTGGGTATAGACGAGGTTCTGGAATTTTCAAACCTTGGAAGACATCATGCATGAGCACCTCGTGACATTCAGGACTTTGGATAAAAAGAAAGTCGAGGTCCACTGATGTCAAGTCGATTTGGCTCGCCAACGCAAAGCGGACTACAACGCATGTTCATGCAATGCGGAACAAGTGTCTTGTGACCTCGCTTGCCGATGCTGGCGGTGATCTCGGTGAAATGCACGGATTTGATCGTAGGAATCACTTGGCAGATCCTGTGAGGTTTCGCAACTAACGATTTACTTTATTCGACGCGATGGAGAGAAGCTATTGGGTTGTTTCAAGATGCGGGTTCTCGATAGTCGCAGTGGCCTATTCTGGCGTGGACAATAATTCAGCTCCGGCTATGTTCTTGAACAAGCCTGTGCAGCGATCGACCAGAGGTATACAGCTGGTTTGAGACAATTCAATGGGTGTATACGCCTGAACGAATCGATTGGCTTGCACGCGAGGGTCCGTGGTAGTGGAGAGGACATGTGTTCCTGTCACACCTCACCATGCGGCCTGCCCGCGTTACTGGTAACCACAGGGACCAGGTGGGATATTTAAAGCTCCTGAACAGAGTGTCGTGCAGGATAAACGTGTGGCTGACAAGGAGACGGGAGGTTCAATGTCCCTTCTCGGGTTATCTTGCCCGACCCGTCAGCACAGGCTGAACGCACGCTTCACAGGAGCGTATGGACTCTGGAGAAGTTTCTGGCCGTCAACCCCAGAGATGGCATGGTATACCCTTGACTGCTACGGGCTAGAACGACCAGCTCCAACAGAACAGAGGCCAGGTCTAAGAATAGCAAGCTGGAGCCAACCTCACTTTGTGCAGTCGCATTTATCGGAACGTCCACACTAGCTGTTGGGTATATACAGTACACAATTTGTCGGTCAACCTGCTCTGGTTCGTGCGCGATGTCATTGTTTGTTCGTGTTCTGACTATTGCCTCCCAACCTCGGCTGTTCCTTACTTAGCACACCGTATTCTGTAGCCGGTCCGCTCCACCACGAGCGCACATCGTCATAACAGCCTTGCAGCTGTAGGCGGCTCCGGCGTCATGGGAATCGGCGATGCGACTGTGTCGTCCGAATACCTGTCGGGTGTGGCACGCAGCATGTTGTGGTCACCTCATGCTCGCGTAATCTTATTACGCCAATTTCCGCTGCATCAGGTATTGCCAAAAGACTGCTTGAGGTATTACGTGCAAGACTATGGCTTTTACCCAGCTGCCAGCGATGCACTGCTGGTTGGGCGCGTACAGGCGGCGCGGCCGTGATGACGCTCGATCGTCCCCCCTGATCCGCAAAATCCGAGGTGACGCTGTGCTGTAAGTATTGAGTAGCATCGATATGAGGGCCAATGCAGATGCCATCAGCAGCGCAGCAGAGATACATGGCTTGACCGCCGTAGCGAAGTAAGTTGGAACAGCCAGGCTCGACGCACAGAATCCTATTTTTGGCGTCCCGCAGATATTGTGGCCCCGGCGGCGCTAGCCTCAAGCGATCCATCATCGAATCCGCTCCCCTGCCTCATTCGTCGACCCCGGACTAGCTTTCATCAGGGTGAATTGCACGCTGCGACTCTAACGTGCACTCCGTCCGCCGCCATGACGGCGCCCTCGACTCAGGACATGGGCGCATCGCTCCAGTCACCCACCGGCGTCGAATTCTGGCTAACGCTGACTGACCCAGCTGGTGCTCACTACTGGTATTACTACTGCTGCACGCGGCCTCGGTCTACTAGATGCAGCATAGCTTCTCAGCCTCCTCCACTGCTACTGGCTGTCGCCTCCACCGCACGGCCCGCAAATGTTGGCGGTTCACTCGGCCGGCGACCCTCCAAACTGCCCGTTAATGCGCATGGACACTTTCACCGCGATTTCCTGCCAGGCGGTAGGTGGCTAGCTGTGGCGGCTTCGACCTGCGCGCCCAAACGTCTCCGCTTCCAGACAGGCGGGCAGGGGCTGTACTCGTCTCTGGCCATGCTTCGGCGAGCTCGCGCTCTATGAGAGCGCCCCCCAAATCTGCGCCTGCTACTCTTTCACCAGGGTCGGCTTGCCGTCCGCTCCTACAAGGTCAACGATGCTCGCCTACCAATGGCATGAACCACCATCTTCCTTCAGGCCAAGGGCTTTTACTCGAAGCGGGACGGGGTCCATAGAGCTTAATCCCCACAGGAGTTACACCGGGGCCATGTCATACGAGCATGAGCCAGCCCCGACCCGTCTGTGAATCACCACCATTACTGTAGCTCCCGCAAGCTTCTCTCACCCTCCCTGCTAGTCTCGCCGTCACGCCGTCTCTACCGGCTGCCACCCAAAGCTCCATGGTCCGCCCCTCGTGGCGTATGTGCTATTTGCGTGAACGCTATCGAGCCCTAGCCGTGGTTGGTCCCGTCCTTGACCTCTGGTCTGTCTAGTCGGTCCCGAGCAAAAGTCACTCTGCGCGTGTGCTCGGCTGTCGCCCCAGTCACCTCTTCAGCCTGTCGAGCCTCTAGTCTCATAACCTTGTCCGGAACATGCATGCTTAGGCCGCCGGGGGCACGTTGCATGCACACTTACCAGATCTGCCGTCACCTCGTCCTGTTGTACTAGCTACCTATCCGCCGTAGGCTGGCTTTGCGTCAATATCTTCCCTACCCTCAATCTGTCTAAGCTCCATTTGTACCTGCACTTTGCGCATATATCACCAAACGTCCGTCTTCAGCCTCCTGGAAAAACACCCCGTTCATCCACTACCGGTTTCCGACCACATTACCCTCGCTTTGACGACCGCCCTCCACGATCTACAGCTTGCATATACTCAGCCCCTCACCTACCCCATTCACCCATACATCTAGTCCAGCATCAACTAGGAATACTGACTACGAATTCACGACCTTTAACGACCCTTAACGCCAACCAACACGCTGCGCCGCATACCCACCTTCGCTGTAAAACTCTGACATCTTATACTGGACGACATGGCTGGTCCAGGTGGAGGTCCTTCTAGGCGCAGTCACACCAAGTCTCGCAAAGGTTGCAAGACGTGCAAGCGGAGGCATATCCGCTGTGATGAGACATTCCCGCAATGGTATGTCCTAGCTCCACCTTTGACACACAGGAGGCTACTGACAGCGTTCCAGTCGCAATTGCACTAAGCATCAAGTTCGTTGTGATTACATGGACAGTCCGACTGCCATGATGCCAGAATCTCCCCAATCTCCACCGCAACCGAATTTGCTCTGGACGCCCGAGATTGAGGCCACAATCGAGCTCTGGAGACAGACAGGGGAGTTTCCCTTCCCTGATCTTCGGGTATATCCGCAGCCGCAATGGCATGCCTTATCACGTACCGATCTTCGCCTTATACATCACTTGTCCTCCATCTCGAACGAGATGTTCCGAAATAGCACTTCCAAATCGACACTATGGACAGACATGATGCCCAAGTAAGGTGCGACACATTTTCTCGACGGATTGATCGCTAACAACCCAAAGGTTTCTGAGCATCGCTGCAGCCCATCCATTCGTTATGAACTCGATTCTTGCATTCTCTGCATCTCATCTCGCATGGATTTCTCAATCCACAGAGACACGGAATCTGGCTTTCCACCACTCGAGCATTGCTCTTAAAGGCTTACACGATGGCATCACGACTTTCACAAAACTGAATTCAGATGCTGTGCTTGCCTCTTCACTTCTCCTTGCATGGCAAGCCACCGATTGGCGTGGCTGGTCTTCCTTGGTAACAGGCACCAAAACAGTGATCCAGTCCATGCAGCCCTGGAGACACGAATCCTTGTTTGCCGAATATATTACAGAGCATACACCTATGCCTGATAGACATTTCATGAATCCTATCAGCACACCAATGTCACAAGAAACACGAAGAGAACACCTCAACGCTCTAACAGACATCCACGCCTCTCTACAGAGATTGCAGCCTTATCTAAGTCAGAACGATCAAGAAACGAAGTGGGTTGAACAGTTGAAAGGCTACCTCGACCGCCTACGAGCATCCAACCAACCTCAAACGCCTGAAGAGCAATTCAATCAGCTGTACGCCCTCCGAAAATGGTTGTTTTGGGTACCTATTTCGCTTTTAGCAGCGAAGCGTGGAGACATCAACGTCCTCATCGTCCTGGCACACTTCTATGCCACTGCGCTGGCTTTGGAACCCATGTTTCCCGACGTTGCCTCAGTCTTTGTAGCAGACCTTTCCCTCCGTCCGTTGCAAGACATACTTCAAATTGTCCAAGCGAACCAGGATCCGCGGTACAACTCAAGACTGCAGACCATGTCTTATTTAGTCCAATTTCCTATTGATGCGGTCTCAAATTACAAGACGAGACGCGACTGGACACGTCAACAGGCCACGAACATGTCCCCGATCCAACAACCATCGTATGCGCTTGAATCCATCAACCTGGACCTGGAGAACCAGATCGCTCAGTATAGCTATGGCCAGAGCTTGAGTCCCGCATTCGCACCTTCGCCATTAACTTTCCTACCTCCTGGCATGTCGCCGACACCTACCTCACCGTACCTCGAAGTCCCGCGGGCACCCGTGGATGTATACGGCGCCTCCAACTATTCAACACCAATGGGCTCGCCCGCGACCCTACTACCGCCATATTCGGCGCCACAAGAACATGCATTCACGTATGGAATGAATACGGGATATCCCAGTGGGTTCGTGCCTACACCTATCTGGACGTGAACGACGCAAGACTTAACGATCGATTCAGGAATATTCTAAGAGTCGCTTCTCAAACTCCAGTGTTCGGCACCACGCCTCAGCATGGAAGCCAGATGGACGCAGGGCAAAGTCAAGGATTGCCTTCCGCACAGGCGCCCAACCAATACAGTCATCCTTAGGATCGGCAAGGCTTTGCCCCAGGGAAACGCAGGGTGGAGATGAAACGGTTCAATGGTCTCAATGACGCCCACGCGCCTCATCGCGTTGGAGCAGATGACCAGTTTCCGTCGCTAGGCCTTGCTGTGCCGCCCCTCCAACCTTTCATGTCTGCTGCTAGCCGAGATTGAACTGGGCAGCGACCCCGGACACCAGCCGCAATGGTCAGCGTCGTTTGGATAGTAGCCGGGCAAGAGAGATATAGCGATTGCTTTGGTGCACTGGCAAATTTGCAAGCCTCATGCATGTAATTCTCCTGTTATGTAAGTCTGTGACGGAATTTGGACGGAATTTGGACGGAAGCGTGATACCGACTTCTAGCGCGTCAGACTCATGAGCGCAATGCCTGTGCATTTGAAAGCACATGCGACGAACAAAAATCACTGCACTTCAGCGTTGAGCGTGTCGATGCGATTCTAGCGTAATGCATCATATCAGCAAATTCACATGGCTTTCTACTACCTCCATCTTTTCTCGGCTACATTCCAGTTTAGACCACATGGCTACAGAAGCGACAGAGAAGCCTAACATTTGTGACGGGTAGACCATTTCAGACGATAGTACTATACGACAACACTGCTCGGAACTACAAACTTTACCGATGCAGTGTGTGCACCCAGGCAGGCAGCAAGTTGCGATAGCTTCCATGTCATGCACGGAAGAATTAAGGTTATCTAGGCAGAGCCTAGCGTGCACGCTAGCAAACACTTTTCACACCGTTCCCCGGCCTTTTATCCTAAAATAACTTTGTCTTGCCCACACGGCCAGTTCGCCAATCGATGACAAGTGATGTCACCCCATCCTCCGTCAGCGACCAATATTTCACCGGGACTCACCTTGTGACATATGTTTCAGCCGTCTTATCGATAATCAAATAATCTTTCCTCGATGCTCTTATCGCACGTAGAGACGGTTGAATCTGACCGACTTGGTACCGATAGACTAGTCATTACGTACATAAGAGAGGCTAGGCTGATGCCCTTCCACGCCTTACCACCAAAACCTGCATGCGCTTGTCCCTGATCAGCACTAACTACTGTGGTACAGCCTATCCCCAAGGAGAAGTTGCTAGCGACAAGGATAAGCCGAAGCACGACCACGCACAGCCACTCTTCAAGTACCGCGTTCAGTACTCCTATGAGATTCCAAGGATGAATAATGAGCTGACCGGTGAGGCATGTGGCTTCAGGTTGACCGGTAGGCATACAGGAAGGCTTTCTCAAAGACTTACGCGCAGCATGAGGATTCTGCAGCTGCAGGGGACATCGGGACACGATCCGCTGTGTGCTGCACGCATCCTCGTTGTACCGCACGACTGACTTGCTTCCAAGAAACCATGCAATTCTCTCTATCAACGACACCAACTCTCGCCTAACTCAACAGCACCGGGGCATCGCCGAAGTAGCCAATCCCTCGGCACCTCGCATCCCGGGCCTGCTTTGGTTCCCGCACTAGGTCTGTCCCATCACAAGGGTTAGCGAGGTTGAAACCTTTTGCTCGGGCGATCTCTCGCTCTGGGTTCCTCCGCCCGTTTTCGAATTTCTGGGCGTCTCCAGTCTCTAAACTGCCTAGATCCTTGCTCCGCTGGCATGGCGGATGGATATCCGCTCTTGACATGTTTTTTTGCCACGAGCGGCACTGCTAGCGTGTGTTTCGGAACACGATTAGTCCCGGACCCGCTGGACATTCGGTGATTTGGGATAGCGATTTTATTCACAATGAGTGATAAGTGATCACAGCAGGTCAGCGTACTCAGTACTTGAGAGGGATCGAAGACAGTAAAGCCATGCGATATGCAGGCGATGGTTCTGCAGTTGCTATTTGCCATACGTTCTGGATCAATAACGGCAGTGCTATCTTGAATGAGACATTCGTTAATCCGTAGGCGGCTCGTCACGACAGCCTCATCATCGACGTTAGCACCCTTTCGGACTACGATAACACCCGTTTAAGATGGTTCGCATCGAATTCAGATTGTACATAGGACCGATGTATTGTTTCTGTATGATCGTCGCCAGGTCCTTCACCGCCAGAAATCTCTGAGCAACAGTGCACACCAGGAAATTAGCGAATGAAATGCCGTCGCAGTCAGATTCCGACCTCGGGAGCCCACATCTCTCGCCCATCCCGATGCAAAAACCACCGAGAAGTGCTATTTCGAGGCACGGTAGTTTGGTTTTGTTGGCACGTGGGTACCTGGGATGCAAAACTTCGCGATTCCACTCGGAGACGTCTCCTCGCTCCCAAGATCTCGGCGCCTTTTGCTGTTCCATCGGCAGTGGATCTTGGACTAAATCAACAATCCCGGGAAGCGCGCTTTGAGAGGCAGGGACACTGATCTACCGCGACATGGTGTTGTTACCTTACGTTAGTGCCTGCGATGTTTGGTCCACGGTCAAGCCACTCTGATGACCCGATGCCGTCGATCACGTGGCGGTACTTCGCACTGTGTTGCGAGTCGCGGAATCATACCACCGAGGACCGGACGAGTTGGCACCGAGCAGCGAGCCTAACCTCTGAGCCACAGTTTCAAGCTTTGGACTAAGCATTTGCCCGCTCGCGCGACGGAACTTGCCTAACTTGCCTGTTCTTCTGGAATTAATCAAGTAGCCTATTCGTGGGTGTGCCTAAGACGCTTCGAGATAGTACTGCGAGCACGATGTAAAGGCCGTAAGAAGATGCTCTGACTACAAGAACGCCGATGCTCTTGGATTTAGGTGACGAGCTTGGTGCCAGCGAAGCTGGCGTATCCAGCGTATTCGTGTTCGCGTTCTCGAAATACTACGGACAGACCGAAAAACGAACGCTTAATGTATAGGTAGACGTCATTGTGCGGATCTTTGAGTATCAACAGCCATAATTGGCATGCTTGGCCCATGTTCATGGTCAACTTCATTCCCAATCATGGTTTGAACAAGGGCGACTATCTTTGAGACTGGAGAAGAGCAGTATTGGTCCGGCGTTATGAAGTCGACCTAGGAAATCACTACCATCGCCATTTCTACAAAGTTTATGGCGGACGTGTTGTTCAATCTCAAAAGATTAGCTACACGAACAAGAAATTGCACATTACTTACTCGAATCACGACGATCATGTCTGCCCAAGAGAAGGTATGCGAAGACCAAGTGCTGCATCCATTAGTGCTCACTGTGTCCAAACTCCTCGAATCAAGGGCAATCTAGTCAGTACTGGCATTACTTACTGGCAAGCTACTGACTTTCTGCAGGCTCGCAAATAACATGACACTTGATCTCCGATATGTCTTTCGGCTTTGAATAGAGCGCGCATGAACTACGGCAACACTTCGACGCTTTTCGCATACACATTTCGTTCTCTCGATCAGCAACATGTTCATATACGTCCTCTCTGCCTTCCCGCATATATACCATATCGTCCCTTCATGTCGGCGAATAGCATGCTAGTTTCTGCGCTTTTGGTGACTAAAAGCTCCTTTCTCGATCAAGAATGTTTGGAGTGAGGAATATATTACAGCTTTGCACATGTACCTGAACAATATGATTACTGCTCCGTGTGCTTCGTGCATGGAGGGCTATGCTCACAGGGAATGCGATGGATACATGGCGTCTGCGATGCGATTAAGTATGGATGAATAAGAGAAGCCGATGAATGGACAAAGTAAGCAAGGTGATAGTCAGTTCTAATCGTCGCTACCATAGACATTGCTGCTGAGATATTTTCACTTCTTCAAATGTTTGCCACGGCTGAAATTTGGATCGCTTCACCACACTGCCTTTTCCCTATCGATGGTACAATCACTTCAAGTAAACGCCCGCTATGCAACCCGCGCCCATGCTGCCTGGTTTCCTATCTACACTACATCCGCCCACTCGCCCGCGGATCCTCGGCCTCTTTCCTCCTCCAATCCCTCATCTCCTTGGTCCCCATACTCCCCAATCCACCCTCGCCTCTTCTCTCCCACCCACCCAGCCTGACAACCACGCCCGTCGCATTATCCGCGCCCTCACTCCCCGTACTCGTCTCAACCGCGAAGCTCACCACATCCCTCGCGCCTTGCTCCGGCGTCTTGGCCTCCTTGACAATGTCGACGATTTCTTGATCCGACAGATGACCCGAGACGCCGTCGGAACACAAGATCATGAACGCGTACTCTGCGGGGGCCAGCTCGACGCGGCGGATTTCGGGCTCGGCGCTGACGCCCACGCGTTTGGATGCCATGTCACCGAAGGCGCGGGTGTTGGCAAGGCCCGAGATGCGCTCTTCGCCGAAGGAGTCGGTAACGAAGGACGCGGCAAAGCGGCGGAGTCGGGTTGCTTCTTCGGGGAGGGAGGGGTGGTGGTTGGAGGTGAGGGGCACTGCGAGGCCGGTTGCGGTGTTGCACAGGAGGATGCGCGTGTCGCCGACGTGTGCGGTTATAAGACTTGAGGGGGATGAGGGGTGCCAGAAGGGACTTGGTGTGGGTGTCGAGATCAGAGCGATGCTGCAGGTACTACCGCCCTTGAAGCGATTGGCACCGCCGATTGGTTTCTCGGCGCGTCGAGATGGGTGTCCCAAAATATCGTCGTCGTTGAGGGCTTTGTCTGCGCGCACTGGATCTTCGTCCTTCTTGCCGACTTGCGCGGCAACGAAGTCGTAGTCTGCCTTTAGAAACGCGTACTCGAGGACAGTTTCGATACCGATGCCTTCGTTGACATCCGCTGGTATTGAGGGGTTGTTTGTGGATCGCTTATCGATTACGTCCTTTTCCGCTGGGTGTCCGCGTCCGCCAGCGGACATGGAGAAGTATTCGGGCTTGAAGCGGCGGAAGTAGCCTCCGACGAGCTCCTTCCAGTCCCGGACCAGCCGCTGTTCGAGAGTCCTCGGCTTTCCGTATACTGTCGGACTGCTTGATTGAGGGAGCGCTGTCGGCAGGTCCATCTTTGCGCTTCGATCCTGGGGTAGGCATGTCGCCATCGCTGCCTGAGCTTGGTGGCTTCATGGGCTCGATGCCAGGTGGTGTATGCGTTTCAATGGCGTCTAGGCTCTCCTTGTCCCTCTGCACCCGATTCTTGTCGCCTTCATCTTTGGTGCGAGGATTTGGCTGCTGCCCTGTGGACTGTTTCCCTAGCAAGCTGCTCTTGAGCTCAAATTGCTGCGTCGCCTTTTCGAGATAGTCGTGCAGCTGCTCTCTCAGAAAGCCAGAGCACTCTGCTCCGCCATGGCCGTCAAACACGCCAAAGTAGAAGACCTGCGGATCTCCCGTCACGCCTACATCCGGCGTCACCTCGCTCTGGCTCTTGGGGTTCCTCGTCAAGGACATCGGCCGCCGTTTTGCGAAAGCTGGCAGGTCGATTGTGCCTGCTTGGTATGCATCTTCGTTGCTACGGTCGGGTTCCACGTGACAACGAGACGCCAAAATGGTGCTTCGCGCTCTTCAACGGTATGCGCACGACGGTCATGTCACGGGATGTCCCCAGCATCGCGGCGGGCAATCTGTTCGACCTCTGGGCATCGTAGGGCGTGCTCTTGTCACGCGGCAACTTGTGGTGCACGCCATGCTGGATGCGCGAGTCGGGATGCAGCGAGGTCGAGGGTATGTGCGTGATGAAGTACTCGTGGAAGCAGCGACGTTGGCGGGCATACGGGGTTATCGATGGGGTGGGCGAGGGGTATCGCGAGACAGGCGCGCAGGCAGCGCAGGCAATTGACCGCCGGCGACTCGCCCGGGGCAGCTGCAACGAGGGTTTCCACATGCTGTCCCTTGCGGCGAAGGAGGCATGGTGTGGTAGTGCGGGGAGCCTATGTCATGGCGTCGCCGCGTCGGTAGGGCTGCCTGGGGACAACCACTTCCAAGCCCTCACTGTCGCAGCTCTCGGAATTCGGCCTTTTGTACCGGCAACCTGCATGATTGGCCTGCGCCACGTGACGTCTGCCTCTTAACTGCCATCTATCTCAACTACAATCACCACGAACCCCTCAACACCACACATTCCACAAAGTCGTGTATCGCGGAGCACAGCATGAAGTTCTAGTCCCAATCTGCGAGGGCGAGGCCTCCCCTGCTCGACCATGAACCGCTAGCACCGAACAACTCATACCAGGTCCGCCCGGATCCTGCCAACAATGCTGCAAAGTGCGGTGTACACAGGTAAACACAAGTAAACACGTCTTGTTACTCGTGCATTTCCTTTCTCGTGCGCTTCTCTCCACCTTTCCCTGTCAAAGTGCGCCTCAATCTTAGCCCCCGAGCCCACAACGCCGTTCCGCGCCCGCCTCAACAATGGCAGGGACATTCCGCAGCCTATAGACTGTTCGCCTGTCCAAGAAAGTGTTTCAACTTATCTCTACACCTCTATCAATACTTGGGCACCCATGGTGTGGCCAATAGGGGGCATCCCGTCCCACCTTTACCGTCCAGACCGCTACTAGCACACGTACCAACGCATTCACCGCCGACCCACTTTCGCTGGTAAGAGGAGTCAGATAAAAACAACAATGGGAATGTACAAAGGTACCTCACGAGAGCCTCGATGGCTTTCCGCTCATACCTCATATACTATCTGCGACTTTTCCCATTTGAGTCTTCCAAGTACTTGTTCGAGTATTTGTCGCTACCGCCCTCCTCTACACTTTACACCTGCCAGGCCCAGGACCTCTTCAACACCGGATCTCTAAGCTTGCAACAATGAGCTGCGCCATCGGAAACATGATGATTGCCGTTGCTGGCGGAATGGTCGACTGGTCGCACCGCCGCAGGTCCCGCAGCATTACGAAGCCTATCGTTCTCCCTTCCAGTCGGGTCATGAAGGATCTCAAGTTCACACGTCGCGCAACAGACCTTCGATAGTCGGCCGCCTTTCTGGTATCGACAGAAGATAGTAGCCCACGCTCTGAATTTGCAATGGCCTCGTTCGCGCCTGCCCGTCGTCTGCCACGGTCCACCATCCTTGCGAATTTCACAAGGCCCCTACGTGTAGCCGCAGAGAGTGCTGCTTTCAGCCTTTGCTTTGGCCACTACATAGTAGGGGGATGGTTATCATTCAGGCACCAGCAGCGTGAACGAGGTCCTTGCAAAGTCAGATCTAGGGTTGCCATCTTCGACACCTCTGCCTGGCTGCAACACCTCATCGGCTTCTTCTACCACCAGGCTTCTTCCACTTCGTTCCAAGCCATCAATGGGCCGAGCGCAATCAATGTCCTATGTGTATCTATCCGATACCAGGAGCACCAAGTGACAATACTCCGAGTGTTCTCTCTCAACTCGCGCAATCAAGCTTACCAACTGAGCATTCACATCAACGTCAAAACCGCTGGCTCATCTTACAAGCAGCACTACCTGCAACCGTCACGGAAATTCTGTTTGCACATGCGCTTGCCCCAATCTAAGCTGAACACATATCCCAACCGGCGCGCCAGTCTAACGCAGACGATATCGTATGCCTTCGCAGTGCAGCTCGACAAAGCATGTGCAATGACTAGAATTTAGTCAAAGTGCTTCGATTATACCTAACCCGACATTTGATCCACTAGTCATCGAGCTTAGCGGCACACCTATTGGGTGGTCTTTCAGTGCGTACTTGCCAACGCTATCAGCGGCAATGACTCGAGCTAACACAATACAGCATCCTCCTGCATGAGCGTGCCATATATTTTCCGAGCGGTGACCGTTTTGAAGAAGCGTGGCAAATTTCCCACGAACCAACAAACGCTTTTCACGCAGGGTTCAGAAGCAGAGCGTACTTGAAGTCTTCACTTTCAGGGCTTATCATCATGCACACTAGCCATCTGCTTAGAATTTCAACTTCCATTATCTCAACTTCTGTCATTGTCGCAGAGTACACGTCGCATATGCTGAAGACGTCTGGATTCTGGCCGGTTTCCACGTCGAACTCAGCTATAGACGCGATCCTGGCACCCTTGTAATTACAGCCTTTTAATCTTTGCCCTCGAATAAACATAATGCTTGCTCGACATTTTCTTGCTTTGTCCCATTGTACTGGCCGTAACCACTGTCCATCTGTTATAGTTCCCCTCAACCAAAGGAGCTACAGCAAACTCCAGCCTGTCTACTCCTCTATCTACTGCAGTCATACTGTTTCCAACGGGCACTATCAACAAGAATGCAGTAATTTCGCGAAGAAGATCTGATAGAAGTGCCTGGTTGTCGCTTTTGTGAGCTAGTATTCGCCACTGACCTTCACGATGCATCTTCCGCTCTTGATCATCTCTCCGGTACATCTCACACCTCCTCACGACAATGAGCACATCAGTTCATGTCATCAAGGTGTGTACGACTGCCGTTAAGGCCCCCCAAATGGAACGTGTTTAGTCCACTGGGTATACACGTCGCACCATTGATCGCCGTAATAGTGAGAGCTAGTCTGTTGTTGCCGCCAAAGTAACACAAAGCTATGGCACCGTCTTTGAGGATCTAGACCGCGCACCTCCAGGCTATTCGCCGGTTGCTCAAGGCATTATCAAATGGGCTTGTTGCCTTCGACATCACGGTCCATGTCTCAGGCACTTATCATCGTACGTGCTCAAGCACGACTATCATAGGCCGACCCAATCTACGCATCGGCCAGCTGCACAGACAATCGAGCTCGCGGGTACTCTACCCCGCAACAAGGCAGCAAGGAAGTGTATGGCATCCATTGTTCTCTATTGTGCGACCGGCACGCGTACTGCTTACTCCAGGTAGCCGAAGGCGCGTGCTCAAAGATCGTGCTCCCACGCAAGACGAAGGTGTGTATAAGTTGGTCACCGTCTGCTCTGAAACCCATTCTGATATCATACAGACTTTCTACCAACCTGAGAGCGATTCCACTGTAGACACACTTGGGAGATCGGCTCCATCAGCACCATCCCGGTAGCACTTCCGGCAGAGTGAGCTTCGAAGCACAAATAGTCACCCTTCACCACCTCCAAACGCTTTCACAGTCTCCGCTTGCCTCCCTCTCTAGGGCGCTTCTACAGGCCCACTTAGCCCTTCGCTTCCATTGCGACACGGTCGCGTCAGGTTTGGCGCGCGTCCGCTGGGCTATATTATAGTAGGCTTCACCTCCCCCTCCTCTTTTCCCCTTCAGCAGCAGCGCCAACTTTGTCTTATTATCACAGGCTCTGCCTATAACTGTTACTAATTCGATCTTCTGGTGTAGGCTTCTGTACATACGTTCGCGGAGTTTGGCTGGAGACGAAATCGGTCAAGGTATGGCGAATCGGCTTCACTTTCACCGCACTGGGCTATATGCTAACTGAACTCTTTACTAGATGAGCACCGAGGACAGCTTTGTGCAGGTCTTTGCAAGCTTAGGCTTGAACGACACCTTTGGTCCGGGTCCTGGGGTTGCCAGGCTGCCGACGTCTTCTGCTAATGGGGCACCATTAGCAGCAAGGAAGCAAGTCCAGCTGCATCATCCCTCTGCAGCAAGCGCAATCAAAGCCAACAAGGACGTGACCTTGTGGTTGCAGCAGAATCGGCCTGATGTGCTTGCACAGATGGCACAACAAGGCAATCATGCCAACATGGGCATGTTGCCAGCAAATGTCGCACCTCCAATTCCTGGAGTTCCTGTTAACTTCGTTGCTCCGCAAGCACCAATGTGAGCACTCATCAAAGCAAGGCTCACCAAATCATTCACTAACTTCTCTACTAGGGTGCGACACTATGGTGGTCTTGCTAAAAAGTTGAAGCACTGGAATTTGCAAATGACCCAGCAAATGATCGACGCCAACGAGCAGCTCTTCAGCGCCGACCAGGAGCTTCGTTCAGCAAATCAGCAAGTTTCTGACTTGAAGTATCAGCTTGTCGCGCAGAATGGGCTTCAGCGACGGCAGAACCAGAAGTCGAGCACAGCTTTCTCGGCCAGTGTTGCATACGTCAAAAGCCCGAGTCACGATCTTTCTGCGAAGCGGTTTGCAGTCCGCTCAAATGAGCCCACTCTGGTGGCCCCTTCACCCACGAGAAGCATTTCAGCAAGCTCTTCTGGCCCACCGGCCACACGTACCACACCCTATCTTCCTTCAACACCGAACCAACATGCGGGCAAGCGACATCATCGCACCGCAACCCCAGAGCAGCGTGAGATCCGCTCCATCATGCAAGCGCCAGTATACACGCTCGGTATGGACCCTCAAACCGACCGTGGCCTACTCAGCGACTTCTTTGAGGCGATCAAGAACTGGGCTTCTGATTACACCGTCCACCTCTGTACCCTTTCAGCTGAGCAACTCCACAACCTCGCCGTCCACAGCGCAATTGCTAGCGGTCTCGGCCCGCCATCCAAGCTCATGATGCTCGTAACAGAAAAGGATATGCTCATCGCCATGGTCACCGCAGTCGTCAGCCGCTACATCTTCGCCCGTACCATTGACGAACACGGTCTATACCTCAGCGGCCACGCCAACGCGCAGATCACAGAGCAGCTCGCATACGAGTGGACGCAACTATTGCCATCAGAGCATGAGAAGAAAGATGAACTTCTGCAGCGCCAGAGAGCCATCTACACCGCCATCAAAGCCCAGTCCGACCACAAGTCCTGGCGTACTACGTGTGCTCAGATCTTCACTGACTCTCTCCTCTCTTCTCTGGACGGCCTTCTCACCAGGACCCTCCCTCCCCACGTACTCAAGTACCGCGCACATGTCATCCAAGAACTCTTCGTCAAGGGCTACCGTATCGGCTTCCGTCTCCGCATGGCTGCTGTGCGTTGGGACTTCCATTGGCCACTTCACGGCGCGACATTCGGTGGCAGCACGATGGTCAATGAGTCAAGGATGCTGTATGGAGATGTGATGAGGACCATGAGAGAGGTAATAGCGAACGAGGAAGAGCATGTGGTTAGGTTTTCGATCAGCCCGACGATCAGGAAGAAGGATTGGGGCGTTGGAGGCGGCGGCGCGGCACAGGTAGTCCACTCAGGATTGGTACTACTTACGAGGCGTGGATGGTTGTGAGTTCAGGTGTACCCGAACATGAACAGGACAACTTTGAAAGCACGGAGTTGATGGTCGACTATGGATTCACGGCGTTGACGGAAGGCACGATATCACGAATCTTTTTCCACATAGGTTGTGAACTCAGGTATACCGGGATGTGAGCAGGACGACTTCACCAGCATGGAGTTGATGGATTCACGACGTTGACGGACGACACCATACCACAGATCTTATTCCACATAACAGGATATGTGTGGTTTGCTTGAACATACATACACAAACAATCCCACTTCTGTACAACACCAGAAGAGCTACATAGACAACCCACGAGCAAGTGTGTACATAATAATAGACCAGATAATTCCCCTCAAAACCCTGCTCCTCGCCATGCTTGTCCCTGTTCTCGGTCCCATGTCCCAGCCAATCTACCCGCCCGCATAAATGTTCCCCACCCCCGATCCGCGACGCGCACTGCGGCAGGAAGCGAAACGGGCCTGCCCTCGCTTCAATCACTTCTACATGTTCACCGCTTGATCAGTGCAGACTCTCACCGTACATGCGGCATAAACACACGTGCCCATGGGCGATTTGAACGCAGCATCGGAGAAGAGTCCGGTGGGTCATGGTCAGAGTATCAGAAAATGCCACCTACAGTCTCGAATGCCACCAACCCACCAAAACATTTTTCTGACAGCGCTGATCGGCTGTGTTTGGACGCAGCCAAAAAAAAAAAGGCCCGCAAACCTAATCGCCGCCGTTGCCAGATCTGTTGTTCCGCTGTTGCGCGACGTCGCGCGTTGCAGAAACGAATCCGGGTTTTGCGTTCCCGAGCTGGGTAAATGCTGAACTAGGCAGGTAAAAAGTTGGGCAGATTTGCAAGGGGGAGAGATCGGGGAGGGGCGGTGGAGATATGGGTAATGGTAATGGTGGAGGTGGCGGTGGAGGAATTGGAATTTTTGTGATTCGAGGGGTCTATTCGGTGCCTTAATGGTATGTGATAATGAGTGCGAGAAATGGACAAAGAGGTACCGCCCAAGTTGGTGTAGGTATTGTCTAGATAGATAGGTAGATAGATAGTAATAGAACTTCTAATTCGCCACTACGAGTTCCTGTTCGGCGAAGCAAAAGCAGAACGCGTGCGGGCGATGGGATATCAAAAAAGAAGTAGAATCATCGCATGCCGAGTCAGGAAACTTAACGAAATGAAAACAATTAAATTCATGGCAGCTAACACTCATGCTTTTGAGCTCAGCTCGGCATCGACATAGCGCGGCCACGTGTTGGTGAAGACTAGGTACTTGATGCTCTCAAACGCCGCGTCGAAAACTTCCTCTGAAAACTCGCTGGGCACAATGCTCCGCGTGCTCGCTGTGCTCGACGTCGTGCGGGTCGACTCGAGACTGGCCGGGCGGCTGAGCGTGTCTTCCCACGGACACACAACGTTCTCCCTTAGGCCTGGGGATTTGAGCGCGTCTGGTGTACTGCTGCGAGGCATATATGGATCGAATTCGACTTCGGAAAACATGTTTTGCAGCGTCTTGAAGATCTTGTATTCGATGTTGATGGGTGTCTCGGCAGTGAAGGGATTGACGAGAGTGAAGTATATGAGCGATGCGTCGTTAAACATTTGGCGGCGCTGCGCGGTGGTGACAATCTTGAGGCAGCACCACTTCTTTTTGAAGTTGCGCACTTCGCGGAGGAATATTGTGTTTTCAGCCGTGAATTCGCGGGACGCGGCCCAGGCGATCAGTGGCTCGATGCTGTTCTCAATGCTGAATTCTAACGCTTGCATCGATGCTTTCGACTTGAGCTCCTTGCTGAAGATTACGGTCGACGACTTGGTGGAGTGTGTAGAGTGTGTAGAGGTCAGGGATTCTGTCTCGGATGTGGATGTGGACCGCTGGCTTGGCTTCGATTTGAAAGCATCGCGGAGTGGGATGACGATGAGTACTTGTTGACATACGATGAGCGATGGTATAAACCTGCAGGGAGTAAGTATATGTTCATGTTACCAGTGTCGTAAAATCATGTTTAAATGAGCCCGGCGTTTGTGTACAAAGAAACATGTTTAGGTATGGGTTACACTTACCATCCAGCTGGCGCAAAGTAATTGTTGATGCTCCTTACACCTCCGAGGTTCGAGAAGGTGAACGCGATCCATAGTGGTGTACCGGGGAGTCTGTGAGAATTGTCAGCAAGTATACAATCTTGCATTGGACCAGACCTACCCTGCAAGAATTGCAAGTCTAGTCTGCCATGCCCAAGAGTGCACATCCTTAATATGACGGATCTTCCATAATATCCACGGTCCAACAATAATAGTCCAGAAAAGCTGTACGAAGATGGATGGGATCCTACGGAAATGTCAGTAGCTGTCAGTTTATTTCGTAAGAAAGTCATACCATTCAAAGCCTCTGCGGCAATCACGGTATGATGCCTCTTCACCAAAGAAGCCATAGTAGCCGTGGAAGCGACGGGAGCCAAAGAACAGAATGATGGCGGGAATTAACTGCTATAGTTAGCTGATGTAGGCGTCATATGCGCCGGTATACTGACTGAGACTGCGAATCCTACAATGGAGCCGACGTAGACCTTCATGGCTGCGTCAAGGTCTGTCCATGCTTCCCAGAGGCCCATTGGCGTGTATGAAAGGCGCTTCCTACGAGCACCTTCCAAGTAGTTGCGCGTCAGCCGACGTTGACTTTCGTAGGCTGTGAGCACTCTAGCATTACAGGCTGCAGAACATTAGCAAGCTCTCAGGAGTCGGGATGTCTAGAAGCGCACCTTGAAAGAGAGCCATGCCTGATGGCAGGAAGACGGACATGATCCAGAATTCAGCTGAGCATGGAAAGAGTCCGTTCCATGGATAGACAAGCAGGACAAGTACGAGATATACATGGAGTATCGATATAGCTGAAAATATAACTTTAAGGTTCCGTATCCGTACGCAAAAGGCTGAGCGGTGTCGATTGAGCAAGAAGAGCTCGCCAGCCAACACTATCGTATACAATATGGCGGCGATAACGTAGACGATCCCAAGAGCGTCAGTGTTGGGCGCACCGCCGTTTAGGTTCCGGTTGCTTAGAACCGGCGCCATCCTGCCCATAGCGTGATTGTGCTCAACGAAGTAGTAGTTACTGATCAGCGGGTCGTGAGGCGGTAGGAAGTATAGACTTTTGGGACCCCCCTCTTACTTAACGGGGTGAGCTTGGGACTAGTGGCTGAAGGATCGAACGACGTGGTACCGAGGATGCGGCACAGTCAAGTCAGGGTTGCAAATCGCGAGGGTTGGGAAGCACAATGCTGGGCAGCAAGTAAACGTCAGAGGTTGATGCGTGACGGAAACCTTGCACATGAACAGAGAAGACTGTCAAAAGAGAAGAAACGCAACAAAGTTCAGCAGCAGACCAGACGACGAATGGGCAGCAAGGGGGCGTTAAGTGTTGGTAGGTCGGATACTGCCGAGGAGAGCTACATCGTGACACCCAAAACGGTGGGGGACATCCCTGGTACAACACGAAGGGATAGCCTTTGGTCCAGGGAGAGACGCGTGAGCTGCAGCGCCATAGCGGAGCATGGTATCACCAAGGGCCGCCAGCGCTACACAGACTGCTACGCTGCCATACCATTAGCATATATCGCCGGTGCGTGAATCTGCTATATGCGTCGAAACCTGGCGACCTGCAGACGCAGTTCATGGCCGAGTCGGAGATGTTGTCGGGATGAGGTGGCCGGAGAGATCGGTGAAAGAGGATCGTGCATGGGATCAAACTGTGGCTGATGCGCGCCGTTCCTGCCAATTTCCAGACGAATTGGGTTTCGGCGCTCGGCGTCGTGAACGCCTCTTGCGACCACGACCACGACACGGCGTGCACAATATATCCGCTGAGTTGGATTGCGTGATGAGATGCTACACGACTTTCAGCGGGCTGTATCGTCGCCCTCCATCATGTACCATGGCCTTCTCACGGGGAGCGGCTGCGCCTAGTGGATGGTTCATGCAGGTACGGCACAGCTTGCGGCCCAGCACACTGCATAACGCGCCTGGAAGAACTCCTCGATACTGCGACCTTGCACGCTAACAAGCCGATGCGACCATGGTTCTCCAGTCAATGCGATATCCTCAAGCATCGCCGTTTCGGTTTCATCAGTGCGCAGTCCCTGTTGGCTAGCGCCAGCCTTGCCTTCATGCAGCTCACTCATCCCTCGCGAATGGAGCAATTCTCGGACCCGCCTTATGTCGAATCTCACTCTGGCACGTGTAAGTCTCATACCATACCTTCTGGAAGAATATGCGATACCTCTGCGTTTCTCGACAAGGTGAACACCGTACATGCACCGGACGCCATCACGGGATACATCGCCCCCATTTGGCCGAATACCCACTTTGCGACATCTGGGTCGGAGGCGCAAAGCCTTCCGGCCTCTCGTTGGTTTCTCAGATACAGGTAACTGTTTCTGTCCCCGGCAGCTGATGCGGGGAAAGAAGCCGGTCTTACAGGCTGCCTGACTCGGTCCTGGCATTGGAGCAGAACTTGACGCCTTCCAGAAGAAGATGTTTGTACTACGCCAGAGGTCATAACACAAGACGCCAGTGCACAGCAGTGGATCTGCCTCGCGATATGCGGATTCTCTCTGCGGAGGCACTCGATCTGCGCGCTGTGGGCCACAGCGATCTTGCAGAGTCAGTCTATCTGGCGATGGAGACCTCAGCTCTGCTACACAGACTGGCCCCAGCGAACCGCCGTGGCTGCTGACTTTGTTCGCCACGGAAACAAAAAGATCGGGCTCATCAATACGCAGTGCAACACATCGAACTCTGATCACGCCCTTCTTTACTTCGGCCTACACAATTCGTTGAAGTGTTGAGATAGCTATACCCGTGGAGGCTGCGCTCATCCAGAGCCCTGGGAATTAAAGCCGTTGGGGTGTAACATTCCGCCCTCCTCGTGACTTTGTGTAGCACGCTCACGTCGATCCTGTCAGAGATATCGACTGACCTCATTTCGACCTCAAAAACCAGCCATCGTCCCAATATATTGGCTAATGGCTGCGCCAGTGTGTACTACGAGGCGCCCACCCAGTGCAGCGATCAAGGACTGATGCACCCTCCGCATGTTTCAAACAAAGCAACAAACTACCAGCCCCCTTTCCTTTTGATGGTAATCCAGCTTGATGAACGAGCTGTGAGACCTATTGCCTGTCAAACAGTCGGCACAGCTTCCCCACCGAAACAAGAGGCTGTCAAACCCACATCGACTCCCGGTGCCACGCGGATTGTACCACGAGCCAATGAGTTTGATCTGGAAGCATTCCGCACACTCCCATGGTGGCATGGGAGGATTCCATGCGAGCTGCTGGTAACTGGCAGCGTGTCATCCTACCATGCGGACAGCCGTATGTTGCGCGCCCACCCCACAGAGGAACCTGACGTGCGTACGTAACTGCTACTTTGGGGTCATTGTGTTCGTCGAGACGAACTTCATTACCGTAGTGACAAGAATATATGGAACACGTCCTATTCCCTACTTGCTATTGGGCGGTATACCACTGATCTGAACTTCCCATTCGATGCCTTTGCAACACAACAATTGGCATGTCAACAGGTTGCAGCTATAGGCTGTAGTGTTACTCCCCCTTAGGGCTTGCATATTCGATCTTAGCATGGTATACTGACAGACGAATTCTTCTCCCTTCGTTCATTGCTGAGCATGAATTACAGTCACCATGGGTCTCTTCCATCGACTAGATAATAGTGCTAAAGCGGCACTCGTCTGTTCTACTTAATAGATGGCAACCGCGACACATGTGTGTGAGTTCAAGTTGGAATAATATGTCCAATTCATACGCGCAATACTGGCCAACAAAAGAAAATGTCACGATGCAAGGTACGAACACTAGATCCAGCAACAGTTCGTGCGCGTTCTTCTTGAACTCAATCTACTATCAGAGAGTAACTGTCATCTTATGTACAGACCTTAATAGACTCAATAGCTAATTGGTACGTTGCGAAGAGCTAGAAGAAACCCTTGAGATTAGACAGCTCAACTGAACTACCCTGTGGTGATTAGGATCGCGAGGCACAGCGCGCACGAAATGTTGCTGCACCTGGTGCGAATTAAAGTGGAAAAGCTGGCTATAACCTCTGGATTGAACAATAATACTATTTCATCATCATCCCAATCATCGCCTATTGAGTTTCCACCTAGTCCAGCGTGTACGTACCAGCCTACTCAATGTCAACCTTCCTGATCTCAACATAGCCAGTATCCAACTTGGGCACCTCGACCCTCAAGATGCCATCCTCAAGCTTCGCAGTGATGCCATCAGCATCGATGTGTGCCGGACTGGCCCTCGTGCCCAAGCGAAGCTTCCTCTCAAAAGGCCCGACCTTCCTCTCGTTCATTGCAAGTGTCTTGAGGAACTCTTCGTCGCCTGGACGGTAGATGACGCCAGCAACAGACAGCTCGCTCTTCTCGGCGTCCCAGTTCACGCCCACGTCTTCCTTCTTCGCGCCAGGGAGGGAGATATGGATGACGTACGCGGACTCGGTGTCGAAGATGTCAGCGTCGGGGATGAGATCCTCGTTGTCTTTGGTCTGGTTAGTGTTGGTGTTGTTGTCAGTAAACTGATTCCAGAAGTGTGTCGCAAGGGTCGCTGGGTCGAAGCCAGCATTGTCAAAGAGCCCGGCACCTCCCCATGGGCCCCAGCCGCCGCGACGACCATGACCGCCTGTGCCGTGATGGGGGTTGTGAGGTCCTCCAGGCCTGCACTGCTGGTTTGCCTGGTTTGCCTGGTCATATGGTCCATGGTGAGGTCCGGCGCGGCGAAAGCTGCCATGCTGCGGACGACAATGTCCGAAGGGCCCATTCCATCTTCCAGGTCCAGGAGGACCGCGATGACGAGGGCCACCGCAGTAGCGGTCCTGGCGGTCTCGACTTCCAGCACATCCTTCGTTGTCAGAGCCTGAGTTTCCTGATGGTCCTTCTCCGTTGTCCTTCATCTCATCATGACTTTCTTCTCTCTTTTCCTTGCCTGGATCCGCGCCGTCTGCTTCAAGGTCGGGCGCAGCTGTACTCTTGAAGGGGTTGGTACTTCCAGGCGGACCGCGATGAGGCATTCCTCGACCGCCAAAAAAGTTGGCACCTACACCCCACGGTCCGAACGCAGGCTCTTCATGGCTCTCTTTATTCTCCTGGCTAGGTTCGTTGTCGCCATTGTGATGCTGGGAGAAGAAAGGGTGGCTGTTGCCTTGCTGCTCGAGGCTGGCGAGAAAGTCCCAGAAGGGAGCTGATTGATTCATGTATGTGACTGATGGCATGTTCGCATGAGGTATAAGTATTTGTGGAGGTGTTTGATATGAGAAGGAGGTCTCACGCTTTCGCGAACTTATATGTGACCTACCACTAGGCATCAAGTCGCACGTGTGAGCGTACGTATGTCGACCCTGTCCCGCCACGCAGCCTGGAGTGCTTCTGGATACGCCATCATTTCGGCAGGGCCAATAGCGAAAGCGATCAACACTGTGCTCGAAGCAAACAGAACTGTCGAGAATACACTTCTAATGACAAACTAATCTGGTGCGTCCACTAGATGCCGCCTGACCAGGTCGTGCTCCAGGCAAAAGGTGGTTGCGTGTCTGGTGTGCTACCGAATCCAGCAAGGCGGCTTGCAGTCGGGCTTTCCAATGCTCCGATATGCGCCACATGTGGCGACCTTTACAGTTTGGAGCGTAACAGTTGCTACACGGGGAATAGAAACCGGTACCGAAGCTTGGGAACATTCAGGTTAGTTGTTAACACGGGCTTCTGAGGCCGAACATCATGCGATGGCTCCGTGACAAGGTCTAATGAAGAACGGAATAGTGCAAATTCCCGTTTGCGCATTTTCGCCCTTGTCTCATTGTTAGGCAATTGTAGCAAACATGTGTCGGCTCTGTCACCAGGTGGCGCAACAATTCGTGCCTGTTCTTACGCCCTGTAGCGAACAGGATGTCGTAGCGATAGCTAAGGCTGTCTATCTCTAAGGTCTCTTAGGGATTTAATAAAGTCTTATTAGTCCTTTGAAGCTATACAGGCGGTTGTATAGCTTGCTAGACAGTGTCTAAGGATGCCGAAAATTTAAGCAGAGCGGGCACGAATAGTTGCGGCACCTGGTGCTGTGAAAATGGGAGATGACGTCGTGTAGGCTCAGAGCCGAAGCGGCGTAAGTGGACTACGTTTCGAATGCTTGAGCCGATGCTCTCAACAAGAAAGAGAAGACAATGATGCACATGGATATCGAGGCTGGGTGGCATAGGGCTGAATGGTGTATGGTGGCGAGATGGTGGCCTGTCAGGTAGGCGCGGGGGAGGGGCAGCAGCTCCCTGACAAGCATTGCTATGACGCAACCACGCGAGAAAGACAAACATGTGCCCCACCAAACTTCAACCACTTCACCAGAACCGCTCTTCGTCCCAATTCTCCTCAAATTCTCCCCAAAAACACCCCCAAAGACCAATTCCACGTTCAACTCACAATGTCTGCCCGCATTCCCACTTCCACCTCCGTCAGCGAGTCGGCCGTCATTGAAGCGCCCTTCAGCGATGTCTGGCACCTGATCAAGCTCCAGGACTTCAGCAAGTTCTGGTCTGCTCTCGAGAAGAGCGAGTTCGTCAAGGGCACATCTGAGGAGGCTGATGTCGTCAAATGGGCTTTCAAGGACGGCTCTGCTGTCGAGGTCAAGCAGGAGGAGCACTCTGTACGTCGTATCCTATGCATACAATTGAGCACACCACTGACAGTGTATCAGAGCATCGACCACTTCATCACATACAGCGTCATCTCGGCTCAGCCTGAGCTCTCATACTCCTCCGTCGTCTCTACCATCCGCGCATACCCCGTCACCTCTGGCAAGCACGAGGGCCAGACATTCGTCACCTGGACTGGCAACTTCTCCAGCGACGCCGATGCTAGTAAGCAATGCACGTCCTCTAAACTCCAGGCGTTTACTAACCAAGCGATAGGTGTGATCCAGGACGCCAAGTTCAAGCGCCGCGAAGCCCTTGCTGACCTCGCCAAGGCCGCCTCGAAGAAATAGGTTGATGTTATCCTGTGGAGGATTGATAAGAATGGAAACTCAGTGTTGACAAGGACACCATAGTGCATCTTCTCGATTATCACATCCCAGTCAGAAAAGCGAATGTACTATCTTATTACTACCTGTGTACAACAAAGGAATTGCTTGCTCATAGTAGAAGCTTTAGCAGATGTTGACGTTGAAATGCCGGCTTGTTCACATCTAATTCCGCACTATCCATGTCAAATATCTATTTTTTTTCTCTCGATTCGTTCCCGAAAATGCTGCGGTCCACGTCAGGGATGGGCTTTCACTTTATTTCCACTTTGGGACTAGCGTCTAACATGAGCTATCTGTAAACCATAGAAATAACCTAACCGGCCCTCGAAAGTCACCGAGCCACGCGCGCAAATTCACGATCTTCACAACTACAACGAAAGTTTACTAACATGGCCAATGCAGACGAGCATCAAATCGAGGACGACGACGTCGAGGGTACCGCAAACCCGAGCGATACAAGCACAGTGAGCGCCAGCTTGTACGTAGAGAACAATGGCTCAACGACACATGCGCCTACGCCTGCTCCCACTTCCGTAGGCGAGACCGACCCCAATAACGTGCAGCCATGTCCCGATAGCCACGTTTCATTTGCTCGGCTCGATCAAGCTGTCTCTGAGCACCAGCGAGCCGCAAGTGAATGGGTATACCAGATGGACCACAAAGAAGGTCACTACTACTTTATGTTTGCTGAATCTGACCCAGCTGGCTTCTACCTTGAAGCTGCTGGAGATCCGGAAGCGCTCGCGGCTGCGCGAAACTACGAATTCGCGCTGCCTCCACACCCAGCAACATATCTGGCTGCTAGGTCTGCGTATCATAGCGCAGTGATTGAGTACCACAAAGCGCAGGACGAAGTCGAGGCTGAGATCGAGGCCAAGAAGGCTGCGATTAGAGAATGGGGAAGAAAGAGAGTTGACGCTATAAATCTTGCTCGGCATAGGCGGACTGATCCGAGTGTGTACAATTAGGCCTTTCGCAAATTCTGCTGTCGCTCCGCTGCCTGCGAGGTATCGCAAGGTATTGATCAATTCTGGCCCGTACGTATGCCTGCTCATCTCATGGAAACGATGCTGACATGTCTCCAGTAGAACGCATCATCATTAACAGCGCCTTGGAAGACGTCGACTCGATCCAATACCTGCAGTGAAAGCCGTTCACGTCGCTGCGGCAGTAAAAGCTCCTACTGCATGATGAGGTTCTGTGGCTACATCTCTAGAAAGAGGGCATTGCCACATGCCATCCCGAGTAGATGGCGAAACAATCACAATGATAGGGACTCACGAAAGGTGGAATAGATTACTGGACAAAGCTGCACGTTGTTCCCCACTGAGTGTTCCAACTGACATTGAGAGTCAACGTACCCACTTGGTGATATACGTGATTAATATGCGAATAAAATGGAAGACTATAAGGGGCTGTAGCTACGCTGGATACCCTAACTCAATTTCGATGGGCCTTGTTTACTTCACTGTCATCTTCTAGTTCAGCAACCTTGCATGGCTTCCAAGATTGTATCGAGATGACACCCAAGGATTGCGTCGAACCAAATTATGCAGGAATGAGCATACTTGCACCACAAGCTAGTTCGTTGGCCAAATTGAGTGCTTTGAGCGCAATCTTAGCTGAATTTCCACGCTGTGTGTGCGCCGGTCTTTCACTTCCACGTCTACTTTCGGACAGGCGCTCAGCACAGGGCACGAAAGGGCACGTTCAGGCCTGCGCACACGCTAACCGGTAGCCCCCCGTTACCGTTTGTGCTCCGCGCTTTGCGACCTACAATCTCAACCCCGTTTCACACCCAAACTACATGCCCATTTCCAGGTTCGGTACTGCAGCCATGGTCTATCACCAGCAGGGATTCGTCGAGGTCTACGGGGACAGTGACATGATCACGGATGACAACAATGCCCGCGACTTCAATCACTACGCGGAAAATTTCGAACCCAGCTTCCCCATCGACAACAGCGCTTTTCTTCGCCAAGATGCTGACGACAACGAGAGCGCAGGCCCCACCATTAAGTCACTCAAGAGAGAGCTAGCAGCCATGAAGAAGGAGTTGTCAGCCACGAAGAAGCAGGTGGAAGCTGAGGAGGAGGAGAACCGCACATTGAGAGCGGTCAACGAAAATCAAGCTGGTTTGCTCATTCATGCCATAGCTGAGAACACACGTCTCAACTCCGAGCGTGCTACAGCCTCATCAAGTTTCGCGAGCTACACCCAGCCTCCCGACATCGAAACCTATTGGTCCGACCATGTCAGCCTGAACCAGGCTCAGCTGATCAGCATCGAAGTCAAAAAGGCCAAGGTGGAGGAGGATTGTATTGCCGCGATGAGCCAGCTTCGCGACCTCACGTCCAGGCTCGAGAATATGCAGCTGCAGCTGAATGTGGAGCAACTGAACATGGAGCATAACCAAAACAAGATCGAGTTCCAGCGAGGCTCGCAAGCCAACATCATCATCAACCTTGCTCCGGGTCAGACTTACAGTACGGCGTCTTCGCCTGGCTCCTCTTTGCGTCGTCGCTCCAACGGCTCCGGCACCAGCCACGTCGCCCAGGATGCGTCAAAGGTGACCAAGCATAGTAGCTCCAGTCTCCCCATTAGGTCTGGTACTACCCCTGCTCGTCGGTACGTGTAATGAAACATATCCACTAGCATACGGCCAACTAACTCCATTATAGTCAGATACTGGATCAGACGGTGTTCCCGCAAGCTCCAGCTGCTCCGAAGATCCCTCAGCTCCCTCATTACCGTAACAAGTGCATCCGCGAGGGCCCTTGCAGCAGGCGCTGCTACTTCCTCCATGACAACCAGCTCGCGCACTACGGCCACGACGTCATCGACACGCTGCCCAATCACCATGACGGCACAGAGTAAGCTGCTTGAAGCTCTTATCGGAGGTGAAGCATGGATGGCGGTGGTGTGGTGCATGGCATGGACCATGCGATAGGTGACAGGGGCGTAAGGTTGCTTTCATGTAGTGCCGTTCCTCATACAAAAATAGATTATGGACCCCAAACTTATGCACTCCTGTTCTAGTGATTTCAATCATGTCCTAAAATTGCAGTTTGGACTATGTTGCTACTATCCGTTTTACCACAATAGATGCCGCCGCCGCCTCTCGAGTATTTTAACATAATTACAGAATGATAGCACAACTTGAACACAATCACGACGGTTTCAAAGCACAATGACACGTTGAAAGCAACTTGTATAGCTCCCGACCATCACTGCGAATAAGCTACGCAGTTATCAGGAGGCCTCAAGGTTGGCCAAGAATTTGGACAGTTACTCGGCAACACACAATAATACAAGTGTGACTAGCTTATACTGTGGGCAATCGCTAAAAACAAGCAAAGCAAATGAATCTGTGATGAAGCGATCAAATGCAGTAAAAGTGGAACAATACGCGCAGAAGTGAAAGTCACCCATACTACTCTTCTTCTTCAAGTCAAGGTCACAGAGACTAAGAACTTAATGAAAAAGCTGGGATGATGGAAAGTGAAGTGACAGGATGAACGGGTGAGGAAGGACGTAAGGGAGGAAGACCAGATAACAGCGCACCCTGGAATGAGAGCAGCCAGAGAATGGTCATAGCTGCAATCAAAGGGGTTGTGAATGCAACCAGAGAATGGTCATAGTTGCAAGCACGGGAATTTCATCATCGTTGCAACCAGAGGGTAGTCGTAGTTGCAACTAGAAAAGGCATAGAAGCAACCAGAGAGTGGTCATAGTTGCGACTAAAAAGGGCATAGAAGCAACCAGAGAGTGGTCATAGTTGCAACTAGGAAGGGGCGCTCAGAACTTCTGGGGGTATGGGAATGGGCTGGGGGGGAAGTGACAGGGGAGTTTGTTGGAGAAAAGGAAGTACAGGCGTAGGTAGGGCAGTATATATACCAGTGGGAGGGGCGCTAAGAGCGGGAACTAGCGCGGTGCACGGAGGGCGCACGGTCAGGGCACGGGCCCTGATGCACGGGCCAGGAGTTCCTACCAGTGAGAACGTTGGAACTGTCGAGGTGAAGCGTTCTCAGGACGTGGACTGAAAGATGAAGTCTTTTTTAGAGCAGAGGACATCGGGGAATCGGATTTATTGTGCTTGCGGACAAGCCGTAATCGCCAGGTGCCGCGCGAACTGTCGACGCATTTATCACCAATAGAGAATGGATACCTAATCGCAAAGTTGTAACGTGTTTCATTCGAGCGTTAAGAATATGCGTATCAAGCCTGTGTACGCTACGCGTCCTTCCGTCTTTCGTATCAGCATCCCTATCTACCATCAAGACAACACGTTCCAAATACCCTCCCGGAGTCTAACGCAACACTCCCCATCTTTGGCGTCCCTGTCCAAATCCACGTTCTTCACCCACAGTATGTACCCATCTTCCGTTCTTTGGTCCTATAGGCGGAGGTGTCCCAAACCGCGAGTGCCATTCATGGTTCCGCTGTGGTTGCTGCTAGCTGAGCGGGCTGTTGTTGGTCGAAGAAGCCTATTTCCCCTGCCCCCGACCCGCTCTAATCAAATCCTGGAACGCGATTTCAAGACCGCGCTTGACTTCCCTAAAGCTCACTATCAGGACGTTTTGCTCATCTCTGCTGATAAGCGCAATCTTCTCGTCCGTGCCGGCATCGAGTTTGTTCAAGCAGTCGAGCACATGTGCTAGATCAGTGACAGGATGTCCATTGGCGTCGACTTGATGGAAAACATAGTCGCGGAAGAGTTTGAGGTAGTATCGTTCGCCAGTTTCGGCCCACACGGAGGATGGGTTGGAGGTGTTTCCGCCAGACATTTGCTGAGATGCGTCCAATTCAGGGCGTTCGTTAACCATGTTAAGTTTGACCAGGAGACGCACGATGCGCGAAGACTCCAGCTCGCGACCAAGAGTATTGGTCAAAGTGTCTTGTGCATGTAGCTCACTGTCGAAAACAGAGGCCAGCTGGTCAGAAATACCACCTAGGAAGTTGTCAATGTCTTTTGACCCGGGCGCTGGTGTGGTGGGTGATGATGGTGTGCCCAAAGGTGGTTGCGGGTTGAGCAACCACTGGATACACTCCTTCAAACGGGCGGTATAATTGCGGGTTACGTGGTCCATAGACTTCTGCATCTGAAGGTGAGCGGTGGTATTGTTGTTGGCAATGCAGAGGATCATGCGGCCCAACTGGACAAAATCGTCGGCTTGCGCTTCGGCTACGGGTCGCGCAGTCTCGAACTGGACAATGTCCATAATGGCACAGGCATTTAGCCGGATGCGATTCTTTGCTGTCAGCAGTGTTTTGGAAGGCGAAATTAGCCTCGCAGCGAGACCGGATCCATGAATCGCCTTGAGTGCCGATGCTATCTGAACAATGTAGCCCCATAGAACATGCTCTGGCACATGTGACGATGTAGCTTGGCGCCCGTTAAATCGTTGCATCGGTTTGAAGTGCTCATCTGCTAGCGATTTAGAATTTGGGTGATAGTCCGTGACTATAATCAGAGAGCTGTCCCCAAAGGCTCGTGTTGTGAATGCCTCGTGTATCGTCACGATACTGCCGTTAAAGATACGTTTCCATGCTTGAGCGGAGCGAATAGCAGGCTCGCTGGTAAGCCGGAAGTTTTCGAGGCGACGGAGGGCATACGTTTTGCCGTCTTTGCCAGAAATGGCCTTGTAAATCCAACTCACGTAGCCGAAGGGGGCATTGTTCTTCTGCGGTGTGGTATCCAGGCAAAACAGCGAGTGAAACTGCTCAATGACTGGTAGTGTCGAGTTTGGCATGACTTGACGCGCAACCTCTGCCCGCTTCTGCAAGTCCTCGCGTAATGCATCTGGAATAAAGAAGTCATGAGCCGTCCGCTGATAGCCGAGCAGGCTGGTGGGCTGAGGACCGACAGGCCAGTACAGGTGATAGGCCGGCGATGTCTGGAAAGCGCTTGGGTTCTGGTAGTAAGACGCTTCGAGACCCGAGTGACCTTGCGCATACGGATTCATAGCGGATGATTGATGTCCTTGGCCAGCGATGGAAGCTAGATTTGCGCTCGACGTGTAAGGGTCGTAGCCTGAGTAGGAGGCCGAAGCATTGGAGTCGACCTAGAGGCACTCAGTGACTCGTAGAGGACGTGGACATGACACAAATTGGACAGTGTGGGGAAGCGAGAGAGCGAAAAATGGGTGCACACACCATGGGACCACCAAACGTCTCAGGGACGAATTCCTGGAAGTCTGGAGCATGCCAATCGAGAGCCGGCTCTTTGTTGTGCAGATTTGGCGTGCTCACCGCTGGAGAGATCAGCATGTCGATGCGATGCATCGATGGAAAGACGACTCACCGGACCGTTGCGATTTCGGGGTGAAGACTGCGGCGTTTGCAGCCTTGGGCGAAATTGCAGCGTTGCGCGCGGACGCCGTCACGGATCCATTTGGGGTGGTTGTGAGCGGGGTGAACGAGGGCGAGTCCACGTTGAAGCGCTTCTTCGCGTTCTCATTCTGGTTGAGCTTGACCAGGTCGTGGATGTAGGGACAGGCTAGGGAGGGGTCACCACGTGATCCGGCAGGTGCGGCGGGCGGCACTTACTGTTTTCGTATCTACAATGCCCGTATATTGTCACATTACGACAGAAGGTATTCTTCGCTTCTGCAGCGCTGAGTCAGCTTCCAAACATGTGCAACTGATAGCGAGCTCATACCGCGACCTTTTGGCCGAGGAGAAGCTACCCCTCGTCGCGAATCACCCGAAGGGCTCCCAAAAGTTGTTGCCATCAATCGCCCCTGTTTTGCGGCCGGGTTCCTGCTAGCGGACTGAGGCTGGCGGTGCTTCGATGCCGGTGTTGGTGAGTGAGCAGCGTTCAGCGCCGCCTCTGAGGGCTGAGATGTGGGCGGCGTGCGTTCCAAGGCCGTGTCGTCCAGTGAGCCTTTCTCCTTACTCCATCTGTTGTTGGACTTGTTCGACTTGCTGCGCCTGTTGCTCCGAGCTGGCTTCTGGGGGGTGGTGTCACCTCCGCGGATCAGAGCGAGCGGGACCGAGTCCAGGGACGAATGCGACGTCAACTCGGAGAGCGATTCCGTGGTGGAGGATCCCGAGCTCGCAGTGACATTCGCATGTGTTTGCGCTGGGGCGATTGGAAGGAGGCCAGGGCGGTTCGCTGTCGCCGTGTGCGAGGTCGCGCCTTTGTTTGGCGACGCGGGCTGAATGGTGGGCAACGTGTATTCGGGCTTCTGCAAGGGTGTCTCTGGCCATGTGTTAGACGGATTCTCCCCGTGTGCAAGAAACGATAGACCCAAGACTGCTGGAATAAGTGGCCGCGATAGTCGAGAGACACGGACACCGGGCTGTTCACGACTCGATATGCATGGTGGAGCGCAGCGTGAGAACTGACCGGTTACGAAACTTCAGCGGGCAATGTCCTTTCTACGTCAATTCCAGCTTCCTGTGCAAGACACGGCGTCTCCATCGGCAGGCGCGACCCAAGAATACAAAGAAAGCAATGCAAGCAGACGCAGCACTGTACGAGTGAGGTGTGGCAGCAACCTATGAGCGCTTCGCCGGCCCCTGCCGCGTTTCGAGCCCCGCTTAGTCACTGCAGACGTCACACCTCGACCTGTCACACTTCGCTGCACCAATCTTCCCTTCACATACACACTTCACACGCACGTCAGTTCCTCGCTCGATTTGAGCTGATTGCAAAGAGATGGAAATCGATGGGGCTACGACTATCAGGTGATCCAGCCCTCTATTTCAAGTCTTTGGACGATTCTTGGCACCCGGTGTTGCGTTCGACAGCAACGACGTTTACATAATAAGAGCTTTCATCAAGTCGAGACTCCATCACATTCTCGTGTTTTTGTTCCTGATATGTCTTCTTCGCTTTTACTCCATGTTCCTAGTGCCGGCGAGCCGTTGACGTCAGATTACTCCCGTCGATGACACAACGTATATTCCCTTATGGCAAACAAGTCTGTCTTTTTTTGTTGCGACGCTCACGAGCATATGCACACCAAATAATGGGTTGTCATTATAGCGGCCTTGGCTGCCAGGTCATGATGTTTGGCCTTGCATAGCACCGCACGACGAGAAGTGAAAGAGAGATTTCCGAACGTCCGCAGTCGGAGTCTGCATGCGCGAAACTCGCCATAGTCCGAAAGTAGAGAACGCTCAGTTGTGAAATGGCTGGGGTATCTCGATGGCTTGCTGAGTGGTGAGAGTCAATCGTCGTAAAGTTGTATTCGCCCAGCTCAACTTTCCAATTTTTCTCTCCCCAGATCTTATCAAGCACCCACACGAATACGCCCCGCGCCAAATCGCAACAGTCGGACTGAAACAACCATGGCCAATCAGCACCGTCCGTATACTGTCATAAACCCTTGCGCGACGCTCATTGACGGTACCGGGGATGACGTCTCTGGCATGTTTCACTTGCTTACCTGTGGGCACATCATCGCTGTCGACGACGAGAATCGCCGCTGCGGGCGCAACTGCGCCCAGGCGGTTATGTGGGCTGTAACCCACGCCTTCATCAGTAATACAGACAAAAAGACGTAAGCGGCCTTAACTACTGGAATGAACAATCCGCTCACACAGACAGGTCACGAGTGATCAAGGCTCACCTCCCACCGCTCAGCCCGACGCAGGCTCATGATACTCTCTATTGTGAGACTTGCAGCGGTATACCTATCGATCGCCGGCAGCGCATGAACCCCGCAAACCCCTCAGAAGCACTCCGGCGTTGCCTCGCTCTCACACGACTTGTCATCCAAACCGCGTTCGGCATAGACGAATTGCAGGCCGGCAGTTTACCCTGTTCGCCCTACTTCGATCCGAGACAAAAAGACTTCGATTGGTGTCAAGTACATCGCTTGCGCTGTGGACATGAGGTTTGTACTGCAATCGTGCGACCATGCGCCTCCAACTGTGTTGACGATTCGCCCTGCTATATCGCCAACTTATCCGATCATGAGCGGCAGAGCGACGCCATCATGTGCCAGGAGTGCGTGTACAGAGCCGAGCTGATGTTTCACCGATGGGCGAGGGTGGGCGATACTATGGAGAGTAACAGAGATAGCGGCCACATGATTGTCGACCCGCAGCTTACTGGAGATTATGGTAGCGGTGGTGACTACAAGGTACGCGGGCAGTCGATATCTCGCAATGTCTAGCGTACAACGTGGGTCATTTCCACGAAATTCTGGATAACCTTTCGAAGACTACCGTATAATGTCGTTGTCCGCTTATATCCAAATCAGCTCCAAGAAAGGAGCATAACCAAATGTAGTCCCCCTGCCTGATCTTGTGGCTTCATCTTAATATCGACAGCTCAGTGATCGGTCCCAAACAATAAACTGTATGAGCTTACTGTACTGACAGCGTAGGAATTAATTGACGCAACACACCACGATCTCGAGTTGCGCAGCCACTAATTAGGCCAAGAACTACGCATGCGCACCTCGCCTAACCAGTTGCACTGTCCCTTCTATAGATACGTAGTATACTGCCTACAGAGTTGACTCACCGTCATCATCAGCGCTGGCCGCCTTAAACTTTTACTTGCGTACTCGGAGCTGACACTGTCAGAACCAACGGACGTCGCTCATGTCCGAACGACCAATGAATCAAGTAGCCAAAAGGATTGACGTAGACGACTGAAGACCACTTTCCATAAGTGGTCTGCCGGACGGCCACGAGAATGTAAGTAAACATTGGATAGATCATACATATGTACTGAAGTCACTGCTAATGGCTTTTAGAACAGGCAGCTCATCATAAATTCGACATGCGACTATATCATCGTCGGCGGTGGACTCGCAGGCGTAACAATTGCCTCACGTCTCAAGCAGTATCTCTTCGACTCGCGCATCACTTTACTCGAGGCTGGAACCAATGCTGTCGAGCATCCCAAAATCAACCATGTCTCGGATGGTACCGAGTTTCTACAGCTAATGGCAGACGGTCTGACGGTCGTTTACTCCACGACACCGCAACCATGTCTTGACAATCGCCAGATCATGAACCCGGCTGGGCGCTTACTCTCTGATGGAAGCGGCGTTGAAATGGGGAACTAGATGCAACCATCAACAGCGGCTTGTGATCTACTTATCAAAAGGGCGGAACGAGAAGTTCACGTTCCAGAATCTTGTCAAGTACTTCAAGAGAATCTAGAAGCATCTCGATTCCGCCGCAGACCCAGAGCATTATGATTCTGATGGAGGCATACATCCTATCGGCGAAAGTAAATATCATCCAAGAGATATTGTGTAGACGTCAATGAAGAAACTAGGCCACAAGTACAACCCAACGCAACCAAGGTGATCCGATCGGCATGACAGACTTTGTGCAAAACTCCAAAGCAATTTCAGCCTCGACAGCCGTGCGCCAGCATAGCGTAAGAGTCTACAGTCTCACCGGCGTCAATGTCCTGTGCGACACACCAGCCACTCGCATCCTCTTTGGCGACTCCAGGCGCGCCACAAGCGTCCTGCTCGTGTCCGGCAAAGTCATCCACTTAAGCAAAGAAATCATCGTATCCTGCGGCACGCAACGAACACCTCAACTCCTCATGCTCTCTGGCATCGGCCCTGCATCCGAGCTTTCGAAACAAAACATCCCACTCCTTCTCGACACGCCAGCCATCAGCCAAAAACCTCTTCGATCACAATGCCATGATCACATTGCACAAGCTCAAAGACCCGACCAAAAGCTACGCGCGTTCCTTGACAGGTACAAACAAGCCAGAATGAGCCAGAATACGGCCAAGGCCTGACCATAGACTTCACTCTCTTCGGGCACATCCCGCGTGAAGACTTACTTCCAGACCTTCTTGCTGACGGTCAAAAGGAGGATTCCGCTATGTAGTTGGACAAACGCTGTCACTTCATGTCCCTGGTGTTCTATCATGCGCGCTACGTCCCGCCGTCTTTATACCCCAGCATCAAAGAAAAGAAAGAGCACATCGGCCTCGCGGCGTTGCACATGCTGCCCTTATCGCGCGGCACCGTGACTCTGAAATCCGCATCACCGACGGATAATCCCGTGTGTGACCCCAGGTTCCTCTCTACACATACCGACCGCTTCATCCTGCATCGCGCAGTCAGCGGAAATCTCAAGATCGTGAACACGGCGCAGTTCACGGATGTAATTGAAACGGAGTTTGCGCCGCTGGGCTTTCCGGTGCTGAAGCAGGAGAGCAGTGCTGATGAGGTTGATGCGAGGATAAGGGCTGCGAGGGCGACAGTGTCGCATCCGATGGGGACATGTGCGCTGGGTACGGTTTTGGATGAGGAGTTTAGGGTCAAGGGTGTACAGGAACTCAGGGTTTGTGATGCGAGTATGTTTCCTGAGCATGTGGCTGCGATGCCGAGTTGTTTGATATATGCGTTGGCTGAGGTGTGTGCGGAGATGGTAACTGGGAAGATATGACGATGTTTCCATTGATGAGTAGTAGAAAATTTTGCGTTCGATACATACAAAAGACGAACAATGAGAAATCAGAGTATGGCATTGAATGGCTACTCTTCCTCGAGTTAGACCCGAGAGTCAAGTACTCAATGAAAAGGCAAAGTTCTTGTACAGATAGCGCCGGTGGCAAGCATCGCGCGATACCTCGAAATTCGAGCATAGGTGACTGGTAGAGCGGATGGAATGATCCGCGACACTTGAGCTGCACAGAAGAAAATAGCCGTTAACGTCGTGGCACAATTCGTGACATACACTCAGTTTGTAGAGCCCTGGAGCAGACATTGAAGTTTGGAGAAGCAAACAGCGAGCCAAAACAATGTGGCTTTTGATAAGCTCATAGGTTGCGCGCTGAACGACTTGCGCAGCATACTTGTAAGACGACTGAGCTCACGGAACATCCCTGGGTAGTACCGTCTGCTCCACATGCGATTGGGCATGACGCTGTTCAGCAGCACGCGCGAGCCTGCAGATGGCATATCAATTCTGTTATTTGGGTCCAAGCAACACAGCACCATTCATGTCGCCGTGATGGTGTAGCACGGTCTTTCTATCCCGTCTTAGTGGCACGTTTCTCTACGCCAACGTACCGCCACGCAGCCCATGGTACAGCAAAGTCAAAGCCCCTTTAAGAGGCACATAAATAGAAATAAACCCCCACACTATGCTAAATCTCTAGTGTCGGCCGTTTCCAACGACTCGCTAGAACCACACTATTGCGCGGACGCTTGTACAACGGTCTCGCGCGCCTTTGACCACTGACTCGCGCTTTGCGATATCTACCCCTTCGGTACACTAGCTTCCATGATGCAATTGGTAGCTGTGGTTGCATTTCTAGCTTTCAGTGGCCTTGCTCTTGCCAACTATAGGCCTGTCTTTGGTCCAGAAGGAATCCTGTTCTCACAACCAAACATTGATTCTCAGTTACCGGTACATGCCTGCATCGAACTCAATGTCACATGCACATCTACCACCCACAATAACATATCCCTTTATCTCTTGATCAACAGTGATACTCTCCCGATCACGACGACCGTTGCCGGCGTCAAGAATGAGGGTAATAATCTTTGGGAGCCGAGTAGACTGCTCAGCGGACAAAAAAACGGAGTATAGGGCTCCGTTTTGCCATTAATTGGCTATCCAACCCCTCCCTCCGCATCCAATTCCCCTGCCTCAACCAAGCTGTCAACCAGGACGCCCCACGATGAACTCATCAGCGCTTTGCGTGACGAGAACGCAGCACCCAGAAACATACTCCGAGCCAAGAACGAGGTGATTACAGTCCAGGTGAACGAGCTGCGCGCGCTGGAGGATGAACTCGCCGAGAACAACGGCCTGATCGTGGGCCTCGAGGGCAAACTCCAGGCACACATCTCAGAACCCTCTCAGCAGAATATCTACAACTTCTACGGCGTAATGAAAATGACTACCCCACAAAACGTCGACATTCCATTGCCTCCTCGTCCTTAGTATCGCAACACGTGTGCGCGCAGGCTGTGTCGTTCAGGTCCTATATCTAACTGCAAGTATGTGTACCCAGGGCAGATCGCAGTGATTGGCAGCAACTTCTGCGCCAGCCTTTAGAGGCATTAGGCGTCTGCCAGGACATCGCCACAGGTACCAGGTCCGGAGAAAGTGGAGGTATGAAGCTCATGTAGGCGTCCAGGACTACTTATAGCTAGATGAATAGAAACCAAATCTCAATTGCAATCTCACAATCACACCTCTTCAATATGCTCCCACTGTGATTCGTTATCATTCTTATGGTTTGACACGTCCCACACAATTGGACGGCGTCCAAAATTGTACCATACAAACATAACTACCAGAATAGAACAAAGTGCCAGCAGCTTTAGGACGACAATGCAACCTGCCTCAACGCCTACATATACTTCCAGGCTAGATACAATATCGTGAATGCTTTCACGGCGTTGTTGCAGAACAGCACAGTGCGGTGACGTTCAATACCTTACAAGTGTACATTGTTAGCGTCTCAAATCCGCGAAACACTCTAGGTAGATAGATCGCTCAACGAGATAGGCTAGAATGCGATACAAGGGAACGCTTACCACAGGCCCGTTACTTTCGCCACTTCATCCATACCCACACAAACCTCATCTCCCAAATTCTCAGTCCCATTGGTTACCAAACTCCCATTTGACAGGTCCCGCTCGATCGGGCCCGGTCGAAATTTTTACCATACAAAAAAGTGTCCGGAATAGGAAAAGCTTCAACGGCTTTTGGACGACACATCAACCTGCCCGACACGGTGTTAATTCAGATTTCGATAAGACGGGCTAGACTTCAATACGAGTGAACGACTTCCTTGGCGTCAAGGGGGATAAACTGACCCTCGTCGCGACTCCACCGCGCTTGCGATGCAGAGATGTCGACATGCACCTGCAGTTTAGACTACTGCAAACTCCTGCATAGTTTCATCTCCGAGGCTGTGTTTCATCATCAATGATTCCAATTCCCAAGTCCGTGTCGCGGGCGCATGTGTCTCAGTGTATGCAAGTCTTCATCATTCATTCTGGCGGTGAGTTTCAAACATTTTCAATCCCCACAGCATGGATGAGCAACTCCGCAACCCCACCCCAAACGAGGCCAAATTCAACTACACGTGGTACATTGGAGTGACATCATATTGACATTGATTATATTCTTCTTCTTTCATCTTCTCTTCAAACTAAGCTAAATGCTAATTACTCTCAGGGGTATGAGCGGGATGTTAACGACAAAGGGGAAGTGGGTAGTGTTGTGGTGAAGAAAGGAAATAAAGTGGAGATTGGGAGGGATGGAGTGGTGATAAATATACAGGGTTGTCGTGGAAGCGTAGGCGTCGTTCAGATGAGGCAATTGCCAGATCATTCAAAAAAAAGTTTCATCCTCTCCCAACCGCATCGTCGTTGATTGCAAGCACCGTTTTTTGAAATGGAAATTTGAAATGGACTCAACCATCGTTGATCATGAGTCCTTGCCGTCTTGGTTCACCATCCAGGAACGAAAAGCCTTGGCTTTGCTGGTTGCGCCTACGCCGGCTTTGGAATCCATGTGGCTGGCGGCCGAGTATGCTTCAACAACGCTCATGGCGCCAGCTTCTTCCTGGTCGTCGAAGGGTATTAATTCCAAGAATTGCCATAGTGTGACCGAGCCAAGCTTGACGTGCGCTTGAATGACGTAGTCGGTGTTGACTACGTCCGGGATGGTGCGAGAAACGAGGTCCCAGCCGCTGGCGGTGGATGACGCTTGTCGGGCTAGTAGACGCTCGCTGGATGCTAGGATCAGGAATGCCTTTCCAACGGCGGCTTTGGTGGTGGTGTGCTCATGCGAGACTTCAAGAACTTCAAGGAAATCATCTAGGGAAGCGGTTCCAATGAATGTGTGGCGGTGCTTGTACTCCAAGTCCCGCTCCTTCTGGCGCAGTGTTGCTGCCGGGCCGGACTTTTCTGGAGCACGCTGACGGGGAGTCCGCGGGGTCTTTGGTGTTTGTGGGGGAGTGTCCATTAAAGATCCAAATTTGGATCGCTGAAGGCCTTCATTTGCGACGGCTGGCTTCAGTGGAATGCCGACAGATATTCTCCGTTCGTGTTTGGGAGTGCGTTCTGGTTTGGCGGGGTTGGCTTGGAGTTGCAACAGGCCTTCGTTGGTCTTTGTCCTCGCGCCGAGGGGCAGTGAAGCTCTCTTGGCCTTGTACAGGTTGGGCTCTGTGGATGGTGCCCGCGAGTGTCGTATGCGCCGAGGCGCAGGCGCAGGCATGATCTCATTCCTGGTGGAGGGGTCATTCTCGAAAGAAAAGTAGTCTGGAGAACCTGGTGTGGATGATGGCCGGTCCAGTGAAAGGTGTTCAGGCTCCTCAAAAAGAGTGCGGTCCGAACTCGGAGAAAAGGTGTCGCCGTCCGAGGGTTTTGCGCGCGGATGGACAAACTTCAGACCGGCTCCATCAGGTGGCGGGACCCATTGCACGCTCGACTGGGACAAGGAGCGACGTCGAAGGCGTGCATCGAGGCTGTTCTGCTCGGCCTCGCTGGTGGGTGAAAATTGTGACTGAGGCGAACCTGGCGGCTGGCGGGCGTCGTGGCCCCCCCGCGTTCTTCAGTGCGGCGAGGAATTCCGCTATCCCCGCGATCGAGGTAGAGTAGTCCCATTCTCCACATACTCGGTCGTCGTTGATGCGTGTTCCTGCCGCGAGGAGAGAGTGTGGTGCCGTCACCGTCACCGTCGGATGGAGTGTTGTTGATGTTGTTGTTGGCGGATGCAGAAACAGAGTCGTGGTGTGCCGCACTTGCAGATTTAGCACCTGTCGACGGGTAGTGTTGTGGGCCCGTGCGAATTAAAGCTGCCGCCTCACCGCCTCTTTCGGCTTTGGTAGAAATTCTTGTTGATGGAGTCATGTCCGTGCCGCCCGGGGTGACGCTGCCATCTGGTCCAATCAATAGGCCTGCATGCTCTTGAAACGAGGGATGCAGGTGATCGTCGTGGTGTCGTAGGCTGTGACGCCGCTGTAGCGTGGTGTCGCAACCCGTCTGGTCCCGGCGGCGGAGGAGCTCGTTAGCCATGGTGCATCGGACGAGCGTCGACCTCTTCATGGATAGGGCCCGCTCGAGGGCAGCCTGACTGACGTGGATGACCAGGCCGGCGGTCAATTCTTTTTTGCTTGTTGTGTCCACAAGCGTCACGCGGACCTCCTATACACACAAACAGACGCGCACGCACTCAACCTTCACGAGACTCAACGCCCGGAGGCGGCTAAGCAGGTACCGGAAGAAGTAGTGCAGCTGCACGATGATGCCCATCGCCGGGAGAACGATAGCATTGCGCAATAGGACTGCGCGTTAGTCTGGCTTGTCAGCAAGTTCGCGTCCATGTAAGTGGATGCGGGAGGCTTGTAATAGCAGCACACCTACCGGGCAGCAGTCTTAAGGTTGGTGGTGTGATGGGCTCCTGTCTGCGTTCGTCTGCGTTCCCCTGGGAGACTCGGAATGTCCAAGGCGATGAACGGACCACCGCAACACCACCAATCTCACGCAGTGCAACATCACAACCCGGAATGCATTCTAGAACGTCTCAATACCAAGGCCCGTAGCGAAGTGCCTGCTGTGGCGACTGACATTGCGAATTCTTATCCACCGCTACTTGCTGTCTCATGACCCCCGGCCCCGACCTCTTCCTCTTGCCATGCGCACGCTGTGCGGGACGAATTGCAGCGCCGACATGCTCGTCGCGAGGCTGTCCACCGGATCTGTAGATATAGAAGCCTTCGATGCATCATGTGCCGTAGAAGAACTTCCTCGTCCCCGACCTCGAGGGTGACTGAACCCGCCACGACCTCGCAATTTGACAGGAATGCGCCTAGCATCGACGCCATCGTTGGTCATATGACTCTCATCATCTTCGTCCTCATCGTGAACAAGCTCCATGCCGTCTCCTGCCGCACTCGCAAATGACTCACCCCGGCGTCTGGTCGTACCGTCGCCCGTCGAACTGAAAGCACTACTGCGTCGTCGATGGGGTGGCCGGAGCATGCTGCTGCGGCGATCAATGCCATCGTTCACAATGAAGAAGTCGTAGTTGCGTGGAAACTGGTGTTTGTCTATGCAATGCAGGCGACGCTTCGGGGGCGTGCTGCAGAAGCGATCGCAGTCAGGTACCAAACAGGCATACTGCGTAGTGTCAGTAGAGGATCCAAGGGAGAGCCGTCGACATACCCGTACTTGTCTCCAAGACCACCGCAGTATCGTCACTCAGCTCACCGGACAATCGATACGAACAAGATACGAAAATTGGTTCATGAAAGTACCTACCGTTTTTTCGCCCTTGTCACGTTTCGACGCATTGATAGGGTCGTGATTTTCTGCAATGTGCAGGTGCAGAAAGTGCTCATCTGGAAAATTCTTCTGGCATTCAGAACATCGGTTCATATGCGTCTTCTGGTAATGGACATCGTATGCATCGAATGAGTCAAACGAGAGAGGTTCGTGCGGGGGAAGTGAACACCGCATTACTGTTGGGAGGTCGGACACGGCTGACTCTGAATCTAGATGGACTATCTTAATGTCGGCGGACTGCTCGCGAGAATACGGTTTGCTTGATTCTGAGGACGACACGGAGTCCTGGCGTGAGCGCTTTGTTCCCATTATGTGAATTGTTTGGTGTGGGAGACTGTATAGTGGGTGCAGGCTGATTGTGCTGAATACGAAAGTGGGCTGTACCTTCTGTGACGGCTAATTGCTCTTTCGTGTGACCGCAGTACTTCAACGCTGCGAAGAGTGAGTGTGCAGAGTCCAAGTTGGACGGGATGGTTCGTTGGGTGGAGAGCGGGCCGAAACGTGAGCTAGGCTTGGCACCTGTGAGTGATGCCGCTCGGACATTTGCGCCTAACGTTATGGCGAAAGTCACGACCAAGTTACTTCACATCTCACCACCACACCCGCCTTTCTCCCACTCCGACGCCGCACACGCGTCCAGAGTGCTGTTTGCTGCGACTGAGACGCCTTCTCTATTACCGGCTGCCGCTTGTCCTCACCTCGGGGCATTCCACACCTTCATAAATGGAGCACGATAGCCACAACGCTCGCCGTTCTCTGCTCCGTGCCCTTGTCTGACCTGCCCGCCGACCGTGGGGTCACATATGAACAACGCCGGCACATGCGCACAGAAGCATGGCCGTGAACACTGAACTTCTCGACAGGTGAGTGCATCTTCACTACACGGTCTATTTGCAGTGGCTGACGGGCGCAGGCGGGCGAAGGCAATCGAGCATGAGCTCTATAAGCGTGCCGATGGCGGCGCTGCGTGCACTGAGCTAGCCGCTGTGCTGCAAGAGTAAGACCCCATACCCTGTACAAGTTCTAGAGAGATGGCTCACACGTTCCAGGTACCGCGCTTCTTGCGAGGCGCTGTCTGTCGCCAGCTTCGAATATTTTTCGGCCCACGAAACCGAGCAAAAGCTCTGGGCGGCGCATCTCAAGGTCAACACTGCCTTTCGGCAGGAGCATAAGATTGTGTGTCACAACTGGGGAAGGCGCATAGAGGGGCAGTGCTAATACAAGGCAGCTCAAGCGCTCGAAGGAACATGTCGTGGAACTGAGAAAGTTCAACAGGAACTACATGCACTTCATCAAGGGCAGCCAGCGCTTCTACCGCCAGTACATCCTCAACTTTGATGCCCAGTTCGACGCCATACCGGAGCTGCGCAGGATTGCCCAAAAAGTGGAAGGATGACGGTGAGCCCATACATCACTAGTTCAAATAGACCTGCACTGACATGTCATAGCCTCGAAAAAACCACCCCGTCAGCGCATCCCTGCCACACTTAACGACCAAGTCCTTTTATCTTGCCACCAAACGCTCATTCACTTGGGCGACCTGTCCCGCTACCGCGAAACCCTCGTCCCAGAGAAGGACAAAGAGCGCAACTGGGGGCCTGCCAAGGGCTACTATGGGCTCGCCGCAGAACTATACCCTGACTCCGGACATGCCCATAACCAGCTTGCCGTCGTCTCGCGCGAAGATGGCGACCACTTCCGCACCGTCTACCACCTATACCGTTCGCTCGCTAGCAAGCTGCCCTATCCGGCGGCCCAGGGCAACCTTGAGACCGAGTTCAAGCGCATAATAGTCGCTTGGGAAAAGGGCCAGCTGATTAACAACCAAAAGTCCTCGGACGGAGCAAATGCTGGACGCGCATTGATTGCGTGGTTCGTCAGGCTGCACAGTAAGATATACAAAGGAGAGGAGTTTGCTGCGCACGATGAGCTGGAGGGCGAAGTGCTCAGCCACTTGGCTATTGAACTGAAAGAGCGTCCATTGGACTCTATTTTGTCCAAGATCATACTCGTCAATCTGGCGGCAGAACACTTTGCGACGGTACAGATGCAAGGTATGTTCTAAAGTGCTGCCCGTAGGCTTCTCGCTGACACAACCAGGCCCCACTCCCCCAGAGAATATCATGCGCACCTACTTCATGTACCTTCGACTGAACGTTAAGACCTTCTTTGTCCTCCTTCAGGTCCTGCAGCCAGAGCTAGAGCGACTTTCCGAGGCTGACGATGTCACCAAGAACGGCGATCGAGCAGCCCAGCTGTCCGATAAGATCACTGCCGTTGCCCGCCGCACTCTTCCGGGACTTCGTTTGTACAGCACATGGTTCTCACGGTGCTGGCAGGTGCTCAATGCAAATATTGCAGATACTTTGACCACCGTAGATGTACAGGAACTCTGGAAGGCATACGCAGCAACTCTTTCACACTTCTAGCTTCCAGCTTTCCAGTCGACCAATTGCCTGAAGAGGACTATATGCTCGAAGAAGATACCGATACGATTGGATTCCAACCACTTGTCTCACCTAACACAATGAAGGTGTGGTACAACGGCGAAAACATGAAGCAAAAGTGGACCGACCTGGAGCGCAACCACCCCAACGTTGAGATGCTTATGCGGGTGAAGGATCTGCTGATCGATGGACTGCTGCTTACTCAGACCGCCGATGCTCCTCTTGACTTGGACGGCTCGCGGTTCATCTACCGGGAAGAAGGCTTGCCGTCCGAGCTGTTGGCAAGTCCAAGCCATCCTCCTGACTCATCCCCGGTGCTTCCTATGCAGGCCGTCGATCTGCCCTTGTTTCCTCCACAAGCGCCTGCCGCGGAGGATCAAAAGTCTCAAAGTGTTGCTGCAGGCTCAGAATCTGCGTCGACCACGATCGCCAAGGAGTCGGCCATGCACCGCATGGTGGACGATCTTGTTGGGCCTGATGATGGCCTTGATCCATTGCCCGAGGAAGACGAGGACATGCCACCCACCCCTCCAGAGCAGACTTTTGCAGACACAGCCGTGGTCAATGATGGTACCTATGCGTCAGCCTCGCTCTCTATTAGCGATCTAGTTAACTCCGTCAAGAACTATAAGCCGCTGTCGCCTGCACCTGGGACTGCATTTCTCTCAACACCAATGGGTAGATCAGGCTCTACTTCATCCATTCGCCAGCCCGTTAATCTTCCCTCCGTACCTGATGGACAGTGGAGCAACGGCTCAATCTGGAGCCGCAACTACAGTGGTACACCAGGTCCCTCGTCTCCACTGATGCCCAGTTGCAACGGTGCTGGAAGCGAATTCGGCAGGTCACCCCTTACCGGCAACGGCCTTGGGCATGTCCGCCAGGGCTCGTCGAACTCTTTGCTCGGCGCCGAAGTCACGCCTTCCGGAGTCAGGGCACCCCGGCCAATCAGCGGAGGTCTCGGATCAGGCGCAGCTTGGGGGAACCCAAGCAGCGCAAGCCCAACCTACTGGGGCTCCGTCTACGGTAATGGCTTCGGCGGAACGTACAACGGCAACCAGAATGGCATCAACAACGATGTCAACATGGCGAGCCCTTTGTTGTTCAGCTCGTACCAGGACAAGGCGAACAGTTCTTGGGGACGTACGCCGCCCAATGGGCAGGGTGGTTGATCGCACAAGGCACAACCTTGCGAGGTTGCTCTCTCCTACGCCAACCTAACTTGCTTACACTGTCGCTCGACTTCTGCCGTGTTTACCCGCTGCGACTCCGAGCCAGTCGACCGGAACAGAGTCTTGACTTTGCACCTGCGCCGAGCTTGAGCAGCTGGGTCACATGCCTTGTTCACTGACTGTCTCTCGACGAAGCTCGTGTCTAGCTTGGTGCTCATTCACACGTGTTCCAAGCCTATCACGCGCACAATTGCTTCTCGCCAGTATCGCCAACCTGCTATGCCACACGGGCGCTCAACTGCACGACAAAGGAACAACGGCACAAATTGTATGTCCATTGGCACTTTGCTATCTTGGATTTTGCTTCAGATCGGACGTCTCATCGAAGCGTTCGTTGGCTAGCAGTGTGCCTTCACATTGGCCGACGGGCACTAGATGGGATGTATAGGGTTGCTTTACAGTATCAATTCAATTGGAGTTCCGCGAATTCAGTCTCTAGCTGTGACAGTATTCTGATCAAAGCCCAATGTGACGTGCTGACATGCTCAGTTTAATGTGATGAATGTGTTGCTTGTGCCACTAACGCACTGCAGATGAGCAAATGCGAGAGGAGTGAACAGATAGTCTGAGACTATACAAGGTATAGCTAGGCCTCGAATGCGATCAATGAATCCTGTGTACAGTTTTACGTTATTGGATGGGCTGCCTGCTGGTCGCTTTTCGTCGCACCTGATGACACTTCGTGACTTTATGTTTTCACTTTTGTGTGTAATCTTGTAAGGTGAGCCAGGTACTGGATGATGTATATCCTCATATAGTCGTCAAGACAAGCTGCCCGATACATCACAAGCATTCTGACCAAGTAGCCAAACACAATATTGACGTTAAAGGCGTATAGCATTACTACATGTCCCCATCTAATACCATCCAATCATACACATGTACAGAGACTACTCTTCATCCTCTTCCTCTTCAATATCCGTCCGCTCAACAATCAAATTCCCGCTCCTCCCAATGCGCTCCCGAATCGTCCCACCAGTCTTGACATCATACACCTCGCGCGGCATCGGACTAACAAGCTGGAACTTGTACTCATGCTCGAACCCCTCTGGCTCAGACGCCTTTTCCGACTCCGCGTCGAGGAAATCATAGCACTCGACAAAAGCGTACAATTCCTCAATGTGCGCATCTGAGCTGAATTTGCGCACTACGCGCTCTTCAGAGGGGAGTTTGACGGCTATGCGCACGACATCTTTGGTGTCTGCAGGGGGTTCGGGGGGGATGGAAGCGGCGCGCCATTTGCGCCATTGAGCGAGGTTGGCGGCGTATTTCTCCTCTGCGGCTTGTTTGGCGAGGGCTTCTTTTTCCTCGCGCGCTTTGCGCTCGGCTTCTTCCTTCTTCTTGCGAGCGCGCTCACGGTCCGTTGCTAGGCTGCGCTCATAGGCGCTGTCTTGCTGCTGGCGGATATTGCGTGTGGCTTGTTGTTCTTGGCGTTGGGCGCGGACGCGGTTGAGGGGCTCGGTGTGTTGTTGCATTGCGGTCTTCAGTTTGGAGTTGAATTGCGCGGGGGGTGTGGGGCCGGCTATCCGTGTTGCAATGCCCATGGCGGTCGAGGAGACTTGGGGGGTGTGGACGATTAGGCTGGCGAAGGGGAACTTGGTGCAGTTGAGGGCGGATGAGACTTGGTATGCTTCGCTATCTTGCACGTTGCCGGCCCAGAGGATGATGTTGTTGTTGGGGTCTCGGACGAAGTCGATGACCTCTTGGGAGAGGAGAGTGTTTCGGACGAAGGAGGTGGTTTCGTCATGTTCGGGCGATACGAGCACAACGAGCAAGAACTGGAGGTTCTTCTTCGCGAGGTCGAATGCCTGCGCGTAGCCACCCTCGAAGAGCGGCAGCTGATGTGGTCCATATTCCTCCTCAAATTCTCGTATGAAGCGCGCAGCCGTGTCGCGGGGGTTGAGCGGTCTCCGGCCTGTAGCTGCGCCGCTTCGTGCTCTTGGGCGGTTGATGTTGCTTGCGGTGAGACGCCCCCAGGTGCGTGGTATGAAGGGGAACATCCATCCCATGAACCGGAAGTATTTTGACAGCAGCGAGAAGACGAGCGAGAACGGCGCGAACAGTATCGCTAGTACAAGTGGTGCCTGCGTGCTGACTTGGTTCTCTGGCTGCGGTACTACGCGCGGCGCAGGCTCTACCCGGACTCTCCTACTCGATGTTGAAGTTCGCGGTGATGATGTGAAGCCGTTCAAGAGCGTCTCTTGTCGACGAATATCTTGGGGTGCCTGCTCCGCCGCAGCTGCTGCGACGGCATCAACGGCGGGCTCGCCGTCGAAGAAACGGGCGATAGCTATTTGCACGTTCCATTCGCAACGGCGGAGGAGAGGTACGGCGGTAGCGAGGTCTTGGTCTGTTACTGCAGTGAATTGCTGAAGTGCGGATTGCTGGTCGGCGGTCAACGCAGCGATATCGACATTCGGCTCCGCCATGTTGAAACTCGAGTCTGTCCAATCGTGTGCAGGTTGTGTGTGTAACAGTTCGGAAGCTGGTGCTGAGAGAGTAAGGAGCGGAAAGGACCGTAGGAAGAAACTAGTCTAGAGGTTGTTATAGCGTAGATGCCTGGTGAATGGACGATGATGCACATGTGTATTCTTGGAACTTCGCCCATGTCATACTTTGGAAAGGTGAGGCTAATCCTCGGCTTCGCCACGCGACCACTAGCGCTGGAAGCTGCCGTTTGCGGGGTGAAACATTGCGCATTCCAGTTCGGCGTCTAGAATTCGAGTCTGTAGGAAGCTGCTTCAATCAATGCGGATGCTACATTTACGTACACATGAAGTCCACGACTGCCACCAGCAGCTATGTGAGGCACATGTCAGTACCATGGATCCACAGCAGTACAATGTCTTCAAGATAGACACGTTTGCAAGTATTGAAAGAAGCGTCTTCACAAGTTCACGGCTCCCGTAGTACATAGTTCAATATTGCATGCGGCGTTCTCAGTGACCATGAAGGTATACTGAGGAAGCCTCTTTCAGCACCACACTATCGCAACATCCCAAGCAACATGTGCTGTGCTTCTTTCGCTTGACTTCTTATGCCGGAAGGGCTACTTGATGTACTTGCGCAAGCTATTGAGATCTTCGCGTCACACTCATGGCCCCTCTATCTCAAGCACAATCTTTGCAAGCGACGCGCAGTCGTCCATCTCGACCACCTGCTCTCGCTCTGGCCAAAGCTCTTCTCCAACCAAAACTGTATCGATATCGGAGCTCTACAACGCCTCATCGAACTCATGGCGCGGGATAAGATGACAGACTGGAAGATGCGATACTATGTGGCGACCGGGCAGGCCAACACCCAAATTGCGTATGGTTACTGTCACAGATACAACATCCAAGACACAGAGCTGGCGCAGATTTGCGATTACGCTCGCCCGTACAGTAGCATCAAAGTTTTCGCGGAGATGTACGGCGAAAATACAGCATGGGATTATGGCGATGCGACGGGATGCGTGACGCGTATGCGCACGCCTGTTACCGAGTTCTGGCCAAATCTACATTTTGATGCGCACAGGTATCCCTCTGTGCTATTGGGGTCCTTTCG